CACGCCAGCCACTTTGCAGTGGCCAAATTTGCTAAAAGGAGGCTCATCGCCATTTTCTGTAAACTGGGTTTTTCTATAAAGGGATTGTATGTGCTGAGAAACTAAGGGAGAAAAGAAAACGGGCACGTGGGGTCATCAGCACGCCGAGCTTTGATACGAACAATTAGTGGGTAGACCTAAAGCTAGCTGTCCTTGTCTGCACTTCACTTGTTGGACACATTTCATTCAGAGAGCCAGATTTTGGACGCCGGCATTCTGTGTTCTAGCATGTTCAACGAGTGCAGTGGAGATAAAGGCTTCTAGCTTTAGGTCTACCCAATAATCATACCAACCAGAACTAGGTGTTCTGATGTCCCCGCATGCTCTCATCTCCTCCTCTCCTTCAGTTCCTCAGTGCATAAACAAGAGTCTGTAAACTGGCATTCGCTAAAGTGAGCTTTGATAAAATGGGTGCCTCAGATCTTTTCGTATGGGCTCCGACGGCTTAGTCTCAAGATGGTGCGGCCAAAGAAGAACCCAGTACGGAAGCATTTCAAATTTGACACGGATGAAAACCAGTTACTATGCCAAATCGACAAATGTGGGCTGCGGCTCTTCGGACAGCATGTTGTCAACCTTGAGTGCCACGTACAGCGACGCCACAGGGCAGTGTGTGATGCGCTTCTCAAACAGAAGCAGTTGGGCAGCAGCACTCTTGAGCTGTCCGCCAGTGGCAGCCATGCTGCCAGTCAGTCGCCAAGAATACCATTCAAACAGCCAACATCGCCATCTGTTGTACAAGGGGGCTTCGGTGTAAAATCAGACTTAACCGGAAACAAAGTTATGTAGACACGTATCGTGCTCGTCACCTCAAATGGCCGGCCATTTCGCTTGGTGGACAGCTCAGGGTTTTGGAAAATTATCGATCCCGTGCTGAAGGACCTCGAAGATCGCTTCACAGTAAGTGCCGAAGAGTTCGCAGAAAGTCTCAGAAAAGTGCAGAAATTACCAGAAGAGAGGTCTCGGAGTCTCTTAGGGTACGGTTGATGTCACTGAAAATCGACTGCGTCACACGTCTGGAACGTGCAGTTCTCGGCATGAACGTCAAATGTGTTGAAAATAAGAAAATTCACCCGCAAACGCTGGCAGTAAAAAAATGTTGGAGCGACACACTGCAGAACGTTTTGAAAAGTGAAGTTCTTCAAGTACTGTCAATTTACGACGTCTCCCCAGAGTCGGTCTACAGTATAGCGACAAACAACGGAATTAATATGCTGAAAACAGTTGCTCTCTTAGTAGAAGAATCTGCTGGCCCAGTTGCAGCAAGATTCGACCAGTCCAAATCGGAAGAGGAAGAAGTGCACGCGTGCAGTGGTTCCTCAGGTGGTGCCTCCTGCCTCGAAGAATTCAAAGGAGCTTTTGCTTTTTTCAGACGAGGGACCTCTTCTTCAAGGAATGAGGTGTGCTGTGCACACGCTGGAGCTTGCTGCACATGACGCTTTCAAGTCTGCAGCTGCTAGCGACATCGTACAGAAGGCCCAAAAATTTGTAAAAAAAATGTGGTTGCAGAGGTGCTGTCCCCACTTTAAAAGCTCAGTCTGAAGAAGCCCATCCTGGATTGTGTAACGAGGGGGATGTCCCGGGGCCCATGATGCGATGATTGCTGGAGCTGAGAGAGTTCTGCGACAAGTTTATCGCAGACGATGATGAACACCGCCTTACTCAAGACGACCGGCAATCTATGAGCAATGCAGTTGCCTCCCTGGGGCCGGTTAAGAAAGCAACAGTGCAGCTTCAAAGGGACCAGCTAACTCTGAGGGACTTCTACGGAGCGTGGCAATTGAGACGTGAAAAATTGACACCCCAGTCGCGAATCAGCTGGCCGCTGCCATGAAAAGGCGAAAGAATGTGTTGCTCGGACGCGACATACTTTGTGCGGCTATGTATTTGGATCCTCAATATTATGTAGCAAGTGAGGAGAGGTTCAGAGCAAAGCAGCATCTGCTACTGGCATGGAGAAAGCTTCGCGCACTTAAAGGTGATGCCCAGCCCCAGCAACCTCAAGCACCATGCACAACAGGGAGTTGCACTTGCCCTGATGACGACCTCGAAGCGTTCCTCACGTAAAAAGAAAGTGGCTGCCTGAAAGCATTTAGCGACCATTCTTCAATCTTTGGGGAGATTCTGAACTTACTGGACGTACTGGACGGCTTTGGAAAGGTGCCCCAAGTTAGCGAGGGTAGCGATGTCTTGGACTTTAGGTAAAGGGAGAAGTCCCGCCGCCTCGAATTTTATTTACTTGCACTTGTCGCTCTTGCAGTACCGGCCACGCAAGTCAGCATGGAAAGGTCCTGCTCGGGGTTAAGGTACATCCTATCACGCCAACGCAGGCGATTGAGCCCGAGCATACTAGATGATGCCCTTTTCCTTTGGTTGTTTCAGGCAGCCAAGGCAGAGCAAACACGTCAGTAAAATTAATATGGCGTGTGCATGTTGGAGAGGCACTCGTCCAATCTTGGAGTAGATATCTATATTTAATTTGGTGCTTGGTGAAAAAAGGTTGGTACCCAGTACCATATCAGGTCTTGAATTGTTGAAGATCATTCCACTAAACAGATGGAGTACACAAAATCAATAAATGAGTGCTTATTTTATAGCGTAATATAATCAACTTCGTGGCAGTAGAGGTACGCGAATATTCAATTAAATTCTTCACTTTTCTTTGAACCGTTATATGAACCGGTCTGGTTGAAACTGTTATTAATGCGAAAGCATTCACCGTGTCATGGAGCGAGCTGACGTCGTCAGCTTTGAAGCCGCGCCAAACGGCACCTTAAATCCTTTCTCCAAGTGAAGCCAGCTCCCAGCTATGAAACCTCGCGAAAAGCCTAGCCAACGATACCTAAATTCCCCAATCTCAAAGGAGCCAAGTAAAGCTGATGGATTTTCGGCTTCGGTCCCATTGGCTGGCGTGCGTCGACGAGGCTCCCATTGGCCCCTGCACGTCAGTTGGAACGACTGCTCACCCCATGGTGCTCAGTGTCCGTCAGCGCGCCGGTAACATGGAGCGTTTAAGGTCAGTGCACCCAGGAGAGTGCGCACGCGGACCGGCGACAAAAAGTATGCAACGGACGAAATAAGGGGGCGGACGAGCCGCTTGCATGCTTTTGCATTCACAACTCATAAGAAGTGCTTAGGTGTACCTAAAGCCCCTCGATGTGTTTGCGCTCGTCTTGCAAGTAGCGTCAAATGCGCGAGTGCACGAGGCCCATGTCTCGAGCGGCCCTTGGAAGCAAATGGCGGCGCAGCACTGAAATGAGCGGGGCCTGGAAGCGAATGGCGGCGGAGCACCCGCTCATCGCACGTGTCTCGAGCGCTTCCACAACAATGGTTGGCGGTACTTGTAAAAAACGCTTTTATCAAGGGGCTTTAGGTGTACCTGGAGCCTTTTTTTAGGGGCAAAGCTCCTTAGGGTCTAGCCTTGTCTGTCCCGCGTCTGTGCTCGTATCAATCTTGCTGGTGTTCATGCTCGTGCTCACGTGCTCGTGTAGGGAAAAAAAAAAAATGATGTCAAAAAAAATGTTTTTGCGCAGTCGACAGGATTCGGACCTGTGTGGGGAGACCCCAATGGATTTCTAGTCCATCGCCTTAACCACTCGGCCAAGACTGCGGGACGAGTAGGGGGCTCTGAGATGTGGTAGTAACTCAAGAGCTGGGGATGTCATGGATGAAACGTTGCATGTAGCCGCTCAATGTATATACAGGAGAGGGCGCTCCAGTCAAATGCGTATATAATCGCGTTAAACTTTGCATGCATTGGCTCAACGCTTATAGACGAGAGGGCCCTGCGGTCAAATTCTCAAGTTCGTATATAACCATGTTCCATACCACACATTCTTTTTTTGACATGGATGAAAACGAACAAAAGGCTCAGCATGCTGCGGCTCAGTGTCTATGCAGACAAGCACCACCAGAGCTTCGCCCCAATCAACAGCATTCATTACGTGGAGATGCGATCAATTCTTTATATATAAATTTTTGTTGTTGCATTTTTAAACATAGCCTGCCTTACATGTTTCGTCATTTATGTTTCCGTTTTGGGTGGGCGTTCCTACGGGATTTTACAGTATAGAGAGAGTTTGCAATTTCATGGCGGATGCCTCCCGAAGCTTCTGGGCAAATTGATCGCAAGTGAGCATGCGTCGCGTTGTCACGGGTCAAGCGAAAAAGGGAATGAGAGGCAGAAACGCTTGCGGACGATGGAAGCCTTCGTCACCTCCTCGCAGCTCGTATGCAAACGCGGCTCGTAAACAACGCGACCCTGTTCGAACAGTTGAAAACGCTCTGCAACTTAGGCCCGCTGCGGCGCTGTTGCATGCCCGTCGTTTCTGCTTTCCGCATACCTGGTTCACTGCGTCTCGCAGTTCAACTGGCTACTAAAACTACCCAATCACAATTCTACATTAGCACTGCCTTTGTTACGGTAATACGGCAAAGGGGCAATTTTTATTTTTTGCCCCAAAGAGATTGTGTTTTCTTTTTGTGCCAATTTCCGGTGCCAGCCAAAAATTACAGGTTTGGTTTCGCACAAACAAAATGGGTGTCGGATTTCTCGAGCTTCAGGAAACGTATGCGTGGCCCGAATACTTTAAAAACTTCCCCGTACTGATGAGAGTTGGAAATTGTATAAAGAGTGTTGCTCCTAAAAAATGAGCAGCCTCGCGGACAGTTCAGAGTGAGCTGTGTCTGGGTCGGCTTGAAGTAAACCTGTAGTCGGAGATGGTCTTTTTCTATATGGCTCCGACTTTTCTTATTGAAAGACTGTTCCGATTCTGGGTTCTTCTATTTTCCCCGACCTTGATGAAAGGCGCTCGGAGGTTGGTTTTCGGGGTTTATCGGTATTCGCCGAGGACGCAGACCCTACTTACAATCTTGCAAGCACTTCTCTCCAACCTTTATCTTTTGCTCGCATCGGAGATCTTGTTTGTGATCTTTCTTTTCTGCATCGTTTTTCTCGGCAGAAATACCTGCATCCTTTGCTGTAGGACCAACTCGGAAAGCGACGTCAGGGTAAGGCCTCACTTCATAGTATTTTTTCTTTCCTCACTGCATCTTCCGGACTGTCGTCTGCTCCTTGTGTGTGTTCCACTGGGGCAACTTTTTGCTTGAAAACAAGAATGTGTTTTTTCTCGGATAGTTTGCACTCTGCGAATGGTATGCACTAGCCCTGTGTTCCACCCACGTCTCACTCCCATTAAATTGACGGGTCGTTAGTTCTCTATTAACTAGGATTCTACGCTGACCGATTGGACAGTATTAAAGGAATTTCATAATTTTATATAGTTTTGACTTTAAAACATTTGTATTGTATTCTATTCATATTGTATTTGATTCATATTAAATGAAATTATTCGCCATTTCTTTATATTTAGCCAAGCTCCGGGGGCTCAAACTTTGATGGAGCATGTTAAAAACCCAGATTCAGTTTTTCGGTTTTGTCACTTTTTGAAATTCCTGTTTTATACAAGGGATAGATTTGCACGTTCATAATGACCGCTCGCTTTGCCACGTCACTGCTGTGAGCCTCGCGTGTTTAGGAAAAATTGCGTTCTTACTGAAACTATCTTTGATCTAGCCTTGAAAATCGAAGAGTGCTACTGTCAAACTGAGTTGGCCGGCTGCCAAACACTTGCGTTGCAATCTCTGCCTGTCATGCAACGCAACTGTAAAAGAAAAACTACCGAAAAAAACAGGAGACAAGACTCCAAGACAATTCAAGAGGACTTCATCAACTGCAAAAACTCCAAAGAAAAAAAAGAAAGGTACTAAAGGAGGACGTGGCAACGCTAGACACGGTGTCTCGTGCCTGGAGGCTGAGGGTGGAGTTAGCATTCACCGTGTTCTTTATCGAACAATTCTGCATATGACAGTTTAATCAATAAATCAAAATACAAGTTAAAAATTTTCTTTTGTTGTTCTTTGGGACAGCTGGGACTGGAGGTGCTGGACAGCGTAGTGGGCTACAGCCTACTCTCATCCGAGGTGCTACCTCACCTGGTGCCTACCCTGTGCCGGACGGTGGTCCTTGCCAAGCTGTCCGAGCCCAGCTGGAGGGTAAGAATGACCACCCTGGTGTTGTAACAAGTCACTAAAAGGATCGCTGGGCTCCCAGAGAACATTTTGTAAAACGTTTTTCGGACTTCGTAGTCTATTAGCCCCCTTCCCCTGGAAGATGCCGAGCACTCCGCACTAGCGGTTGTCGAGCGGTTGGCCTCCGTGAGCAATCGGTCACGTGATCCACCCCAGTGGCACGCGCTGCGGAGCAAATCGAGCGTAGGGAGGCTCTAGTGAGGGTGGGTGCAACTCAAAACCTGGAGAGCGTTTGCAATTTATCTGGCGGCGCTCGAGGGAGAGGATTGGGAAGGGATATGCTCCAATGTTGCCTGCACGAGAGCAGACGCTCGCTCTGTTGCAACTCTGTTGCTCCATGCGCCTTTCTTCCTCTTGCCTCCCATTGCAAGCAACGAACGCCTTGGCGCAGCCTTTCTCGCTTCCTTCTTGTCCGCGAATTTGAAACGTCGAGAGGGGAAAGCAGGGTTGCCAGACAAGCAGCAACGTCAAAGATGGCGGAATTTACCATTTTTCGCGTTAAACAAATATACTTAACCTATCGGAACAAAACTGGTGGCTATGGAAAAGTAATCATTATACATTGCGTAAATTATTCAAGCACCTTAATGGGCTCTTATGACCTGAGTTAGGAAATAAAACGACCCTTTGCCCCATAGATTCCCAGCAAAATTTAGCAATTATATAGCGTCCGTATCCCATGATCCCCGATATAGCATTTGCGCCCACCCTCACTTGAGCCTCCCTAACTGAGCGTAACGCTCCCAGCGCCACCGCTTTCAGAGCATCTGCTATCTTGCTGAAAACATGACATTCTAATCAGAACTTCATGCTTTGACAAAAAATTTGATTGTTTACTACTTGAATAGCAGTCACCCCGACGTTAAGACACAATTTATTATTCCTTACAGTTATATTAACCCGATAAAGACAACTAGAAGTACTTGTACGAGCTGTTCCAAACACATATGCCGTAAAACGATCGTCATCTCTGAAGGCGACTTCCACCTGCGGAGTATTTGGCGTATTGTCTTCTAATTATTCCAATTACATTACGGAGACCACACAACAAACAAACTACATACCTAGCTCTTCATCCGAATAGGCGCACACAACGTTTTCGTCATAACGTGATATCTTGGGCCTCTTTGCTGGCAAGGCGAACGACTCGGCAAACACTTGGCCGAGAACGGCTGCCTCGTCGTCACGTCACTCGAGCTGGAGCTAAGCTGGTATCTTTGTCGCTATCGGTGATTTCACTATCACTGTGTTTTATTAGATCTGAAATTAACTGCTACTATGTCATCACCACAGTATGCTTGGGCGAGTCGGTCATGACGAGAGAAACGAAAGCTAGCACAGCAAGAGAATTGAGCAATCGAAACAAAAAAAGCCGCGAAACTCCTTCATTCCCTTGCGGGAACGTTGATAACGAAACTTAAATGTTTTGAGTGACTACAGATCGTATTCCTCCAAAAAGGCTGCGCGGAGAACTACTCCAGACCGCTCGACGTGCTCTGCCTCTTTCCCACGGATCGGTTGGAGCCGCTTGACGTGCGCCCCACCGGATCCAGATCTACAAGCGGCACACGGAAAGATTGCTCGGATCTTGCGAGGGGAACAAAAATCTGCTTGGCGAGCGCTCGCTATTTGCCAGGGGAGGTGGCTGTATGTCATCTATAGAACAAGGGCCAGAAGAACATTTCTATTGCGTGTGCTAGTTTTATAAAAAAAAAAAGGGAACCAAACTGAAGGTTGCTGTACCCCTCAACTTGCATGGCTTTTTGAATAAGGTCTGCAGTGAGGTGCTGGGAGTACCACCTTAACGAGCTTACTGACATGAGCCTTACCCAGGTGCACTTGCACACACTGCCACTGACCAAGGACTGTCCTTGTCACTAGAATTTTAGGAATAAAAGCTGTCTTTTTCTTTGAGTTTCTCCTTCGCAAAACCTAATGAAGTAGTTGTGATAGGGATCGGAGTATCGGCGTTTTTGCGGGGGTTAACATTGGGGTGATGCCAGTGAAATGTGGCTCGTAGGTTGGACATGAGCGCCTCATAATTACTCATTTTGAGCTTGTCACAATCAATGCCTGGACGAGCATTCTGTCAGCTGCTCGTGTTCGTTCACTGCAATGACAAGAACGGCCGAACACTAAGGGACGCTTTAGAAATGAGCATGTTCCCCGTGCTTTGCCAACCCCAGCGCGTGGCTGTGAAAAACAATGGTGGCACATAGGTAATCGGTGCCAGATCACGTGGCCTCTTGTTCTAACTGCAGGTCGAGGGGATGAAGGTTGTTTGTTTCTTTTCCATTTCTTTTTGCGACTGTAACCGCGTGGCGAAAGAGACTAACACGTGTTTTGTAGGTTATGAGCATTGAAGAATAATTTTATGTAGTATTTACCTAAATTATGATAAAAGGCTGCACCATCCCTCCAGCAAAAATGCGAAAAGAAAAAGAAAAAACAGTAATGATCCAGTTAACCCATACCATCCTGCCAAATTCCTCACAGGTCCACAGAAATATTTTATCAGTTTGACACGATAAAGGCTTAGTAGCTTCATGCTGGTGCCTAAATGAAAGTTGCCTTAAGTTTTATCTGTAACCTATGATTGAGGCAAAATTTGCTTTATACTTTAGTAGAATTAATATGCCACCCAGTCATATCTTTGTAGTCATTTACGGTAAATTAGCATGTCAAACTGATCTATGCTCTTTTTTAAAGGGGGCTTGATTTAATGTGTCCATTGTACTGAGCCTTCCATACCCAACATTTTGTGCTGACTGTTATGTACCTACAATTTCAGACTGGACGCTCCAACTGGACATCAATGAAAGTTTCCCTGACAAGCGTTGTATTACAAACGCTTTGTGCCAGTCCTTTTTTTACTGGCCGTTAAAAACAAACCATCTCTATTCTGGCGGGGTCTAGCTGTCTCATTGACTTTGAGACAGAGGCTCGGCGCACAATGTCTCCTTTTTTTCCTAATTATACGGGGCTCAACTCAAACTTTGGTTGGGGGTGCCTACAATCCGACAAACGGTTATGTGATTTCGGCAGCACGCTGAAGACACACATGCAGCACAAAATTGTACTGATGTCTTTGCCACGTCATTGCTCATCCCCTTCAGTACCTACTTCAGCGCCTAAACTACCAAACTTCCAATTTTTATAATGGACACCTCATTCTAGAAAAGGCGCCACAGTGTCGCGCGTTTCTATCGAACAAAGCCTTTGGTAGTGAATGTTCCGGTCCCGACAGTGTATCGTTGCCGAACTCTAAATTGAAGTCGTTATTGGATGCATGTATAACCCTGCGCAACTTGCAGACGATGCGCAACCTCCAGGGGACTCATCTTGGCCACAACGTCATCTCCTACCTCTGCCGGATCCTCGAAGACAGGTCAGTGTCCTCTTGTTGAAATCAGAGGCTTCTGCTTGCTGCAGTCCACTCGGCTGTCGAATGTGTTTTGAGCTTGTGCACTAACTCTCTTCGGCAAGGGCCGTGTTAAGCTCATGCTCTGGGGCATTGAATTTGGCACTCCAATCAACAAACGAACAGGTGCACTGCCGGAGACTGACATTCGAGCGTGCTCTTCGTGCACCGAGTGTTACTCGGAGCGCGAGTGACTTCTTTGCGCTCCGTGATGTCACGTCCACAAACAAGATGGCCGCGCGCCGTTGTCGAGGGTATCGAGACGAAGGGCGTAGCCAGACCACTGTCCCTCTTTATTTTTAGTTAAATAGTGCTCAATCTTGCAAGGAAAAAGGATTTGATTTCAAAGCCAATACGGCAATTAGCATTCCGGAAAAGTTTTGTTCGTACATCTTGCCTGAAAAACAAATTCATGTATCCAACGGTGGCGTGCGATATCGGTTCCGTGGCACGCTAGCAAACAAAACCGCGAGTTCTCGCGGTTTTGTTTGAAATATGCGTGCGCGATATTGGTTCCATGGCACGCAAGTTTAGCTGGTTTCCATGCGTTTATCGCACTGTAAGATACGAATCTGCTGCATCTGTGGTAGATTCGTGACACAGGTGTTTGTAGCAAATACCCACATGTTTATCGCGTTGGGGAAGTTCGAATTTGCCGTGTCGGCGATTTGTGGTATCAGTTCCCATGCCACATGGTTTGTAGCAGATGCCCCTATGCTTATCATCTATTTTTGAAAAAGTTTTGCTGTCTCATCCCCAAAGATGGCCTACCTCATATCTTTCACCATTTATCTCTTTCTTTTGGGTGGACGCCCTTACAAGATTTTACGGTAAACTATTTTGTGCCACACTCTCAAAGCCAGCATAGTTTCCACGGTGCTCTGTCGCTGCCAAAGCTACTTGCACAAGCGCGTGGCTTTGTCCGATGACCTCCTTGCACAAGAGCACGTGTAGACGAGGCACAAGACAGAGCCGCGTGTTCTTGCGGCAGTTGTGGGCTGCAACATTGTGAGAATTGGAACAGCATTGACAGTGTAGCACCAAATACAGTCTAAGCTCATTATAACAGACCTTGATTTTGACCAAGGTTTCGGTCTGTTGTAAGAGGAGTGGAGTATGTTGTATGCAGATATGAAGTTGAGTCAATGGTATGTAGAGGAAAACCAGCTGAACTTCACAAATCTATATGTTACATCCAAATGTCTGTTGTAACCAGGTCTGTTGTAATGAGCTTAGACTGTAGTTGAATCCTAGTATATAAAAAGTCGGCCGTGAGGAAGTTTCCCTAGACTGTTTTTCATGAGATGCAGAGTTCAGATTTCCGAAACTTTCTGATGACAAAAAAGTTTGTAAATTTATCTAACGACAAAGTTATGAACTTTTGAGTAATCCCGAAGCAAAATGTTCGTAAGTATTGCGTAAGTTACGGATTTCGTCGTAAGTTATGCAAAACTTACAAACATTTTGCTTCGGGAATACTCAAAAGTTCATAACTTTGTCGTTAGATAAATTTACAAACTTTTTTGTCGTAAGAAAGTTTCAGGAATCTGGCCTCAGAAGCTTACTCTCCCGCTCTAGACCAGGAATCCTCAAACCTTTCGATATCGAGGAACCTCTAACGGCAGCTGGGGAACCCGTCCCGGTTTTGGCGTTGATGCAATAAAGTGCTGAAGCCCACAGATCTTCTAAACAAAAACGCACATGCCAGGGAGTGTTCGGCTTCTAGCTATGCATCTATGAATGTTTCAGATCCTCTAAAATAGTGCTTAAACCGAATAAGGACATGCCGTAAAATCTCACACAAATGCCCTGCTCCGGGAGATTGCCCATATCCTTTTTCCTGGCTAAATATCCGTATGCTAAAAACTTTGGGATGTCGTCCGGCCCCCGATTTGGAAGGTTGCACGATTCTATTACCGTATTTATTCAAATATAAGGCGGTCACGATTATAAGGCGAGGGGGTAGTTGAAGGACCCGAGAAAAAGAAAAAAAATTGTCATATTGCTATACTGAGCTTTGAATATAAGGCGGGGTATGACTTTGAGACTACGGATTTTGGAAAAAAACCTTGCCTTATATTCAAATAAATATGGTATGTGATGTCTGACGGTAGTCACGTCAACCCCTCAGTCTGCAGTATTGGCACGAGCAGCAGGTTCTTGCGTATTGCACCGCAGTACCCAAGTTTGCTGTGTCCGTGATTGCACGTGGGATGTCGGTTTCAATGTCGTGCGAGTTTGTAGTGAAAAAATTGGGTTGTGGGGATATTTATACAGCGTGTTGTTGGTCTGCCATTTAAAGTTGCGACGAGTCTCTCGCTGTAGATGAGCAATTCAGCCAGTGCAGTACAACCGCTAGCCTGGGGTCTTTAACGTGCACCACTATGGCGCACCGTGAATTCACGAGGGCGCCCATCAAACCATTCGGCCAATCTTGGCCGCGACACGATCACATGGTCGTGTTGCCGCGGGGTCGATCGGGATCTCGAATTCGGCTCCCGACGCGCCGCTTTCTCTCCTAGCCACTGGAGGGCGCTGCAGGCGCCCCCGTGGCAGGCGAGGAGAAACCTCCTCGCCCATCGAGAGATATACTCAGTGGGGCAGGGGGCGAGAGGCCTCTAAGAACTCCGGACGCGACCGAGACGCAGGGACTGGCAGGCAAGTGGGTGGCGACCGGATCTAGGATATCGCGGGACGCGAGACCTAAAGGCCTCCTTTGTGTTTAGCTTTAGCCTTAACGTGCATTTGTAAATAATTGTGTAGTGTAGCTTGTATTTGTAGTTTAGATTGAGTGTTTTGTAGTGTTGTGTTTTATTGTACCAATAAACTGGGAGCGGAATCCCGCTCCCTTGAAAGAACCAGGCTGGACTCGGGTTGTTGACGGACCACGTGGGAAACGGCGAATCGGCGGCGGTACGCGAATTCCCACACCACGCAGTAGTGATACACGACCGCACGCCGGTACGATGCTCATCCAGATCGAATGGGCAAGGGTGCAGTGACTTTCTGCATGTAACTTGAATCTGCTGCATTCGCGATGTGTGGGATCAGTTCATGTGCCATGTGTCTGGTAGCAGGTTTCGCGGTGTTTACCAGTTGTTTTTAATGCGAAAGCATTAACTGTCCCTTAGAGCGAGCTGACGTCATCAGTTTGAAGCGCAAAAACGGCACCCAGTTTCCCTGATCTCAAAGGAGTGAAGCTAAGCTGATGGATTTCACCTTCGGTTCTATTGGCTGGCGTGCGTCGATGGGACTCCCATTGGCCGCTGCGCAAGTCAGTTTCCACGACCGCTCACCCCATGGCGCTGCGTGTCTATCAGCGTGCCGTTAGCACAGAACGTCCAAAGTCAGCGTGCTGAGGGGAGCACGCATGCTGATCGGCAACGAAAAGTATGCAGCAGACGAAAAAGGGAGCGGACGAGCGGCTTGCGTCCTTTCGCATTTACAACTCACAAGAAGTGCTTAGGTGTACCTCGAGCTTTCTTTTTATTAACTTTTGCTGTGTAATTTACAAGGATTGTCCACCTGATATTTTAATCATTTATCTCTTTGAAATGAGTGGGCATTCATACGGGATCTCACGGTACTTTGTGGCAGTGACGGTTCAGGAAATTTGAGAGCTCGGTGAACTCACCAGGGTGCTCTGGGGAGCAGCTTGGTTCCTAAGCGACGAGCTTGGGAACCTCTGCTCTAGAGTGTAGACAGTTCATTTGTACACAGTCTTGAACCAGCATGCAAGAAATAACAGCCCTATGGGCATGACCCCGCCCTGAAAGATCTAAATGCTGCGGATGAAAGTCTGTTAAAATAAATATTTTCATCAGTAATATTTTTTTTTAAAGATCTTTGTTTATGGCATGGCCCAGACATAGATCAGGAAATTCACCATTCATTCCTCTAACCCGTCTTACAAGCTGGCTCCAGTCACAGGAAAAAAGTGCTTTGAAAATTCATGCGCTCGCATTTGTGCCTTTACCAGCGCTGAAGGTAACTTGTGAGATGGAGCATAGTGATTTGTCGTTTGTTTCACCTTCTAAAATGTTTTTTGTTATCTGTCTGTCTGAATCCTTTATCCCTCAAACAAGCAGGCAAGCAACAAAACTACCAACACGAAGGAAAAAGACTCACTGCAGCGTGTTTATTATTTTATACTACTTTCTTTTTTTTTCGTAGCCATCAGATCTCTAGCTTGCCAGTGCAATTATACTTTGTTTTACATTTGCATACCTTTTGAATAACCCCTCGTACCATCACGATTCTAAAGATGCCTTTCAAGATGTTTATTCCAGTTTGTGAGCGTCCCTGAAAAGAAGGAGCCGTGGTAACATTGAGAAACTTTACTACGCCAACCATCTCGACGCAGCGAACCAATGTGCCGCTTCTTTTCCCTTGCTGCAGGGCCAACTACAGAGACTACACCCTGCTCAAAGGAGCGGTGTTCTTCGTGGGTGCAGCACTGTGGAGCCACAAGGCGGTGCCGACGCTCAAACACACGCCTGCCGCGGTGCTGCCTTCCATATACAGGGTGGGGCTGCCTTTGGCTTTTCACATCCGTAAAACTCTTAATTTTCGTTAGGTGTGAAGCAGACGGCAGTTTTAATGCAAAATTGCACTCTTACCGAAGCTAACTCCAATTTAGCCTTCAAATAAGATGAGCGAAGTGCGCCAAGCTTGATGTGACTTTGCCTAGTTTGGCCGGTGTTAAACTCTGTGCCGCGAGCTCCGCCGGCCACACAGTGCAACTGCAGAAGGGAAAAAGACAAAGAGATAAAGAGCTACTGTGAAAGCTTTGAAAACAACAAGAAAAAAACCCAGTTTTGCACGTGATGGTTTCATCGACAAATGGAAGTAAAACTGCTAGTTTTTTTGTTTGCACACGTTTGTTTCTACAAATGAAACCACATTGATGAGGCGTATATTTGTGTTCCCCTTCGTACCGAGTCCTTCTGGAACTGATGGCCCCATGTGCACAACATGTCGAGTAAACGAGAGAAGGATCATCTCTTGCACTCGCAAAAGATGGAAGGGAAGACGTTTGGAAAGGTAGCAAGGGAGGAAGGACCTTGCCGTCTCTTGAGAGACCCCTGAGCGTCGGAATAAGTTTTAGTTGTGTGCGAATAGTGGTATTTGAGTTCAAAAGTGAACAGCGATTTTGGCTGAATATGTTCTAACCGGATATCGAGTAGTTTTCAATACCGTGCCCCATGCTTAAACGAATATTCAGCTGAACTTGTGCAGGTCGTTCGAAACCTTCCACTTGTTCACTTCTAAGCTCAGTAATTTAATGGGGAGACATAAACCTAAATTTTAAATTAAAAAAAAAAAAAAAAAGGAAGTTTTTAGTTTGGTGTTTTTGGTTTTAGAAACTAAATATAGACCGTTCCATTAGGGTCATAGCAGAGAGGGCAGAAAGAGAAAAAAATGCCTTCCCCCTCTCACCCGCACGTCGTCTGCTCCGCCGAGTGGGCTGTACCTGGCGTCCGGCTGGCGTACAAACTCTGTTTAAAATCGTGTAATAGGTATTGGAAATTTCAAGCGCAGATGCGCAGATTTTGGTATGCCAGTCATTGTGTATTACTATGCTAGATAAAAAAAACTAACAGGGTCCAATTGTGTTGTTACCTGCGTGCAATTAAAAAGAAAATAGGGAAGACTGTGTCAGATTGGCCATTCTCTCCGGCGAAAAGTAAATCCGGTTGCTGTACCTTTTTTACTATAGAAAGTTTGTACTGGTGTAGGCCTTTAGCGACCATGAGTGGAAGTGAAATATTAAATAAAAACGTGCTCTCCTGCCGCAATACACGCAGTAGTTGAGGGTAGTACTGCAGGCTGACTCAACTGCTATTTAAGTAACGGAAAAAAGATATGATAGTTGATCATTTACTGAAATAGAACAACAGAGAACTCTAGGCTGATTTTGGAGTAGCCATAACTATTCTAAGAACGCAAACTACTTCACAACGGCAGCCACGAGCGAGAGTTCGATGTTCGGTACAACCCGCCGGTACAGCCCAAAGATGAAGAATGGCAACCTCCCGGTTTGTCGTCTGCTAGCGGAGTCAGGCGCTTGCTCTCTCTCTTGTTTTACCCCGCCGAACCCGCTGAATTTCCCGGATGTATGAAGAGGGCACTGCTGTCAAACAAAATGGTGCCGCCCAGAGGGCGCTAAATGGAATGGTCTATACCAGGGGTGGCCAAACCGCGGCTCGCGAGCCGCATGCGGTTCTTTGCTGGTCCAAGTGCGGCTCGCGGATCCCTCGTAATGGGACCCCCCCCCCCCCCCCCCCCCTTCGCCCCTTTCCGCGTTTCCCCAGGAAAAAAAAAACGATTCGAGAATAAAGCACACCGCAGCTTGCAGTTTGGCAGCCTTGTGCCCCCGTACGTACAGTCAGACTCTGAACAAAAGTTAAGTTTGCCCCCCATCCCCTTGCGGCTCTTAGAAGCTTCGTGGTTTTGTTTGCGGCTCTTAGGCCAGGCCAGCCTGGCCACCCCTGGTCTATACGCCACCCCTGGTCTATACACCACCCCTGGTCTATACACCACCCCTAGTCTATACACCCCTGGTCTATACATTAAATTTGATAACCATATGCCAAATATTTACGTTGATATAAATCACTTTCAACACATGGTGAGGTAGTGACAAAGTAAAGGAGTTCAATGTTTGAATGCATTTTTCTCAGTTCCACTTTTTGCTGCTAATTTCATACGATGGAATCTTTTGTTTGAAAGTGAAAGTATTCTGATACCACAGTCAACATGTTTCTGAACTGAAATTTACTGGGGAATCGGGCCATCTACTTTATTTGGTTTTAAGTTGAAGTCCTCATTGAAAACTAAGTTTTCAAATATTGACATAGGACAGATATGCATCTCATATTTTGAGCCAATCACTCTTCCTGAAATATTTACATTTCAGTTATAAAAACTAGATAGCCCGAAGTCCCACATCCCCCATTGTATATTCAAGCAGCCAAAATGGTGCTTAATAGCTTCATTTGCATATCATAGATTTCTTAACGAAGAGTGACACATCTTATGCAGGTATGCAAAGTTCTTCTAGAGAGTTGAAAGTTTGCACAGTATATTTACATCTGACGTTAAATCTTCCCTCCAATTTTCATTCCAATCACTTGAGTAGTTCAGAAGTTGAATCTCTAGCCAACCTTAATGTAAACTGTGGTGTGTAAACAACACAATTGTTGCAGCTATTGTAATCGAGGGGATTTACAAGTCATGCTTGCTATATGAAAATATTTTTTCCTCAATTTCAAATTTGACAGCAAAAAAAAATTGTTCGATGATTAATGGAATTCATCCTATTATGGAAATGCATTAGCATTGGTTCTTTCTCACCCCCTTTTCACCCCCTTTCCATTCAGTTAGGACCCCTTGCCATTTGTTTATCATTGCTTTACCGTTGCTTATTAATGCCTTCCCATTTCGCTTTCCGCTGCGCACTTCCGTCGCCTTGCCTCTGCGGCAGCAGCCAAACGACGCTTAAGCTCTTCCTCTGTCTCAGTCTGACATCGCCGACGTGTAACCTCGGCTTTCTTCCGTCGTCGCTCTTGGATACGGTCGGCCATATCACTCGTGGAAAGAACCACATCCATCGCTGGAGTGGCAAGTGAGCTGGGCCGCATTCCAAAGCGGCGCCTGCTAGTCTCTGGCTCCGCACTAGCTGTGTCACGCTTTTCGAGGTCCGGTTACCTCCTTAGCATCGGTGGAGGTCACGGCTAGTGATTGAGACAAAAGGCGGTTTGCTAGGCAGGCGAGGGGCGACTAGTGGCGGGGAGGGAATAGTTTTAGTTCACCTCCGTTAAACGGCGCCACGAAAGCTCATGTACTCTCCATGACGGGACACTGTGGTTCCCGTGACTGCCACACGCTGTCGCAAATCAAGAAATAACTTTTTCTTTATTGCGCAGCGGAAGGTGTTTAGGGGAGGGTGGTTAGTTTTCTCTCACTTGTGCCAAGATAAACAATATAAAATATACCAGCTGCAAATTCTTTCACGGTTAAAATTTTTGCATTGCCCCTTTAAGTGTCACCAACTTGTTCTTGCGAGACTTTTTGAAACCAACTTCGAAGCCTTAGTCATTTCCGCATAATTGAAAATCGGCTGCTGCTAGCTTACAACTCAGTAATTGAGACTTGCAGATTCCAGGGTTTAATGCCCGCCCCTGCTAGTTTCAGTCTAGTTGAGCATCGTACTGATGCATAGTTGTTTATTACCACCACATACCCTATACTAGCAGTCGAACTGCACGGTCTAAATTTGAACATGGAATGTGTTTTATCACCCGACTTTTGTGGAGTTCCGTCGCGTTTGGCTGTAACAGCTGGCTGTAATGGCTGGCCGTAGCAGTTGGCTGTACCAAAAAACCCACGCCAAAACTTTCAGCCTTTCCTCTCTCGTGAGGAAGGAAGACCAGCGAAGCTGTACCATGGTGGGAATAAATTAATGGCTGGCCGCAAGTCGGCAAGCCAGAGTGGAAAGGCTGGAAAGGTTGCCGCCATCTATGAGCGACGGCGGTAACCAGATAACCGGCAAGTTGGTTGTCTGGTTTGCCACCATCGCTCGTAAATGGCGGTAGCTGTCCAGAGTTTTCTGTCATCATTTGTTTGCTGGCGGACATGATCCTGGGAAACTAGCCTGTAAAAATCATTGCGCCCATAGGAAACCATATAAAAAGACTTTGGCCACAGGCAGGATATGAACTCTTAGCTAGTGTGTGCTAGCCCACTCAGCCACTGATCCCCCACGTTTCCTGAAAAAGGGAAACAAATTAGTCATTACCGGTTTATGCAACCGGAGTTCTGTCTACCAGAGCGTGGTGACATTGTTACCCACTGTAGACGAGAAATTCAGCTGGCGCAGTACCATAACTAGCCTGGGGGGTCTTCTGCGTATACCACGCGGTAGCAATACACGATTGCATGCCAATACGATGCTCGTCCAGGTCGACATGGGCAAGGGTAGGGATCGAACACAGGATGCCTGGATTCTGCAGTGCGAGCCTTCGCTTCACACACGCCAAGCTGGGGTGCGTTAATGCTCTCTGGTCACCCTCTAATTCCTCCCGTCTGCTCTCAGCCCCTCAGAGACTACAGCTCACTCCAGAATGCCACATATTTTGTTTGAGTTATCGGAAGTTTGAATTATCAGAAATTCACCTAACAGCATGCAAGATGAGATTACGATTTGTTGAACGAATGACTACAATGGCTACAGATACCAAGCAGATACTTGATGATTTTCTCTACATGGGCAGTCATAAGCAGGTATGCCGCACGTGAAATATGGGTTCAAATGTGTGAGATGACACCGGTGGGTGTGGGCTCCACGGGTGCTACTTCTCCGCAATGCTCGGTGAGAAGCGCGCTCGACGGAGCCGCAACAACTAAAAGTGTGAATTACACGTAAACAGTGTTTGAACGAAGTGACTTACACTAAAAACAGTGGGACAACCGAAATTTAAAAATTTCTTTGAATTAACCAGAAGTATGAACTATCCGAGTATGAATTATCCCGAGACTTCTGTATATTGAAATTGAGTGTAATTTTCTTTTAATGCAAAAGCATTGACTGGTCCTATGGAGTGAACCGGCATTATCAGCTTTTGAAACCGCGCCAAACGTCACCTAAACTCTCCTGTCCCAAGCGAAGCATGTCATCTGCAGTGGCGATTTGATCGATAGGCTCCCTTTGGCTGGCGCGCATCATAGTTTCCAGAACGAGGCTCTCATTGGCTGTCGCGCGGCGTAGTTCGAAGGAACGCCACCCCACAGAAAAGCCCTCTTCATGGCAGCGCAGCGGCCTGGCCGCCGGTAAGAGGGAGCGGCTGGCCGCAGAGCCAGCAGAGCCTGCCCGGGCAGACTCTGGAGAGGCTGCACGGCCACTTCACGAGAGTCCGTGCTTGCCTGTCGGCTGCTACCTCGACAGTAGCAAAACGTGGCCATCCACGCCAGTACGTCGCAAACAACCTAAGGAAGCTGAAGAACGACATTCATGCTTTCGCATTCACAACTCGTAAGAAGTGCTTAGGTGTCCTCGGAATTTTTTCCCTTCCGAGTCTTACGGATGTATTCTAGCTTTGGTATTTCCTATTTGTTGTTGGACTCATTGGACCCACTCTTGTTGAATTCATTGGCCGATTGCTTGCACGTACTGAGGAATGAATGTAGCACACATGCAATGCATTCTCTCCGCTTATCTTTCTGTCTTAGGCCCTGGACTGCAAGCACCCCTCTGTGGCCTACGAGGCGGCCGTGGCTCTTCAGTGGCTGATCGGCGATCCGCCCAAGCCGATCACTCCCTTCGTCTGGAAGTTTGTCCTTGATGTCCTCGAGAAACTGGTTTGCCTCCCCGAGGTCAGTCAATGTTAGCTGCAATAGCACCTGGTCGACACATTTTTCTGGGAACCACAGCTTTTAGCCTTTCCACTCTGGGGAAGAAGGAAGACCAGCGAAGCTCTACTATGGTGGGAATGAAGTAATGGCCGGCTGCAAGTCGGCAAAGCAGGGTGAAAAGGCTGGAAAAGCAACCAGACAACCGGCAAGCCAGTTGTCTGGTTGCTGCTGTCACTTGTAGATGGTGGTAGCTGTCCAGAGTTTGGTGTCATCATTTGTTTGCCGACGGACACGATACTGGGAAAGCTAGCCCTTAACAGCTCCGCTGTAAAATTGTGCGTTGCAGGAAAAACGTAGGAACCGGTACTATTTTTGGGACGCTGCAGACGAGACGGGAAGCACCTTCCATGCTGCAATTTATTTTGCGAGACTTTTAAGGCGGGGAAAAGACACTATAGTCGTTCAAATAAAGATTGCCTTTTTTTTTTAAAACAATTATTTAAAATTAAAAGTTGATAAAAAAAATTTTTGACCTGTAAAGAAGTGAGCGAAATCTCGAGTTGATCGAGTTAATTAAGGAGGAGCACTGGTATTAAAGGGGTTATGACACGAAAATTAGACGGATAGATTATTCTTGAAATGGAATGCTCATAGGCTACTTAGTATATACACCAAGTTACGCGATTTTTAGAGCTCTGACAATTGCCATATTCAATTTACAAATTTTCATTATTTTCATCTGGCGACCAGGCAACACTGCTCAAGTTAGTCACACCATGGTGTCCATAAACCACGTGACCATGAACACTCTCTCATTCTAGGCGCCCCCATGATCGCCCAAGCTCTTCTTCTCGCGGTACGAACAAAACCGCTCAAACAGCTCGGTAAACTGAAAGCTATTCTCGCTCTCGCCCCCCGGCCGGTTGGCTTTCCACCCTGCATGCGCCTGCGAGATATTCCCGGACGACGGTGACCACGGCGAACTCTTCGTCGCTCCAGCTGGTCGCCAGCGGGTCGCAATCAAAATGAACAGCTTCCAACATCTCTTGATAGCAATCACTCTCATCGCTGCTGCGATCAATGTCGAACACTTCAACAAGGCGATCGATGCCGTAGACGTATTCGTCACAGACCGGGTGCTGGAAACGTGGAAGGTAAACGAGGAAGCTGAGAGTTGATATGCCAAGAGAGCCCAGTCTGTGAGTGCGTGCAAGTAGACACCGCGCTGGAGGCTGGCTACGTCATCAGCCTCCAGGTCCGCCCGGATCTGCCCCTCCGAGGGGCCCACATATAAATCGATTTATCCACGAAACTATCGCGCCTTTTTCAAAACAAATTTAGCAGGATTATAGGAACATACAATGGGTCCTAGCAGTATAGTTATGTAATATTTTATTTTTGGCGTGTCATAACCCCTTTAAAGCTTTCTTCCTTAATTTTTGGCCAAGCCCAATGAAACAGCACGGGCTTGTTCAAAATTCTGTGCTAATTTCAAATATCTGTTTGTTTGTTTTTAATTAGTATGTTAGTTTTTAGGATAATTATTATTAACCAGGTTTTTGTTTCCAAAAAAGTGAAAGCCGTTTACAACTCCCTGTAACGCCGAATAGACCCTTTCCGAAATTCAGTCTGGCCACTTTGATCACCATCATCATCGAAAAAATGCCATATGTGCCGTACTAATGGCAGCCTTCTGTTTACTGATGAAGGAAGAAGTTGAATATGCTCCTTAGCAGATAATTGGAGGCTTATACATTCGTGACGTTAGCACGATGCGGGGCAGGAATTGAAAGTAAGATCTGCGTGAGCGTTCATTTCTAGCTCGGACCCAGCCAGTCTGTTGGTAGCATCAAGGTGATCCAAAGCCCCTTGATTTGTAGAACTTTATCAAGCCGTGTACGTGGGTTGATGCTTCGTTCTGCTTTGTTGCATCTTTGTTTCTATCGTAACTGAAAGAGATCGAGAAGGAAATGTACTGTGAAGCGCACGCTGTCGTTTGCCGTTGACTTGCAAAAGTGACGGCACCCGATAAAATACGGCAGACTCCATTTTCAAGGCCGTCATTAATACGGCAAAAGTTAAACTGCCATTATAGCCACCAGATGGCACTGAATTTCGGGAAGGGTCTATTGGAGCGCAGCTCTTGAGGAGGAGGAGGGAAGGGTACTGAGGGGAGGGCAGACCCCTCCTTCTCCCCCATTCTTGAATATGCTCTGGGGGGGTCACTTGACTTCAGGGGGGAGGGGGTCACGTGACCTCGGGGGGGGGGGGGGGGGGGAAGGGGGGGGTCACGTGACTTTGGGGGAGGGGTCACGTGACCTTGGTGGGTCATGTTACCTTGGGGTAACCTTGGGGGGGTCACGTGACCTCGCAATTACGCCGACGCCGACGCCTGTTGCTCAAGCCGGAAACGGGCGCCTAAGAGCTGCGCTCTAAAACAGTAGTGGAAAACGTTTTTGAAAACATGAAAGACGTCTACAACTCCCTGTGACGCCGAATTAGAGCGCAGCTCTTGAGGAGGAGGAGGGAATGGTATACCCCTCCTCACCTCCTCAACCTCCCTGATACTCCTCCTTGTCATCCCTTTTTCCCTCCCCCTCCTCCATCCCCTCCTCCTCCCCTCCCCCTCGTCCTTATCCTCCCCCTTCTCCTCCTTGCCCGTTGCATCATGGGAAATGTCCCATAATGCACCGCACGGGACGCTCGTGACGTCACGAGGGTTCCGCGCAGTGCATTATGGGACATTTCCCATAATGCACTGCGCGGTTACGGCGACGGCGCTCAAGCTGGAGACGGGTGCCTAAGAGCTGCGCTCTGAAAGGATGTTTCAACAAATTGTCAGATACTACAAATTACAAAGAATGCAATGTTGGAAACAGTTCTTAGATTGAACCATTATTAGTGACTTTACAACACATTAAAGTTCAGTGATCAATCTGTGACTAACAAGCAATAAAACAATAGTTCAGTTAGAAATATTCCCATACCTATATTGAAAAGTCTGCTTCTAACATTGTATGCTTGGCACATTTAGCTACCTGTTGTTAAAAAAAAGTTATATTTCTGTCTGCCCTAAGTGCTGAGATTTCCCTCCTGAAAATTTTTAAGGAGTCCATAATTTGTGTTTTGCAAAAGTGTTGTTTTAGCATCAGCCTGAATGCAAGTTCAGCCCAGATAGATATTATATGGTGATATTATGGCTCAAATATTAATCTTCAAAATAAGAAACCTGGCATGCGCTTGCGCTACCGGTAATTTTGAAATATTCGAAAAACTCTAATACTTTGCACAGCAAAAGCATTCTACTGATTGAACCTAACAGCAAGCATATTCACAAATTATTAGAAGTTTCAAATGTTTACACACGTCTAAGCACATTGGTTTTCAAACTGGGTTCTTATGAGTTCTCCAACATACCTCTGGGATTCCCCAGAGTACCTACCATCAGGGATTTGCTGAGTTCCCAAACTTCCTTGCTACCTTTCCAGTCTGAACACTATTTCAACAGATCTGAGCCATCCATTAATACACAACCATAAACCAAATGCTTCCTAGCATCTGCATTATTGTTTGCAAGGTCGCAGGATTTTGTACTGCTTTATTGCATCATTGCTGAGGCGTGGAGGATTTGCTCGGCTATCCGTCAAAAAAGACAGCCGCTCCTCGAGATTGAAAAGTCGAGTAGTAAATGTTTTGTTGTTTTTTGGATGTTTCTTACTTCGCAGTTTCTCCAATCTCGCGTGCGTGACCGTTTCAGGTGGAGCAGGCTTCTGCGAGCTCACAGCAGTTGCAGCAGATGGTTCATGACATTGTGTCCAAGGTGGAAAAATCGTACGACGAAGGGACGTACAAGGGTTGCCCCCAGCGCCTCTTCAACATTGTGGCAAAGTGCGCCTCCCTCAGGCCCGTGAGTCACTCTTTCACCTTTAAAGGGTGTGCTGTGAACTTGTTACACACTTGAGCACTTTTGAATTGCGAAATCTTTCAAACCAGAAAGTTGTTTCAATTGTAAATGTATCCCTTGAGTTTATCTTTTCCATAGATTTTGTATGTTAAACTCATTCCATGGGTTCATCTGTTTCCAAGTTCAGCTCGTTCTCTAGGCAAATCAGACTTTTGCTTTGGCCTAGGTAGCCTTCTTTCCTAGGCGAACATGTTCTCTTGGCAACCCTGTTCTTCTGGACAAACTTGTACTGTATTCAGGCTTGTTTTCTAGGTAACCTTGTTCCCCAGACAGCCTTCTGCACCTAACAAACTTTTTACCTGGACAGACTTGTTCCCTTGGCAACCCTGTTCCTTGCACTCTGTGCAAGCTTATCCCAAAAGTAACCATGTTGTCTAGGCAGCCTCCTACTCTAATAAACTTCTTCCCTAGGCAGATTTGTTCTCTTGGCAACCCTGCTTCCTGGGCAAACTTGTGCTCTAAGCAAACTTATCTCAAAGGCAACCATGTTACCTAGGCAACCGTGGCCCTTAGGCAAACTGCTATTCAATGCAAACTTGTTTCCTAGGTAACATTGTTCTCCAGATAGCCTTGTTCCTTATGCAAACTTTTTTCCTAGGTAAACTTGATCCTTAGGTAATCCTGTGTCCTAGATGAACTTCTCAGGTCAGCTCATTCTACAGGCAAGTTTTCTACCAAATTGGGGCTGATTATGCTTAATAATATTTGGTCCCAAAGGATATACTAGATATGAAGGGAGAAGAACTTCCTTAACCTTTGGGACAAATCTTGTAACATAGCAGTTCCGCTTTCACAATTGGCTTGTGGAACAAGCCCTTTCAGAACTCTTCTACAGTTTTGCATCATATCCCAAAAGAAACTGTTTCACTACTGAGAAAAATCTGCATTTAGATCGAAAGGCAGTTTTTTGAGCCCAGCGTACAAACACCATTTTCACTAAGAGAATTACGGGCTGTTTAATTTCGCGGCGAAAGTAATTGGTCCGCCGGTGCTTCGCTCCCAAGGCTAAGTACTCGCGTCCTCTGCAGGAGGCTTCCCTGCAGCGTCTGATCCAGTACTGTGCGGAGAAGGCGCAGGTCCCCACCCTGAACTGGGTGACCAACCTGTCGGAGATCCTGGAGAAGTACTTCAAGGCGGAGCCGCGGCCCTCTGTCCGCCTCTACACGCTCAACGTCGTCTCTTCCGTGCTCAGCAACAACAGGCACCTCTACGAGGCAAGTGGCGGGAACCCGAAAGCACGAGACGCAGGGGATTCGAACGCAGTTCGGCCAGTATAAACAGCCCTGCACGCATTTCATTTTTTATGCGAGTCGCATCCCTCTCACTTTTCTTGCCGCCGCAGTTGTTTTTCTGAGTGCACTGGCATTGAAAAGTGCAAGAAACGCAAAATATACAAAAAATATTTTTTTCATTTTTTTTAGAAATTTTTGTTTACCATATTTACTCGCATAAGGAACGCACTTCCCACAACGGGCATCAATATTTGATCTTTTTTCCTTTTTCTCGCGTAATGAACACACTTTTAATTTTCAACTTCACGAGTTTTGGAGCCAATTTTCTTTTGCCGCCAAGCGGCCAGGCCAAGTCAAGCCAAGTCAAGCCAAGCTGCTCTCGCAATGGCTTAATTGCGTGGTTGTGGAAGTGACCAACCGTGAAACCGAGCGGCGCACACGCCTAGCGAAGCTGGGATCGAGGAATTGCCCAGCCCCGGACTTCCTTCGTCCATCGGATGCAATTGATGTCAACAAACACGCCGTCGTCTGTGATCTGCTTTCGAACAGTGATATCATGAAAGTGGTCAGGCCTAAGTATGCAGGCGTCGCTCCTGTGCTGAGTGAGCTTTGTAGGGCGCTTTTTCGTCGGCAGAAGGCATGCCAAGAACGCCCTAAAAAAGTTTGCAGTTTATAGAGTATGGTTACTGGGGCATGCCCCCAACCAAGGAGATTAGAAGGGTAGGAGGGGAAATGACATCAGCCGTGTAGCCTCCACAAGCCATGCTCCCTTGACGCCTTGCCTCTTGCTCATTTTCCTCCTTACACTCCTCACTTATCGGGCCAATGTGACCACAGCACGCGACCGTCGCGTGGTTGATGGTTGCAGGTAGCAGGGAGCATGGTGAAGATAAGTTTAATTTATCAGTCATACCAACTAAAAACTGGCCCGCGCCTGGCCAACCGATTCGATGGCTGCTGCGTTTCGTTATGTGCCCTGAACTATAAAATAAGTGCATTCTGTTTTGTACATACTGTTACCATCATGAAAATGATAGTATTCAACGTGGAATGCCAGCGCTGTAACGATTGCCTCTTGGCGTGTCTTGGGTAATGTACCTTGCAGCTGCAGGGAGTATTTTTTTTATCTCCTGGCCACTAATTACTACAGTAGCCAAAGCGAGAATAAATTATATGTACACACATGATTGTGTCACTACCGTATTTACTCGCAGAATGAACGCACTTTTTTTTTTTCCGAAAAATCGATGCAAAGTTAGGGGGGGGGGGGGCGTTCATTACGCGAAGTAAAATTTTTGCGTCCGTATTTACTCGCATAATGAACGGACCTTTTATCCTGAAAAATCGAAGTAACTTCTTATCTCTTTGCGAGCGGCGCCCGACCCCGTAACCTAACTTAAGCTGTGCAAAACAAAAAAAAAACCTCCTCTTTGTTTTCTTTTTCTCTTAGTTCCTTGGTTTTTTTTTTTTGCCTCCTTTCGCAAGCTGTTTTTTTTTTTTTTTTGCTTAGGTGAGGGCTCTCCGCTTATCTTTTTTATCTCCTTGCGCGCGGCGCGCGACGCACGACCTCCCCCCCCCCCCCCTCCGTAACCAAACTGCGCTGTGCAAAAAAGAAAAAAAAAAAAGCTCCTCTTTGTTTTTGTTTTCTCTTAGTTCCGTGGGGTTTTTTTTTTCTTCTTTTTGCCGCCTTTCGCAAGCTGTTTCGTTCGCTTAGAGCGCTTCTCTTTCTTACCTCCTTGCGCGCGGCGGCGCGCGAACCCGAAGTCCAAACTGCGCTGTGCAAAAAAAAAAAAAAAAAAGCTCCTCTCCTTGGTTTTTTTTTTTTTTTGCTTCCGTTGGATCTTTGCGAATTTTATTAACGCCTTCTGCAAGGCGTTTTGTTCGCCCACGCTGCCCATGCATTCGCGACCTCGCTGCACCAGGAAAAAAAAAGCGCGTGGGGGGAGGGGGTCAAAATCTTGACGTCCGAGTTGGGGGTGCGTTTATTACGCGAATGAAAAAAAAGTCGAAATTTTGAGAGCCGACTTGGGGGGATGCGTTCATTACGCGAGTGCGTTCATTGTGCGAGTAAATACAGTATGTCGACCCAACAGGTTGAACCAATACTTGCGCATTTTTACGGGAATGATTTCCGCACTCGCCTGCAAATGATAGCTGCACTCTCATCACTCTCATGTTATATCACACTACAATATGTTTGACTTTTTCTTTTCGTTGCGGCCACTATGCAGGTCGTCCACTGGGACGTTTATTGCGGTCGTGACAAACTGAACCAACTCAACTTGGCTCCAGGTTGAGAAACGTTTTATTGACAATTGGATGTGCACAGAGCACATCACACTCCACTTTGCTGGGGTCCAGCCACCGCCGCGACCAACGGCCGAAATCCATCGTTTCCGCAGTTCGGCGTCGGAAATCTAAGAGAACTGTTGACCGATACCTGTTATCGTAAAACTATGAGTGTGTAATATGCCAAGGCCTTACCGGTGAAAGGTAACCCCCCTGAAGAAAAGCCAGTCGCGATTGTGGCAGCTGACCACGCTGCAAGCGCCCATCCCGTAGTCCGAGGAAATTAGTGTCCCGGCAACGCCAGGCTTTCGTTTTCTCCGTTGCAATTGCGGCGATTGCCCTGATTGTCCTGTGTACCCTGTGTACCAGCAGCGGTGTGTTGTCTGCTCGTGATTTGCCTCAACCTCTTGCTTGCTTCATGTCTAGCCTTTGATCTGATAAAACCTACCGGACAGAGCACGCACAAGCCTGCAAGGAATCCTCCTACAATCAACCATCCATGTCGCACGTGACATGTCGCGCGCACCAATTGCCAGAGAGATCTGCGGTAACGTTGGCCACAAAATCGTTTAAACTTTTTATGACTAGGCCTCACAAATATTGCAATGCGATCCCTCCTAGTATTTATAACCTCCTTGCCCCCAACCAGCCATGGGTGTGCCTCTATCAGCGGCGACGTGCCACAGTACCCTGGCATGTCATATTGACTCCTAAAATCACATTTCCACGAAGTGTGTAAATGCAAAAATTTTACCCCGCGTAATGAACCCTCCACCCCCCCCCCCCCCCCCCCCACCCCAAGTCAATTTTTTGGGAAAGAAAGTGTGTTTATTATGCGAGTAAATACGGTAATTTGCATTCCTCTTCTTTGATTTCAAACGTTAAAGTCGAAAATTTGGGAGTTATGTGAGTAAATACGGTAGTTTCTGTTTGGGAAGGATCTGTAGTAGAGTTAAAAGATGAGAGTTTCCACTGCAGCGAAAATGCCTTTCAGTTGAGTGTCTCGGCCGCCACCGGAGCCCACCAAGCGTTTCTCGAGGTCGCAGAGAGCACTTGCCGATGTGCAGGAGGAACTGATGAAGAAGGTGCTGCTCCCCCACCTCGGCGCGCTGGAAACGGATCCCGATCCGGCCGTGGTGACCGCGGCGGTCCAGCTGTTGACCGACTTCTTTCAGGACAGCGGCAGCCAGCAGAACAATGAAGTTCTGGACATCATCGAAAAGGTGCGTCGCTTGTCCTTGCACGCGATTGAAGAGTCGCGTTGTTTTTATTCGTACGAAGGACAATGACACGCTTCAATGCTCGTCCCTTCTAGACGACATTCGCGACATTGGCGAAGGACGGCAGCACGATTTGACTTTATTGAGAACATCGAGGACGTCTGAGAACAGAAACGGGGAGAATATGCTTATCTTTTTTAAGGAATGCAGACCGCTGTTTCATGAGGTTTGTTGGGCAGCGCACTGGCACCCATTGTAAACTGCCACCACCCAGTTGTTCGATTTTCATACATTTTCTAGTAGTCTGGGCAAAATGTCCACGACTGTGCATTAGTCCCTAGCTTTTCTCCTGATAAATGTGCTTAAACTCCAAATCAAAGATTAGTGTATCTCATATTTGAAAATTGCATTTGCGTGCTATATAAGGCAACATGTGTAGCACTGAAAGTTTCTTTAATTCCCATGCTTCTCCAGTTTAGACACACTGTAGCTATGGCACCTTAGGTTGCTTTATGATATAATATGTAGAACCTTTCGGATCAAAGTCATTTTATGAAAACAATGAAAGACGTTTACAAATCTCTAATGCAAAACTAGAGCGCAGCTCTTGAGGAGGAGGGGGAGGAGGTTATGCCCCTTGTCCTCCTTCGTACCCTCCCCTCCTCCTCTCCTTTTCCTCTCTTCTCCTCTCCTCCTCCCGCTAAATTTAGCGGGTTAAGTTTCCTTGCTAAATTTAGCGGGGAGATTGACGTCACATGAACTCAATACCAACGCAGTTTCCCTGCTAAATTTAGCGGGGAAAACGACGTCACACGACTTTGTGTCATGTAACCCATGAACAAATTCCGTTTCTCCGCTAGGTTTAGCGGGAAAATTGACCTCACGTGACTCCCACGCCAATTCAATTTCCTACTAAATTTTGCGGGACTGTTACGGCAGCGGTGATGGCGCGAAACGCTGAAGCGGACGCCTAAAAGCTGCGCTCTAAAAATTTATATCTTGGATATTGTAAAACTTTATAGGAAGCTTTAATACTAAGGTCTGATATTGCAAAGGTACGGATGGAGCAAAGCAAAGTGAAAGTATAGCTGCAGTGCTGCATCTGATGCACTGACACAAAGTATCTCTCTTGAAAGAAACAGATTTTGCTACGCAGAGCATCCATTTAGTACAAATCAGTCAACTAAATTAATACCTCAATGTCTGTTGCACCATAACAAACTTACTACCACATTTTTTTAAAAGTAAACTTGCATTAGTATATATGCATTTTCTTAAGTGCTTGTACCTGCAGTGCATGCTTACAGCATCTGTTTTTCTTTATTTGCTAGTTAAATCACTGTAAACTCATGACAGTGGTACAGGCAGCTGAGATGTTTCTGTCGCACTAAAGAATTCCAGTATGACAAAGACAATTTTTTGCAAATTTATTCTGCTGTTGAAGCGAAAGTACAAAGGCTAACAAGGTGGTATAGGTTCATAGTTCAAGGCAGGGCTGAGGAACTAAGTGAAGATTTCTTTAGTCTCGGCATGCACTCACGACTTGATTAAAAAGGTGCTCTATCGTATACTGTATGCAGTAATCCCTCGTTACAACGAAATTGCTTTTTTGAAATTATCGCTTTTGTCGAAGTTCAATGTGGTCTCGACCGAAATACACATGTTTTCAACCAGATTATTCTAAATGTATCGGCGGCCGACCACGCTTATTACAAAGGTCGCGGTGTCGAAAACATGCAAGCCTACATGGAAGTGCACAGAGGCCCTTGCGTTCTCTCCCCCTTCTCTATTGAGGCAAACAGCAAACTGGGAAGATAGCAAACGAAAAAACAAAGCAAACGGGCGACGGAGGGCAGAGTGCACAAAGTGTGCAGGGCGCCACTTCTGATGCTGGTGCGCCGATGCGGGCATGGAGCAGCGGAAACAGCGTCCACGTTTCGACGCCACTCTCATCCCGACTCCTCACGGAATCGGGATGAAGCTCGGAGGTAATCATCCCTTCAGAAACTCCCCGACGCGCGCGCCTGCAGCATACCAAGGGCGTACATGCACACGTGCGTTGTATGGGAGAGTGGGAGTCTTTACCAAAAGTCGCTTAGTTGTGCGAGGTTGAGAAAAAGCGGCCGGTCTGAGTTTGAAATCGCCAAAGAATTTGACGTTCCGGCATCGGCTGTTTGACACTGTCCACAGTTTTGCTGAACAACCAAGGCATACTGGAAGGGTTTGAAAAGTTTCTCATGCAAGAGAAAGCATGCCCGCAACCCGAAGGTGAAAGATTGCCAACTGCTTTGTGCACTTTGGATTTTCTCTCGCGAGCGTGCTTGCCGAGCCGGTGCACAATTCCCAGAGCAGCAACAATCTCTACAGGAGTGTGTGCGAACCCGTTGGCGAAATCACCGAGGGTCATTTTGTTTCGTTCGCGCTCGTCGATGCGGACATTCCCGTTGTTGCTCCTGCCACGGATGCTGCGATCGGGACCTTGCGTGTGGTTAGGGCAAACGCGAAGCGACGTCGAAGAGGCAGCTCGGAAAACTCCGATGACTGCGGAGACGAGAAACATCCTACTGCTGCTTTGAAACAAAGCAGAGTGCGGTGGTGGCAACAGTGTTTTTGCGGTGCCTAGAGTATTTAGAGGAACACTGATGCCCAGATGAAATTATCTACAAACTCCACTTAGTTATTTTTTTACTCTGTAAAGCTTCCTCTTGTTGTTCATATCCAAGGTTTGTTTTATTAAATATACGGTCAGAGTGTTTTTCAGTTTCCTGTCTACCTTCAAGGCTGCTGGCGCCGTTTTCTTGGCTCTGTCGCTTTTATCTAATTACTGCAGGGGTGGAACGGCTGCGCCATTTGCGCCATTTTGCGCCAGACGCATATGTCTGCGCTATCCTGCGCTATGTTGCAGAAACTGCGCCACAGCCAATACCTCGCGCCATTATGCGCCAAATCGCTAAACGTGCGCCAAACAACTTTATTTTGTCTTGGTTTCGGGTTTTATCGACTCGATTGGCAACAATCAGAGCGTTTAGCCTGGTCGGCCTTGCAATCCTCTGTTCTCTTTATTCCCCCTGTCTATCCCGAGTCGGAAGCCCGCGAAAAAACTCGGATTCTAAGTGCTACACCACCTGCGACTGGATTGTTATTCTTCAACCATAAGCGGTTTAGCAAGTCGGCCGAGGTGAGGTCGAGTCATTAAGCGTCAGATTCCACGAGGCTCTGCGGCCCGGGATCTGGACGTCATCCAGTCGAAAGCCAATGAGCAAAATATTCCTTTTAATACTTCATCGTTAGGAGTTAGAACCGCATTCTCGCAAGATAAATCGTGATTTGATAGAACTGAAACGCGGTCCGATCCGAACCCTTGCCGGCCACCAGCTCTGCTTATCTGCTCGGCGTACTTTAACCTTGCTCCTGCTTATCGCTTCAAATACAATAACTTCGTTAATCGTAGTCTGCTGCTTCGATGTCGAGTTGCACAATAGGATAAACTCGAAATTCGTTGCCCTGTTCCCCTGTGCAACCACACGTCCGTTGTTTACGCACGTCACGTGGTTCGGACATATAATTACTATGTCGAGCACGTGTGGGTTGTGCGATAAGCAGTGCTGGTTTGCATCTTGAGCATCTGAATGCCACTCAGAAAATATCAAGGACGCTATCTTCAGAAACAAAGAGTACTTGCTTTTTGATTCTCATTAAGGCTCACAAAGTTTCAAGTTTTCGCATCTATTACACTCTTATCCCATCTACCTAGGTTCCTAACCACTCATGTTCATCTCTGCTGCTAAGCACAATTGAAATTGCTCCTGTGCTTGTCTAAGACACAAGCTGAAGTGCAATGCAAACTGATCTGAGCTGCTGCTAGCCTGCTCCAGAATGTAGTTTTAGCTGCTCCCAACCTACTCCAAAACAGCTGTTTCAGCTGCTCCCGTGGCTGCTCCCGAGTACACTTCATGAGTTCCACCCCTGTACTGCTTACTATATCGAATTTTTTGCCGTCCTGTTCACCTTGTTATGACGAGGGATTACTGTATGTCCTTCGGAGGCTCTGAAACTTTCGGATGTCGAGGAGTACATATCTGCGTGGAATGACAACAAAGGGATCCTTCTCTCTTGGGCATTGTTGCAATGAAACAGTGTACAAATCCATAAAGTCTGTTAGACACTAATTACTACACTAAGCACTTTTGTATAAGTATTCTTGTGTTGTTACAAATGCTACGAATGTGCTCCCAGCTTAAAAAGGGTGTACCCTTTGGGTTTAGGGAGACCTGCAGGCACGTAGCCAGAGGAAGGGCCCATGGGGCCCGCCCCCCCCCCCCTTCCCGAAATCTTTCATTTTGCTGGGACCTCCTCTCTTCCTCCCTCTCATACAGGATTTTGTCATGGGTGGGCCCCCCCGAAACAAAATCCTGGCTACATGCCTGGAGACCTGAGAGAATCTTGCTGCCTCACAAATTACTGGAAGTATTTTGGAAAACCTCGGCGTCTCTCGTAATCCATTCTGCCAGCCGACACGCATTTGCTCATAATGGGCTGCGGGGGAACATGGGACTTTTAGGGCTTCCTGGTGACCAGAAGTCAGTACTCGGACAAGTCTGTATACTCTTAGAGTTCTTTAAGCAAGCAGAAAGTGAACAATTTGGCCGCTTTAACGGTGACTCTGCCCCACCAGGTGCTGAACCACCCGACTTGGTCGACAAAGCCGAACGGCGCTGAGGAGGTGCTTCCCGTGGAGACGGCGGCCAGAGGTCTCATTGACGTTTTTCGGGTGAGCACTCGTACGCCTTCGACTATTTTCTTGGAGCACGACGCGCAGCCAGAAGGACGAAGGAGACCCTCCCCCTGTCTGTAAGGAGTAGCTCGGAGAATAACACCACCGAGATGACTGGGCCCCGTATGTTAGTTTGTCTGTGTCGCTTACCAAAGGCCATTGCAGGGCACGAATTGAGCTCGAGGACTGCGTGAGCGTTCGGTTGAAACTTGTGTTTTTTCGGCGAGAACACAAGTTGCAGCTGAATGCCGACCGCAGTGTAAAAGGCGATCCACTTGCGTCGAGTCTGACCGAGTGCAGGGGTTACCATGGCAGCAGCTGCGTCGGCTCCTATGAATGGTGGCTAAAACCGGTTTTGTCGCAGCCGACGCAGCTGTTGCCGCAGCAAGCAGCGTACCCGGTCGAACTTGATGCGTGTGTGTGGACCGCCCTTAAGATGTGCACAGGTGTGAACATCACGCGTGTCCACACCTCTACGCATCCATAGCCGCCAGACAAAGTCCTCTTCTCGCCTCGGTTGCAAGCGGCGACACCAGACGAAGCTTCGATACGTGGCAGATGGTAGCCTGTCGCATGCCTGGTTTCCCATGCTTCTTTATGGGAGATACACTTGTTTTTAAATTAGTTTCCTGGCTGCGCCACATCAATTTTTCTGCTTAGACAATACTTTGTCATTGGTCCTAGTTTTGTGCCTCAGTGGCAGCACTATAACAGTTTTATGAACACGTTGAAGCGGAGAGATCTGTGGCGCAGCCATCAAACCACCATCCGCCAAGGTTGGAGCAGATGCACCGAGCAAAAAGAGTGTGCGCCTGGGTGCCATGAGACGCTTGTTTTTCTTTATTCATTTTTCTTTCCAGTTGCCCCATCTGGATGACAAGACGCTGTCGGCTGAGGCTACTTGGGCACGCGCCAATAGCACTTTGTCTGGTCAATCGCTTTGCAACATTCGTCGTGCTGTCTGTCCTCACCTGTACTGTATACCTTACACCTTGACACTGGCATAGCACTCGTGTCCGGTTTGCACCCAACGCTAGCCTTCGGTTGGGGATGTAGAAAAGCCTATACGACTGTCTCATTATTCGGGAGGTACTGCAAAAAGACCCTCTTCTCTTCGGAAGACGAGCAGAGAAAACTGCAAAATGCAATAGCAAAAAGGGCTCTTTGTGTTGCAAGAGACGATTTTGTAGGGTTGGACTCTTAAAGTCCCCAATAACCCCGAACAGGTAGGCAAATGAACCCAATTTGAATTAACTTAAGTCGTGCATCAGTGCACAGCTTGGCTCATATTTAAAATTGGGCTCGTACCAAAAAACGCTCTACGAGGGGTAATGTCGATCGAGAGAACTTGGGTGGCCCGTATAGCTTGTGGGGCTAGTTTGGGGAACCGAAGTGTTGCCTGGGAACCTAGTTTGAAAAAGACTCGAACGTGAACATTTGCAGAGATCTGTCCGGTTGCTGCAAGATGAATTTAAAAGGGGGTACATCTTACTGAGCCCTAATTGAGGACCCAACATTTTGAGGCCTACTCAGCCTCTTCTTCAGAAGCCACTGTGGTGGTGGCTGCTCCTTAACGGCCATCGCCACAGTCACTCTGAAAAAAGAGGCAGAGTAGGCTTCGAAATGTTGGGTCCGTAATTAGGGCCTGTTTGGACATCCCACCTTTTAAAGCGATATCTTTATAGTGCCAACGGACCCCAGGAGAAGAGTGAGCATGAGATGTGTAGGTCAGTCAGTTCGTAACTTCTAAAGAACATTGAAAAAAAAAAAACGGCAGCCGGTGCCAGGGATCTAACCCTGGTCACCGACGTGGAAGCCGAGTGCATGCTGACTGAGCTACAGGTCAGCCCGCAGGAATGGGAGGAACAGAAGCAGGTGGTATGAGAAAGTATGAGGAGCAGAGAGGGGTGGAAAGGGCAAGAAGGAGAGGAGCAGAAACAGGTGGTGTAGAAAGAGCGCACGGAACGAGGAGTAGGGGGCAGGAAAGTGCGCTTCCTTTCTCGTTGTGACCCAGAAAATTCAGTGCTAAGGCTTTGTACCCAGGTGGGGCTGAAGGGAAGTTTGTGCAGCGTCACAAAGAGACAATGGCGTGACGAAATCTGTTTTCATACAAAACCCTGCCCTAGGCATCACCTGAAATAAGAGCACCACCCAACCCAGTCACTGAAAGGCTAAAGGTCAGCCTGCCCTAGGCAGCACCCAAACTAAGAGCAGCACCCACCCTATAAAGCTACCACATTTAAACAACTTTGGCTGAATGACCAAACATACAACCAATTTCTTAATTAGTTTGTGAAGTCATGTTCATGAGTCTTGTGCATCGGTGGTTGTCAGCAGTTGTGGCTCTTTACTGAAGTGGGGTGCCCTGTGCCGGTTTCTTTTTTTTTGCAGAAGAAGATGTGGCTGAGCCCTCAGTGTGCCGTGGCCACTTTCCGTCTGCTAGTTGACCACGTACGTCGTCAATACCGGCAGGACCCCTGTCAGCTGCTGGCGCCCGTACGCCTAGTGGTAAGTGGCACTTGGCTCGATTTCGGTGTACTGTTGGTCACACCTGGACTCCCTCTGGGGTTCGATTTTAGTCAAAGAGAGAGTGAGAGCGTCTTTGGCTGCTGATTGGACGTGGCGCTCCAGCTTGCGCGTAATCAACCAATGAGACATTTTTGACTCGTTCGTGCGTTTGCAATTGGGCAACGTTTTAGTGAGAACGTCTCGCCAACGCACTATAGCGAGAGAGGTATCATGGCCTCTGATGTGCTTGTCCTCGGTAGCCATTCAATTACCGGTCGATGTCAGCTTGTGTACGGCAGCAAAACAACTTGAGACTTGAAAAAGAAGCGCAAGTTGTCAATTGCTTTGAACGTGAAATAGCAGACAATCACAGTTTTAGACAGCTTTCAATCACACTTTACCACGGTGCTGGGTTCCCAGCAGACCATCAACTGTTTTTTCGGACTGTTAGCGGACGACATACGGTGTTTTCTTGTTTTATTTCCGTCTGCGAATGACGCTTCGTATCCGACAGACTGCATTTTTGAGCTTGTCCTTGTCACTCCGAGTCATCTTCGTGCCTACGAGAACACTCGGCCCTTTCTCACCAAGTTTTCCGCCAGTACATTCAAGAAGTCCTTGGTCCTGAGTTGCAAAACAAACTCTTCGGCTTTTGCACAAGTTATTGGTTCGTTGAGGGCAGGTTTTGGCTACACGCCCCCCTTATCCACAACACCAAGCACTTTTCAAGCTTTTCTTGGTCAGGCAGTTGCAGTCTCTTCCTTTGTGATTTAAACCACGTACCGTATTTACACGAATGTAGGTTGACCTTTTCTTCAATCTTTGAAAATCTGAAGTGGGGGGGGTCGACTTAAAATTGAAACAAAGCATTCCACCACCGGCAAAAACGAAACGATCGCAATATCATGAACACCCGGCTTGTTACGAGTTCAGCCGGCAGTACCTCTAGCATTGCACTATTCTATGTGCTCATTTTACAAATTAATCATTTTTCTATTTGCACAAACGAGTATTATTGATAGCAATTCGCAAATTAACCCGAATATACGGCGGTGAACAGCACACGGCGCGCCCGACTCCCGGGGGGGTGGCGGCACTTCTCATAAGAGCCACTCTGGAGGCCGCTGGCTGCTGGAACAGCAACTGTGGGAACAGCCTCATGGCTCACTCACCCCGCGGTTTTTCTTTGCAGTTTTTCACACGATTCACGGTCGTACATTGTGTGATCGAGTGACGAGATCATGCTGGAGCGCTAACTACGTTTTTTTGTATTAACACGCGTTATCCGGGCAGTTTAGGTTTTCGGTGCTTGTTTATGGCCATTCTTCACTCAGAAGCAACCATCAACTGTGCTGTTGGACTCAAGTTCGACCCGTTGGAGCGGGTGATGCTCCAGTGGAGTCTGCAGTGGCGCGGGACCTTAAATTGTGACGGCAAACAAAGAGGCTTCCGTAGGCCAAAGTATGGTTCCGAAGTTAGAAGTCAGGCTTGCAACGTACGCCGCAAAAGTGTGAAATCGGTTCCTACCCGTGACGTGCAACGCGATCGCCGAGCAAGCGCGGAAGATGCGGTTGATCCTGTCATTTGCGAAGTGCGAGGTTTCGCTGGACAACGCCGACGACGTGCCTCGGGAATGTAGCAGTGATGACGACGGGACTGACATCACCAGTGCGGATAAGTCGTAGTCAAGTCCCAGACGGAGTGAGAACGATAGTGAGCAGCTTCAGTTGTCCCGCCTCCAGCATGAACTTCCTAGTTTTGATACCGCCTGGCCATCTCATGCACGTTGCACGTGCAAGCGCAGCCAAAGCACGCCAGAAGGCATCGATCCCGTGTTGGAGGCTTAACAAATACTTTGCCGTTCTCACGTGTTCGCAATAAAATGCGCATCTAAATATTTTTTTTTTTTTTTTGCTGATGTGCAATGTGGGGGGTCGACTTACAATCGAGTCAACCTACAACCGTGTAAATACAGTACTGGTGAAAGCACTCTGCAGCTTTTCTTGGTCGGCAAGAATCTTTCTTAGACTACTTTATCAAATGCCGTACTTCAATGCGAGCGCCAGTTTTGTGAAGCAATCACTACCAAAATCATTGATGGTTTCAAGTTTCTTTTTCAATGCAAGGGAATGGTGCACCCGCTTTCGTTTTGTCATCAAAGGTGTTATGTAAAAGCCTAGCCTAGCCTCCAAAACGATTGAAACCGACAGGCCAACGTTACAGTGCCAACATTACCAGAAACAGAGGGAGACGAACAATGAAGCATACATCAATGGTGCTATGAAAATGTCAAAGAGCACAAGAAACATTTTTTTTGTATAATTTTTAGTGTTTCTTTTTAGCCAGAAGTATGAAAATTTTGTTTATGGAAACCTTTTTGCCTTGCGTAAATATGAAATCAAACAACTTCTAGGTTGCTGTTCCATTTAAGGGGCGCTTCCGTTTGAACGACTTCTGTTTACCGAGATTTCATTGTTATTCTATTCTGGTTCGTTCAATGTCTTTTATAATTCATTGTGTATTTTTACTTGTCCCATAGTTTTCTGTAGAAATATGAGCGAATTTACAGAGACCCACGCAGTTAATTTGCTGCTTTGACCATTTCCGTTCTCTTTTTGGCCTCTAGGTGTCGCAAGCCAGCACCCCGTTTTCCTGACGAGGACAAAAATCGAGCTGCTTTTATCTATGTCCACTGACTAATGGGCTTAACTAAATTTATGTTCTGTACCGTTTGGATACTCACAAAATTCAAACCTGACCAAAGGCTCGGAAGCAAAGTGCCGACCTACGTATCCCCAGGTGGGGGGTTCGAATCTCGGTCGAGGTGCCCGCAATCTGTTCAAGGCTTGTTGCGGAAAAGACACCATGTAACCAAGATTTCGGTTGCCCGTCAAAAGGTCCACGGGCGGTTGAAATGACTCCTCAGTCCTCCTCTAGGAGGCGTGCCAGATTCCCTTCGTTGGCTTAGCACGTAAAACACCCAAGTCTGATTTCGATCGGGTTGCCTTCTGGTTCTGCTACGATTGTTTGGTGACACTATTGGTCACCGCTGCCGCCCGCCTTGACGCCTCACTTGGATGTCCCACTTCGTTTCATGCCCGAAAGTGGGAAGACTTGGTTCGCGGGGACCCGCGTTTGACAAGTTTTGGTCTCGAATTGATTGGTCATTCCTTTTGTCATTGTAAATCCCTGAGCTGGAGACTAAGGCTTTCGTGACCATACCTCCTCCTGGACGTGAGCAAAGTACCCCTAAAATTTGCCCTTTCGAGTTTGGAGGCTAGAATTTACGCCTCAGCTTTTTGAATGCAGAATGTATCTCGACAGAAGAAAAAATCGGATTTGTGTCACGTTGTTGTTGTCATACCGTGCCATCATCAGCTAAATTTAGTGGGATGCTAACTATGGTTTACGTGGTCACTTGGCTGGTGCCAGTATGAGTCACGGGGTCGGACGACCATGTGACGTGCGTCGGGCAACGTTACTATAGCAAGTTACAGGTCAAGAGGATAGCGGCAAATGCCCCTCAAACGGATTCATATATATCCCTTCGCCACCTCCGTATCCAATAGCGTCCCATAGTTTCCGTGACGTCGTGGCCAACGCGGGACAGGGTTTTGCCTTCCTGTAAACATTTGTTTTATCTTTTGACTTTGACTTAGCGTTGTGAAATCCACGAGAGGGAGATTAGTGTTTTCCCCCTCCGATGGAAACAAATACGACTTTGGGGGGTCAGGTTCCCCCAGTCATGGGTAAGTTACTTTTAAAAAGTAATTCGTTGCAGTTACAGTTACTTTAAAAAAAAGTAGCAAAGTTACCGTTACAATTACCGCAACAAAAGAGTAACTCGTTACGGTTACAGTTACTTTCAAAAAGTAACGAGGTTACTTTTCATTTACTTTTCTATAACACAAAAATTAAGGAAAAACTAGTGTTCGAAAAAAAAAAAAAAAAATATAGACACGAATCAGTCGGGCTTTTACCATAGCGGTAAATTCAAATTTAATAATTTAGCTGGAAAATTAGTCAATATTATGAAAAAAATAAAGGCCAAAATTCAACTGGATGTGTTTTCTCAGATTTGAACACAAAGACTTGTTGTCGGAGTACTCCTTGTTGCAAAATTTGCATTCTGCGGTAAAATAGTTACCAACCACTTTCACCACAGAAAAATACTCTCTGTACGCTGGCCATGCTAGTTCTTTGTTCTCATCAGCTTCCCTATCCTTGGTAGCACTAGCACATTACTGGCTCGTTGACGGTTGCGCTGGGTTTATGGACTCCTCTGATATATTTCAGTTCGTACCCAGTAAACTAGAAACGAGCCCTGCGCAAACTGCAGTATATTTTTCCTCCACCGTTGAAACCACGCCGGAGTAGTGGCGCGAATCAAAATACGAAACATGTGCAGTGCAGAGCAGTGGCACTAATCAAAATACGAAACATACGAAGTTCCCTCCGCGTGTATTGTTGTTTCACGGTTGATTCACCCAATTAAAAAGCGTGTGCAGAAAAAAGAAAAACCGCAACAGAGACAACGCTTCAATATAAGAAGACGCAAGTGTTCAGTCACAAAGTACAAGCAAGTGCATAAAGATAACTACATTCTTCTTTTTTTTTTTTTCATCAAAGCTACACGTGGCTTATTCGGATAGTGACTCGCGAGAAAGAACGCACTCTCAAGTTTGTGCAAGTCCAACTGACACTCGAAATGTTGGAACAGACAATTTGGAAAGTGGAAGGAATAGCTAGATTATACTCCTTCAGTGATATATTATTCACAAAGAACTGAAAAGTAACAACAAAAGTAGCGTCGTTACTTTCATCGTTGCCTCAGAAAAAGTAATAGAACTACAGTTACAAGTTACATTCTTAAAAAGTAACTTGTTACAGTTACAAGTTACCCAAAAAGTAACAAACTTACATTAGCGCGTTACTACCCAAGACTGGGTTCCCCCTCTGATGGATACAAAGGGGTCATTCCATGCCAAAGGAGACGGCAATTTTCGTCATATTTTGGATATGCTTGAAAAAAATAATATGAATAAAGACACATTTGAAAGTAAGGATGGCTAAGTTTGAGGGCTGAATTATGTTTATTTTTGCTGACGTCATGCTTCAAAGTGCAGGAAATTTGAGAAAACCTCCTGTATTTCAAAAAATTGCTGAAAAAAAGTTATTCTTACCACATAATTTTACGTTTGCATGCAATCAAGCATAAATATATTCTATCTTACCTTGAAAGGAAAACACCTTACGCCGCCATTTTGGGTCCAGACAGGCACTCCAAACTGAAGCAAATTTTTAACATTTCTTGATTTTTTTTTAGACAACTTGAAATTAAAATTTGGCTAAGAAACTTTTTCTACTTATTTTTATAAACCTTATACTCGACTAGGTTGCATTACAACAGTAAAAAATTATTCGGACAGTTTTTAATTAAATGGTGAATATGACACTTTCTTCAAAAACTACCCTATAGAGGGTAAAAAAACGCCATGTGGGGAACGGTGCTCGCATTTTCTGAAATAGCCGAAAGGTTAACCAACCTCCTCTGTTCAACATATAAAAAAATTAGAAAATTACTTTTTGATATTTTGGAGAAATCATTTTTTAAATATGAGGCGGAACAACATCGCCTCCAATTGTCCACCTCGTCGACAACGCACGCCGTCGTCTGGTACGGTCGAGCGAAACACTGCACGGGGAACTTAATTTCGTTAATATATTAGTATAGCTAATGCTAAGAATCTTGAAATTATGACATGTCGATTTATAGTGACTAGAAACGGGATATTCCTTTTTTTGGTCTAAACAATATATGTTTGGGTGCGGTTGCAAGTTGAATAGCGACAACTTGAATACTGTTTGGGATAGTTTTTATCAAAGCCGAAACAAAGCACATTTGTAGTTCATCGACGTTTCTTTTTTCTTATGTACATGAATGTAATATATAGTCCAGAAATACTATGTACAGATGTCACTCAGGTAAGATATCAATATACCAGAAAGGGCAGGCGAATACTCATATTTAGGGGTTTTCGATAGGAGCACAACACAGAACGTTTTTTCATATAGGGGAGACATATATTTTACAAGAGGTAAACACGCAACATGCTTTTGTTGTGTCATAACCTTCAAATGGCCGTTGGCCTGAATATCCACTCTTAATGTTCTGCTTCTTTTAATGTTTCACTCTCTGTATTTCAGTTGCACTATGTATTTGCACCCCAATACCTTTTCGTTGAGAAGGAGGAAAATCACCGTTATCGCTCGGCATCGTTGACGATCTCCAGCGTTCACTATTTCATTTTTTACAACCAAACGCAGTATGACCAAAAAGTGAAGACGCGCCGTCTGCTGACCAATTTTGATGAACCGTCTGCGTTCACAAACTCGGTTAGTAGACGACGGCTTCGTCTCCAGTCACCTGAGCACATGTAAAGAGAAATTAAAGCCTTCAAATTAGCGTGCCAAAAGAATATTATTATGTGGTGGCTAAAATAACACCCACGTCCATCGTGCAGGAAGAGTTTTCCTTGCGAATTTAAGACATTGCAGCAGACGGTTCACACCCGTGACGTTCCAGACGTGCGCAGTGTTCTAGCCTATGACATGAACTGAAAGCTAATGAAACACTGATATTCTAAATGTGATATAGCATTTCTTGACTATATTTTATATTTATCTACATAAGAAACAAAAACGTCGGTGAGCTGCAAATGTGCTTTCTTTCGGCTTTGATAAAGAGTATCCTAAACAATATTTCGAGTTGTCGCTATTCAACTTGCAAGCGCACCCGGACATATAGTTTAGAAAAAAAAATATGCACTCTCTAGTCACTATAAATAGACATGTCATAATGTCAAGATCCTCAGCTTTAGCTATATAAATATAATTAACGAAAGTAAGTACCCGTGCAGTGTTTCACTCGAACGTAGCAGACGACGGCGTGCGTTCCCGACGAGGTGGACGCCTGGAGGTGATGCCGTTCTGCCTCATATTTAAAAAATAATTTCTCCAAAATAACAAAAAGTACTTTTCCAATTTTTTGATATGTTGAACAGATGGGGTCGGTTAAACTTTTGGCTATTTCAGAAAATGCGAGCACGGTTGCCCACCATGGCTTTTTTTTACCCTCTATACGGCAGTTTTTGAAGAAAGTGTCATATTCACCATTTAATTAAAAACTGTCCGAATAATTTTTTACTGTTGTAATGCAACCTAGTCGAGTGTAAGGTTTATGAAAATAAGTAGAAAAAATTTCTTAGTCAAATTTTAATTTCAAGTTGACTAAAAAAAATCAAGAAATCTTAAAAATTTGCTTCGGTTTGGAGTGCCTGTCTGGACCCAAAATGGCGGCGTAAGGTGTTTTCCTTTCAAGATAAGATAGAATACATTTGTGCTTGATTGCATGCAAACGTAAAATTTTGTGGTAAGAATAGATTTTTTTCTGATATTTTTTGAAATACAGGAGGTTTTCTCAAATTCCCGGCACTTTGGAGCATGACGTCAGCAAAAATAAACATAATTGAGCCCTCAAACTTAGCCATCCTTACTTTCAAATGTGTCTTTATTCATATTATTTTTTTCAAGCATATCCAAAATATGACGCAAATTGCCGTCTCCTTTGGCATGGAATGACCCAGAGGCCACTTTCAGGGGCTCGGTTCCCTCTCTGATGAATACAAAGGCCGCTTTCTGAAAAAGATGGAGTTGGAGACAAGTTAGTTGGCATCACTCTGTAGCCCTTATCTAGCCATTGAAGCGGAACAAGGGGCGTTTCCAGTGAACTATCCTCCCGACTGCGGATGGATTTGAAACGGGTTCATGATGCTTGTGGGAGGTGCTTCTCCTACCTTCTTGACTCGTAACCGACTATAGATCACCTCCTTTGTCGTGCTCCAGCAGATGGGGTTACCCCCCTTTGCTCGCATCAGTCGGTGCCTCCCGTCGTTTGAAGCACCATCGAGATTTATGTTTCCAAACTGTGTGCTCCATAACATATGCTGGAACGTCATCTAGACGATGTGCTTCGAAATGTATGTATTTCATAAGATACACTAAAGTTACCATAGCAGCCATTCGGTGCATCGAACGACGGGAGGCGAGCCGGGGGGGGTGGAGGGGGGGAGGAGGAGGGAGGAGGGGGGGGAGGGGGAGAGGGGGGGAAGGGGAGAGCAGGGTGCTTTTCGTGCAAGCAGCATCAGTGAGCTGTTCCCATAACTGAGCTAATCCAATAACGTTGGCGCTGGGTCACGCCAGGTCTTGGAGCTTTCTTATTTTTTCGCCAAGCCCAACGAAAAAGCACAGGCATGTTCAGATTTTTGTGCAAATTTCAAATATCTGTTATTTCTTTTTAATTAGTAGGTTAATTCTCGGGATAATTATAATTAGCCAGACTTTGTTTCCAAAAACATTAGTGAAAAACCATTTTTAAAGAAGAATGCATGTGGTTAGACACTACTGAAAATATGAAGAATATAATGTTGGAAGCACTTTTCAGATTGAACCATTATTAGTGACTTTACAACACATTAAAGTTCAGTGCTCAATGTCTGGCTACCAAGCAATAAAACAATAATTAAATTTAAAAAAAAATGTTCTATATCTATATTAAAAGCTCTGCTTCCAACATTGTATGCTTTGCACATTTAGCTACATTTTTCTAAAAAAAGTTATATTTCTGTCTGCCCTAGAAGCTTAGTATCCCTCCTGAAAATTCGTAGAGTCCAAAAAGTGTGTTCTGAAAAAGCGTTGTTTTAGCATCAGCTTCAGTGCAATTTTGGCCCACATAGGTAATATAATGATATTATGGCTCAAATATTAATCTTCAAAGTAAGAAACTTGGCAGATCAAAAGAAAAATAGCTGTAGATTTCAAAATTGCCATGTTAAAAAAAAACAGATTTTTAGGGATTTTTGTGCTTTGAAGAGCCATATCTTCCCTTAAATAATATCTACCGCATTTACTCAAGTAATAGCCATACTATTTAGGAACAAGGCCCTTGCGTCTGCTTTTCTGCAGAGCACATATACAGCCAATCATTGCGTTGCGCAAAAATAACAGCCAATAACTAGATCAAAAACACCATCCTCCATACAAATGCAATCTTCACAGATGGTATCTTCACGCCAAGACGATGTCTCTGTCGTGTAAACTGTTGCAGTCATGCTGCCGATCGCGGTGATTGGCAAGCCTCATTCTCTGCGGAAAAGTGAACCCTCAGGTTTTCTTCATAAAATGTGGAGCTATTACTCGAGTAAGTACGGTAGTAACGTTCAGTTTCAAGTCGTGGCGTAACATGACGTCACGTCACGGGACCATCTTGCGCAACATCAGGTTACTTGACATCGCAGTGCCAGGTGACGTCGCACTGCACAGATATTTGCACATTGGCCGCCAAAGCATTTTGACGATGGAACGTCTGGGCAGTAGGTCAAGGCAGCATCTTCCTTTTTTTTTCCAGATCATGAAGTTCCTCGTGAGCCTGCGGACCAATGCCCTGTACCAGATCGGCATGGACGAAGGGTCAGAAGAGGGAATTCGCTACAGCCCCCACCTCCTCTGCCCCTTCAGGTAGAAAATGGGGTGGTGCTGAGCAAGTTGGGTCGTGCTTGAGGTAAAAGAGTTTGGCCACAAAAAGCGGGAGCGGCCCTCGGGCCTGCACCAAGGTAGGGAAGATTAACGTGCAAGAACAGCTGCTGGGAGCATCCAAACTCTCCTTTGTTCACGTCCATCTGCTTCCTCACACAGTAGACTCTCATCAGTTCAAACTCCAGGAGGCGACAAATTTCATCTGAATTCTCGGAAGTTTGAATTTTTGGACATTTGTCTACACATGACGTGAGCTGAAGTGATGACTTGTTATATGGATGGCTACACACACAAAGCAGATATTTGTTGAGTATGCCACAGATGAAGCATTGGTGAAAGGTATGAGATAGGTTTGTTCGTCTCTCAAAAATGTTTTCCCTTCTGGACTGTTTAGACAGCACATGACACCTCAAAACACAATTAAGTTTTGTTCATCCGGCAAAAAAGTTGTCTATCCCCGGTGGGCTCGCTTATCATGGAGCAACGGTGCACTGCAAAGATGCAACCCCTGTGGGGCCGCGGGTGTTGCTGAACAGGGCCGGGAAAACAAAAACTATGAGTTACACGAAACAGAACTTTGAGGACGACGCCTAGGATGACTTCTTGGACTACCTCTAGGACGACCTCTAGGACGCCCTTGAGGACGATGCCTAGAGATGATAACAAGGGATCAGAACCTCACTATCTTATAATGCCAAAGAAGGCTGACTCATGCTGGTTGCCCCTTTCTTTTTTTTTTATTTATTCATACTTGAACCCTCTTTTTGTTCTTATTTATTCATACTTGCCACATCCAATGGCGAGTTGCGTGTCGACGTGTGAGGACGCATTTTTTCCCAGACCCTAGCGTATAACAGCTTCGCTGTAAAAAACATGTATCCCTTGAGATCAGCTGTGCTAATAGCTGTAGTACATCTAAAAATCTTTTAGATAGTACATCTAAAAGATACTTCAAGTAAAGTACAAAGTAAATGAGACGTGATGTACTTTAAGTAAAGTATGAAGCACACTTGGTGCAATGCACTTGAAACAAAGTACTATAAACACAATGTACTTTCAAGTGAAGTACAAGTATTTTAACACAATGTTTCATGATGCCCTTCCATTCCCCTATACAATGATTTTTTAACTGGTAGGCATTGCCCAGGGGTAATCAGGGGTGCATGACCTATTCTTGAAAACAGGCGAATATTTGATAAGGTGACCATAGAATAGTTATTTTCAGGAATGGAGCCAAAATCAGAAGTCCCTCTTCTGAATTTGGCACCCTTTGCACTGGATTATTGCACCCAAGGGGGTTACATGTACTAAGAGAGAGCGTGACGTCAGCCCAGTAGCTTCCGAAACAAAAAATAAGAAAAAAAAAAGCAGTGACTGTGCAAGCAAGCTGGTTATAATTAATCATAATGTGACACCTGAGATTGGGGTGTGAAAAAATTAAAGAACTTTCAAATAGAAGGGAAAGACAAAAGAGAATGTCTCAAAACATTGTGACGTTCTCCTCCGTTGTCTTTTGCTTTGACTTGAAAATTTAATTTTTCCGCATTACAGTCTCAGGTGCTACATCATGATTAACTGTCCTCCTAATACTTTAAACCTCCTCGTTTGCGCTGACCGACCAAGACGTAGCTAGAGTTCAGAAAGCTACGGAAACGCCGCCCCCAGAACAAACGGAGCGATGCGTCGTCTGTTTGCGTTTCTGGTGGGAGTAGAATATCCCTCCCAGTATTTCTTCGGAGTAGACAAAGCATCATTTCGTGATACAAATTTAACAAAACCAAATTCGGGGAACATACTTTGAAGTCGGGAATTGTACTTTCCTCGGAAAGCACCAGAAAAAAAATACTTTAAGTAAAGTACAAGTACATACTCGGAGAATGCACTTCAAGTAAAGTACAAGTTTTCTAAACCTACTTGAAGTGGTACTTTAAGTACAATGTACTTAAAGTACTTCCCAACACTGTGAGCTTAACAGAATGAACTGTAATAGACCCTGGAGAAGGGGAACGAGGAAAACAAAGGACAAACACAAATTGCCAAACAGAGCTAGATGACTGGTGCATGACCCAAAAAGTCTGCCTGGTCCTGCTGTCAAACCAGGGACCTCTCCATTTCCAGTGGAGTGCTCTACCAACTGAGTTAACAGGTTTTATCAGTCGCCACCAGTCTAACACCAACACGGGTGAACAGCCTGCTTTTTAAGGTGGTAATGTTAATGCAATTAATGCAAAGGTGCAGGCGAGCTGCGCAGAATAAACAATTATCAACCCTTTCTCCTGTTTAGCTCGGTTGGTAGAGCTCTCCACTGGAAATGGACAGGTCCCTGGTCCCATGCCAGCCAGGCAGATTTTTTCAGCACGCACCAGTCACGTAGCTGTGTTTGGAGATCTGTGTTTGTCATTTGTCCCCCTTGTTCTCCCTCTCCAGAGTTCAAAGGGGTACTCCGGCGATTTTTTTATGGTTGCTGATTTGCCTCAAAATTGGCTCAACAGACCAATAGACACGGCTGTGCCAGTTTTTAAATATTGTGTGAAAAGAAAAGCATTTCGCAAAGTTGTTGAATTTTCTAATTTCGTTTTCATAGTGTTTCTTGAACCGGGAGCTGGCAACATTGAAGTGTGACGAGAGAAATGGTGCAAAGTGGGCAGTATGCCATGTTCCCAAGTGATTGCAAGACGTTTGACGGTAGGAATTAAAGGAATGCTTGGTAGCTGATTCACTGAGAAGCACCCAAAAAACGCTCGGCGTACTCTGTTTAAGACGACCTGCACGACCTGAAAGTCTGTATCATTTGTGACGTCACACCACCGGAGAGCGCGCGGAAATTTGAATGCTGGTTTCGGCATCATCTTCATGTGCGGTTTTCTCAATTGCTATTTTGAATTTCGATAAAATAAACATGTTTTCAACCAATTTTTAACTCCGGGTCCATGGGTTAGCTTTATTTAGTACAACGTGCCATCATTCTAAGGCGCAACCGTTTTTACAGTGGAGCTGTTAAAGGGGCACTCAAGTGGTTTTTGAGTTGGTGTTTTGATGATGACAGCTGAATTTAGACGCCCTAAGTATTCCTAAAAACCAAAAAGTATAGTCATACGGTGATTATTTCTTTAATAAAAATGTAATTGAAGGCCGCCAAACCTCGGATCCATCCGAAAACGAAACCACTCTCATTGGTCCTCGCACGCTTATCAAAAGGATCTCGGGCCAATAGCGTTGGACGACGTTCCGTCGCGCAGTGATCCCGAGGTAGCCGCATCGGCCGAACCTCTTTGTCATTTGAGCTTCGATCATGGCGGAGTTCTCTACGCTCGAGGACCTGACGCCGTTAGAGGTTGAAATTCTTCGGCAGACAGCCGACCTGGGGATGATTTCCTATGACGCCACTCTAACGTGCGATGTGCATGATAGCAGCGCTTCAGAGTCATGTTCAGGTTTCGAGGACGACGAAACGCAGACCTTTTCGGGCGTTCTTCGATTTGCGGTTGGGGCAAGTCGTAACCAAACCAACATTTGACATCGCAGCGTTACCTCTGGTACGTGATGTCAAACAATGTCGCCACGTTGACTTTCGCCTCAGGAGGACGGGGGGAAGGCTGGTTCAGACATGTGCAACGAGCGCATACCTACGACTGCGTCCGTTGCAACCAGAGCGACCGGAACGACCGCTCTGCGCCGCGCATACACACACCTGCAACCACTACAACAAGCGCAGCGGGTCGTCAGCACGGCGACTGCTTCTATACGCCGCCGTCAGCTGTTTCAGCGGCCCCTCTAAAAAGGGGACGCACTGCCACTCAATGCCGTAACAGAATATAGACAGAAAGCTTTCTTATTTTTTCTTGATAGGCTTGCAGGGTACAGTGGATGAAAAAAAGAAAATAAAAAGATGCAGTCCGCCGTCTTGGACGATCACGACTCTAATACACGACATTGCAATAATACAAATATCGCCACACGCCTTTTCTACGATTATAAAAGACGATGTAATCTTAGCAGCGATATAGCAACGTAGAAATATGATTTCGTGATCAGATAGACGTTGCGACCGTTCAGGATTGCTAACACTAATCACTTTTCTCCGGCGATGAAAACGCGTGAAAATTCGCATCCTTTATACGGTATGCACCAGTAATACCTTGAACTTGAGCACACGCATGAAATGCGCCAAATAAGAAATCCGGGCGATGTTCGAGGACACAAATGCTTAGAAAGCACCACTGTAGTCGAGGTAAACAAACACGACGGCACGGGCGTTTCTGCTGTTTTGAGAGTGCCGCCACGATATCGCCGCACGCGTAGGTGGGTCTTCCCTTCTAGTACGTGTTGGGTTATCATAGCGACACACGACGAAAATTTACAGTCAAGGATAGCGCTTTTATGCGGAACGATGAGCTTTCACCACGCCGTCCACGCCGACGATCACCACCGACGCCATGTTTGCGGATAGAAGGAGCCGGCTGGCCTGCGACCGGCACGACAGGCCTGCAACGCGCGGAGATACGTGCGCTTCCGCGCATTCTGAGGGAACGGGAAATTCACCCCCCGCGGAGGAAGGCAAGGAGAAAACGTAGCCCCTTGTTTGTGAAACGATAATTGCAGTATCACGTATTCTAAACTAGAAATATTTTGTCTTGTGAAATTATCATGCACAACATATTTAAATGAACTGAAAATTGTTTCTTTAGCGAAACTTTACAAAGACCGCCAAAATTTTCAAACATACAATAATTTCATTGGTCCTCGCAAGTACAGAAAAGAGTCCGCACATATTTTATTCCTGCGTGATTAATAGACGGTTCTGCCTTCTAAAACTGAAGATACTCATTGACTGACACTTCCTTAACGCCATAGCACCAAAAAGTAGCTTCTCCAAAAACCGCTTGAGTGCCCCTTTAAGGGCTAGGTTCCCCAGGATCGTGTCCGTGTATGTCGACACAAACCTACCTGGACAGCTACCGCCATCTATAAGCGACGGCGGCAAGCACAAACCAGTATGGTTTCCGCCGTCGCTCATAGGTGGCGACAACCTTTCCAGCTCTAATAGAGGAATGGATAGTTGGGCGCGTTGGTGGGAATTCATCGTAGGAAACAGCATGAAAAACAGACGACGACGAAGAAGAAGCACATAGTGTATCGAGTACAGCTCCGCTGGTCTTCCTTCTTCATAAGAGTGGAAAGGCTGAACATTTTTTTTAATTCACTCGTGTTTTTGCAAGCTCTTTGACAGTTGAAAGTTTTGTGATGGATGCTGTCTTAGAGTTTTGTATTGTATGTTTTTTTCATTTAGGGAAGGCTCAGCCATGAAGCAGTGCTCTCCAGCAAGTGCCATTACAAACAGCGGCGTGGTGGCTGCATCGGCACAACCCCACATTGCTCACTTGGGCGTGACGGAAGTCTTTGACACCATCATCGCAAGCATCAGGGAGGCAAGTCAATGTTGCTCAACTTTGCAGACTTTGGTGTCTGCTGGCAGAAACTGCAGCTTGCTATGCAATGTTATAAAACATTCTAACGGGAGTTTTTGTTATAAAAGCAGTTCATTATGATTGCTGGTTGTTATAGTGGGAGTTTATTATAAAGAATTTGCTATAAAAGGAATTCATTATGATTGCTGGTTGTTATAGCGGGAGTTTATTATCAAGAATTTGCTATAAAAGGAATTCATTACAATGGGTGTTTGTTATAATGGGCATTTGTTATACAAGAGATTGTTATACAAATGTTTGTTATACTGAAGCCTGTTCTACAGGAGTTTGTTATACAAGTGTTTGTTATACAGGTGACTGTTTTACAGGAGTTAGTTATATGAGAGTTCATCATAAAAGAATTTCATTATGATGGCTATTATAACGGGAGTTTGGCATACAGGAGTTCATCATACTGGAGTTTGTTATACGAGAGTTTGTCATGAAGGAATTTATTACTATGATGGTTTTTTATGACTTGAGTTTGTTATATACAAGGTTGTTATAAAAGGAATTCATTATGATGATAATTTGTTATAATAGATTGTTATACAGTAAACTTTCGTTAGTTCGACCTCAGTTAATTCGACTTTTTGTTTAATTCGATCGTGTTCAAAAGTCCCGGCGAGCGCCCATGCATTTCTATGGGAGGAAAAGTTTGATAGTTCGAACTCGGGAAGGGTCCGCGTCGGATAATTCGTCCCGAGCGAATGCGCACAGGCTCACGTTGGACGGCATAAAAACCACCAGCGTACTGCGAAACCCGGGCCCTTTGCTGCAAAGCCGAACGTGCGCAAATATGTGCCTGCTCCTCTACGCCGTTGAGATGGACCGTAGCGAATGACACGAGCCAGCGCAACCAATCTGGCGTGGAGTAGCGCAGAGAACATAGCACGTGGTCGGGCGTGGAGACAGCGCACATTCTCAAAGCGCTTGTCTACAGCAACGTGTGCGGTCCATCTTGCGCGCCGGAAAACGCAAGTTCTCTTTTCTTTTCATTTTTTTTTGTTGATGTTATTTTTCTCTGTCGCCAACGGTCTGGCTGCCTGGCACCAAAGTCTGCTCGTAAAGCTTTCTTTTCTATTTTTTTAGGGCATTATTTTTTGGGGACTTGAAGTCTAGTTATTTTGCCCTTTGGAGCATGCTTTTGGACACGCGTTTTAAGGGCAGACGGCAGCAGACCATCTGTGAGTATTTTGGACAATGAAAGAAAGTTTAATTTTAACCGTTTTTCTGTCTTCTTTTTAATTCAATCATTCGGATGATTCAACCAAATTTCAATGTCCCGTCGAGGTCGAATTAACGAAAGATTACTGTACAGGAGTTTGCTATACAAGAGTGCTATAAGCACAATTCACTCTGATGGCTATTCATTATGACGGGAATTTGTCAGAAATGGATAAATGGGGCTCTTATAAGCGAGTTTTTCTTTCTCCAGGATGACTCTAGGATAATGAACCAACCTAGCTCTTTGACATTCTGTACTCTTTTTGTTTCTTCGGTGTGGAACAGGAGAGCGACTGGCCGGTCCTGTCGACAGTCCTGCAGGGTCTTCCCGGCCTGCTAAAAGACAAAGCGCTCGTCCTGAGTGGGCAGATGTCCTTCCGCGCACTCTGCGTCCGCCTCCGCAATCAAGTGAGCTGCCTCTCGCTTCCCACGTTTGGGGAATGGTGTCACCAGTTATAGTTATTGACAGGTTTTAAACGGTAGGGTAACTTGCCTTCATTGTAAGCGTCCTTACTTCGACAGTGCCTCGGCCCCCTGCGAGTTTCGATCAGGCGCACGCGGCCAAGGCGTTGCAGAAGGCGGGGAGAGCGTGCCAGCAGGCCGGTTGTTTGAAAGAGATGTCTCGCCATTTTTTCTTTGTCAGCGGATACGGTAGTATGGTCAAACACCTTTGCGACCAAATCCGCTGGATCGGCGAAATTTTTCGTCGTACAGGGGAACTTTGTCGTAGTAGTTGAGCACAAAAAATCGGTCGCGCGAAATCGGACTTGCGCTATCACACATTGACGTACCTCCGCAACACTCGAGGTCTTTCAGGCGACGGTGTAGCGGCAGGTACAGTACAAGCGACATCAGAAATGAGGTTTTGTAGGTTGACGATTGACTCGTCAGAAGGGGGAACGGCGGCCGAGTCTCCTGGTGCGTCGTGGCTCAGAGCATGGGGAAAATGTTCGTGCTGCAGAATACAAGCATCTTAAGATCAATTACTACTTTATTTTTTTTAAAATGAGAAACATGTCAACACATGTTCCTGTACTTGCCACTGCGCGATAATTTAAAGACGCCAGGCTAGCGGTTGGAGCGTTCGGCACCGCCATTGTCGGCACTGGGGAAATTCGTCATCTACGGCCGAGACTCCGGACGCCTCCTTTCTGCAAATTAATCTCCCGCCGTCCAAACTTCCATGCAACAACCTTAAATTACTCGTCAAAATATGAATCGCAATAATCACCGAACCGCTGACTGTGCGAACGGGGGCGTCTGACGACCGTGTAAATTCGGCCTTTTCTAAATTGGGTGGTAGCTTGCGCCGCCGCGTGTCATTCAGGGGAGGCTCTCGAAACGTCTGCGCTGCTCTTGATTTCATGTAAACGCAATAAAAAAAAGAGGGCCATTTTTTTTGCCAACAAGAACTGGCACCGCATTACTGGCTTCGCATCACTTTTTTTGGCTGGTCATTGCAATTTGTTTTTTCTGGAGAAAATAAAATCTGGTTGTGCAGAATGCATGCTGCAGAAGGTGCTTGACCAGCAGCAAGAGGGGCTCACAAGTAGATTCTAAGATAGTCTATTTATTGTCGTAACTCAATCTACAGGCTCTAAGCATTCTAAAAAAAAACCAGAAATCACCTTCAAGAGTGGCCGATCTTCCTATTAAAAGTCCAATCAAAGATTGTGCCGCAACCCCCTTCCTGCGCCTTGGCACAGAGCACCCGAGGGGGCCGCCGGACGGGATGGCAGCAGGGGAAGGCAGGCGACAGCGAATCACAAGTGACGGCTTCCCGGCGGACTGAATTTTCGAAGGCGGGCGTATTTAAAAATTTAGTCCGCCAGGAAGCCGTCACCCGTGATTGGCGGTCGCACGCCCTTCCCTGCTGCCTTTCCGTCTAGTGGCACCCCCTATACTCCAGCTTATGTTGTACCGAGGAGAATGCTAGAAGCGCGAGCTCATAGCATTGGCAGCTGTCCTTAATGCACGAGAGCTTGTGCCGCCGAAATGTGTCCTAGAACAAGGAGCTCGCGCTTGTAGCCTTTGCTGCGGTACACCATAAGGTGAAACAGAGTATATAGGTAGTATTCTGCGCCGCGGCGCAGAAGGGGGGGCGCGGCACAATCTTTGATTGGAGTCTTAATAGGGAAATCGGCCTTCCTTGAATGTAATTTAGGATTTTTTTTAGGATGCTTGGAGCCCGTAGATTGAGTTATGACGGTAAACAGACTATCTCAGAATCCACTTGACTGCCCCTTTAATGTAAGGTCAGAGAAAGCCACGCATTGCAGGTACACAAATGACTCTGGTTTGGTGTGGCGTTTTGAGGAACGGCACGAGCGTCTGGCGCCAGAAAGACACGTTTTTTGGCGGGAGTGTACGCATGCGCAGAAGCTTACTTGAAAAAGGTCCATTCGGCACAACAGCTTTATGTCTATGTGGTTCACGTGCAGAGTTACTCTCATTTTTGTACTTCCCCCTTTGTGCCCAAAGGGGGCGCGTTTCGGTCTACTCACTCCCCGTATGGTATTTCTAGTGCAGCGCGTTTTCCGTGTGCAGGCCAATGAGCGAAACCGGAAGCCGCTGGACCAGATGCACAGGGTGCCGGCCGGTGTCACGGCCTCTGACCTGAACGCTCTGCTGTACCCAGCCATGGGTGCCATGACCATGTACCGGACAGAATTGGACAGCTCCTCCATGGTGAGCGTTGCCTTCTCTGGCGTTCTGCATCGAGCGTGACAGCAGCGGCTTGTCTCGCTTCTCTTTGCTTCGTTTTGCGGTATTTGTGATTAATATTTGGAACATTGGAGCTTTATTTGGACGCTTAGAATATTTTAGGAATATTCCCACGTTTTGTCATAACGTCTGTTGTTCGAGTACACTAGTAGTGTTTTAAATATTGGGATATCACGATAAGCGACTTCATAATACATTGGGTTACCACGGTAAATGCAATGCTCGATACTCCGCAAAGTGTGGTTTTCGAAAATATTTTGGGGGCAAAAATTGTTCAAATTAAGAATATGTAGTACACTATGTTTTTGCTGCTGTGGGGCAGCAAAAACATAGCGTACTACATATACCGTATTTACTCGCAGAATGAATGCACTTTTTTTTCCGAAAAATCGATGCAAAGTTGGGGGGGGGGGGGGGGGGGGGGGGCGTTCATTACGCGAAGTAAAATTTTTGCGTCCGTATTTACCCGCATAATGAAGGGACCTTTTATCCTGAAAAATCGAAGTAACTTCTTATCTCTTTGCGCGTGGCGCCCGACCCAGTAACCAAACTAAGCTGTGCAAAAAAAGCTCCTGTTTTCTTTTTCTTTTAGTTGGTTTTTTTTTTGCCGCCTTTCGCAAGCTGTTTTGTTTGCTTAGGCGTTGCTTAGGCGAGGGCTCTCCGCTTATCTTTTTTATCTCCTTGCGCGCGGCACGCGACCCCCCATAACCAAACTGCGTTGTGCAAAAAAAAAAAAGAAAAAAAAAGCTCCTCTTTTTCTTTTGTTTTTTTCTTAGTTCCCTATGTTTTTTGTTTTTTTTCTTTTTGCCGCCTTTCACAAGCTGTTTCGTTTGCTTAGGGTAGGGTGCCTTCATGGTGAGCTTCTCCGCTCCTCTTCAAAGCGCACATGAAGGCTCCCTAGCTTAGAAGGCTTCTTCGCTCCTCTGTCTTACCTCCTTGCGCGCGGCGCGCGACCCGCCGTAACCAAACTGCGCTGTGCAAAAAAAAAAAAAAAGATAAAAAAAAAAAGAAAAGCTCCTTTTTGTTTTTGCTTTCTCTTAGTTCCATGTTTTTTTTGTTTTTTTTTTATTTTTGCCGCCTTTTGCAAGCTGTTTCGTTCGCTTAGAGCGCTTCTCTGCTTCTCTTTCTTACCTCCTTGCGCGCGGTGGCACGCAAACCCAAAATCCAGACTGCGCTGTGGAAAAAAAAAAAAAAAAAAAGCTTTTTTTTGTTTTTGTTTTTTCTTAGTTGGGTGGTTTTTTTTTCTCTTTTTGCCGCCTTTGGCAAGCTGTTTGGTTCGCTTAGAACAGTGGTCGGCAACCTTTTGGCGAAGCGGGCCGAGTCGCCGCGAAGCCAAGGCGGAACGGGCCGGACGGCAAGCAGCGGGGGGGGGGGGGGGGGGGGGGGGGGGGGGGGGGGGGGGGGAGGGGGGAGGGGGGAGGGGGAGGGGGAGGGGGAGGGAGGGAGGGAGGGAGGGGGGGGGGGGGGGAGGGAGTTAAAATTAAAAAAAGCACTTGAGCGAACTTACATTTGACGTACTTAAATCGAAAATGAACAGTTTCTTTATTTCACCACAAACATGAGATACGACATTTCCACGAAAACCTAGAGACTCCTCTCAGTGAGACTTTTGGTGTTGAACTGCGCTCGCCGAACTACGAACATCCACATTCAAGCTGCTAACTGCGAGTCGCAAAACATTGTGGAGGTTCTCGTCAGTCATTCGTGAGCGGAAGTTGGATATTGTGCACTTCATTCGTGAAAAAGTCTGCTCGCAGACGGGCAGCGAGTTAGTCAACTTTATTATTTTTTTCCTTAGCTGACCGCGTAGGGGGGAGTGGGGGTTACCGGGAGGCAGAGGGCCGTATGATACTACCTCGCGGGCCGGATCCGGCCTGCGGGCCGCTGGTTGCCGACCACTGGCTTAGAGCGCTTCTCCGCTTCTCTTTCTTAAAGGGGCCCTGCAATGACTTTTTGACTGGTTTTTAATTTGCACTGAACCTGAGCGTACTGAACGTAGTAACTTAATAAAAATTTTCTTTTCTCAAATTTCGCTTTATTTTAAAAGTTATAGGCAAATTAGAATTACAAAAACAAGCAAAAAATAACCTCCTTCATGACGTCGTAGGTCCTGGCTTGAGTGGCCGTGAACTGGAGGAGGAGTAGTGAGCCCATCGAGCGCTCACAGCTGCCGCACTCCGTGTCGACGGCTCGAGAGGGCGCCACTAAAGCACGTGTTGGATAGGCTGTATGAAGCGGGCGGCCAGGGCAGCTCGCATTGCATTTGCTGCGCGACTAAACACTAATTCGGCGTAACACTTCATTGGCCACAAGCGACGGCAAACACGGGGTAAAGATCAGTTCAGAACAGGAGCCACTTCGCGCTGACGCACCGACAAATGGCCAAATCGCCAGCAGGGCCCGCGCCGAAGGCCTTCGGAACGCTCGGAACCGGTCGGATTCTCGAGCCGGTATACGACCGCAGCGCCGCCGCGTACATCCGGGACCTTTCTACGCTTCTCGTTCGTTGTAGCCTTATGCCACTAGTTCTTTCTTGCATGCGCCGTTTTTTCCGCCGCTTGGTGGCGGGTATGTCGACGGATCATTTCTTGTTTCTGTACTTTCTAAACTGCATTTGTTTCTTTTCTGATCTAAAATAGTGAACAAAAACTACTTTCATACGTAATTGAAATGGTTCGCGACACTTATATTATGTATCTCGTCTAAAAAAAAGCTTTTAGCGGCTTTGACCAGTGGCAAGCCAAGGACCAAAGACGTCACATTTTGCGCGCTTTCGGTACCGCGGGTCGCTCTCGTCGGTGGAGGAGGCTTCCGCGTCGTCCGGTTAAAATATGACGCACTGATATTTAGTTACTCTCTCCGTGCCCGCTGACTTACCCGAACCCCAAGAGACGTGGAAACCGCAAAAAAGGTAGACGCTAAAATATGATTGCAGGGCCCCTTTAAAGGGAAGTTACGGAGCTTCTTGAAAAAAATGAGTTAGAAGTGAATTCTAGTGTATTCTTACCTCGTAAACCCGAATACCCAAACCATTTGCCGCGCAAGTATTGTTAAACGCGAGAAAAACGCGAAAGACAGTCGCTGTCCGTGACGTCATCGACGGATCTTTTGGCTGCCCAAGGCTAGGGAGGCGGGGCTTCAGCCCTATTTTCAAATTGCTCTTACGGCTCTCCGGCGCGTCGCATTGAAATATAATTGTGATATCTGTTATTCTGAAGGTCAAATGAGCGCAATTCAAGCGTTTTTTCTCAAATGTAGAAGTGCCCCATCTTCCCTTTAACTCCTTGCTCGCGGTGGCACGCGAACCCAAAGTCCAAACTGCGCTGTGCAAAAAAAAAAAAAAAAAGAAAGCTCCTCTTCATGTTTTTTTTCTTGCTTCCGTTGGATCTTTGCGAATTTGTTTAACGGCTTTTTCAAGGCGTTTTGTTCGCCCACGCTGACCATGCATTCGCGACCTCGCTGCACCAGGATAGAAAAGTGCGTTCATTTCGCGCGCGTGGGGAGAGGGGGTCAAAATTTTGACTTCCGAGTTGGGGGTGCGTTTATTACGCGAGTGAAAAAAAAAGTCAAAATTTTGAGAGCCGACTTGGGAGGTGCGTTGATCACGCGAGTGCGTTCATTGTGCGAGTGAATACGGTATTCATAGGGAGAAGATAGTTGAACCGCCTCATACCGAAAAACGCAGAAATTAAAAAAAACTTCTGAAAGGAAACGAAAATGTGATTTATTTGATAAACGAGAAAGAAAATATTAATTACTCGAAAAGAGAAAAAGAAAAAAATCATGTGTCATTCCACTTTTTGACGTTGGATGACCAGCGAAGCTGTTTAGCACACAACACAGACCCGCCCCGAGGAGCCGGAGGAAAGTAGACACGTGCCACGGGAGCACCCCTCGGGAGAGCGGAAGGAAAGGAAACTAGGCACGCAAGTGGCTTGGAACAACGACAAAGAGGGCGGTGTGAGCGTAGACATGGCCGACGCGGGTCGCAGAGCGGCAAATCTTTGAGAAACCTTTATTATCTATCCGAGATTCTACTGATCTTGAAAATGGTGCCTATTGATAACTAAGCTACTGAATAGACCTATCGCTAAAACACCCAAGCATCAAGGAGAATGCAAAGAATGGTGTTTCATGCGCCACACGTGCCGGCGTCTGCAGCAGTAACTTGTTCTAAACCAAAAGCCTAAAACAAATGGCATCTTGTATACGCATTCGTCAATGCTTAAGTTGGGTTATTTACTTCAGATATTTTATACGGCAAAGGCATGCTTGTGCGGCACAGGCAGCAGTGTGATCACACATAAAAAATCTACAGAACCCTAGCCATAAATAGCTTCGCTGTAAAAAAAGAGCATTAAACAGTTGTAAGTCTAGCTGTGTAAATGTTTTTGTTTTTTTTGTGTGTGGTGTATTCTTTGTTCAGCTGGCTCATTGTAAACTACCCCCACCAAGCTTGCCTTTGCGGGTGTTACTTTTCACCAGTGCGCTCGTGCTCAGTAAGAAGCTCGCTCAACGGGGCTAATCAACCACAATCAATGCTCCGAAAAAGCAAATAGAATGTTGCAGTTCACCTTATAGTGAATATCGAATAGCCTATTATTTGAAACTACTATATTCAAAAATTTGAATATTCGCACGATCCTTGTTCCTCGAGATCAAGAAGTTCAATAAAACCCCAGTCATATTAAAAAGTATGCCTGTGTTTTCTGCTGCGCAGTGTATGGTCATCCACATGCTGGAGCACGGGCTGGCTTCCAAGCAGGCCTGCGTGTGCCTGCGTGCCTTGGTGCTGGCAACACTGGAGATGAGGGACGCGATGGGCAAGTTGCTGCCCGAAGTGCTGCAGCGGCTCGCGCAGGTGTCGGCAACACTGGCGGTGGCCGTCCCGGTCCTCGAGTTCCTCTCAAGTATGTCGTTGCCATCGCCCAAACGCTTTCCCATTGCCATTTTATTTAACAATACTGCAGGCCCCGCTAGGGCCCCGGCAGGGGTGGACGTGTAATACATAGTTCAGGACATAATGAAAAGGGAAAACTTCAATACAATGAAACAACACTCTACACCAAAAAATAGCAAAAATAAAAAAAAATCAAACTGTCAGGCTTGTAGAGCTCGTAGATGTTCAAGAAAGTCATCCGGCGATGAGCTGTCGACGATCTCTTTAGGGAGCTCATTCCAATCGGCTATTGTTTTTGGAAAAGCGAGTTTTTGAAAGTGTTATTGTTACTGCGATATGGTTCCAGCAATCTACCGTGATTGAATCGCGTATCACGACGCAAAACAGGTGTTAGGTAGGGGGAAACGTCAACCTTCAGGTGTCCATGGTAAAACAAATATAACAACCTAAGTCTCAAGTGTTTTCGACGTAAATGAAGATAATCTAATTGAAGTGTGTCTAACATTTGTGATGGACTGTCTAATCGCCGGAATTTATTGCAAACAAATCTTGCTGCTAGTTTTTGTATTTTTTCTAGTTCTTCGGTGTTCCTTTGTGTGTATGGGTCCCAAAGCACGCACGCGTACTCTAAATGTGGCCTTACTAATGTTCTATAAGCGCTAAGTTTAATAGAGAGCGGGGCTAACGGTAGCTTTCTTTTTAGAGACCACAGAGTCTTGAGGGCATTGGAGCACACATTGGAAATGTGAGCGTCCCAACTCAAGTTTTTAGTAATTGTCACACCAAGGTATTTTACTTGCGTTGATTCCCCAAGCCTAACGCTGCCAATTGAGTAAGGAAATGTTTTTACTGTCTTTTTGTTTGTTACTCGGAGCACTGTACATTTATTCAAATTTAATGGCATTTGCCACTCCTCGCACCACTGGAATATGTTTTGAAGAGTTCCGTTCAGTTTAATTTGATCATCACTGGATTCTATTTCTTTATAGACCACACAATCATCAGCAAAAAGCCGTATATTAACCCCTTCACCCACAGTTTCAACAATGTCATTTATATAAATAAGAAATAAAATGGGTCCGAGAACCGACCCCTGCGGGACGCCCGATGTGACCGGCAAGGGACCTGAAGAGTGGTGGTTAATTTCTACAAATTGGGAGCGATTTGTAAGATATGAATGAATGAATTCTTCTAGGCTGCTTCTCATTCCTATTGCGTAGAGTTTTTGTACGAGTTTGTTATGCGGTACTTTATCAAACGCCTTTGCGAAATCTAAAAAAATGGCGTCAAGCTGCTTTCTTTTATTAATTGCTAGCGCGAAATCGTGGAATACTGTAACCAGTTGGGTGACCGTCGACAGCCCATGCCGAAAGCCATGCTGTGCACTGGTGAGCAAATTATTGGTTTCCAAATAGTCCGTAATATGTTTGCTAATAATATGCTCGAGCATTTTACAGCTAACAGAAGTAAGAGATATTGGCCTGTAATTACACACACTTTGTGCATCTCCACTTTTCAATACCGGCACAACGCGTGCACAACGCCAGTCTGATGGAAGGGTCCTTTTTCGCAATGACAAGTCAAAAATAATGTACAAGTAACGGGACATCCACTCGGCGTAACGCCTAAGAAATGCCGACGGTATGTTATCTGGTCCACTTGCTTTTTTAATATCCAGATTAAGCAAAAGGTTAAAGATACCCTCCTGACTCAAACAGAGCTCCCCCATCATCGAGCGTGACTCACTTGCTTCATTGTCTGCCTTTGGCCTCTGAACACTAAAAACAGACTGAAAGTACTGATTAAACACTACCGCAATCTTTTTAGGATCAGTTACTTGGCAGCCGTCTACAGATATACACTCAACTTCTTTTTTCTTTGTCCCAGATAAGAACTTCCAGAACTTACTGGGTGCTTCTTTAAGAATGTTGCCGAGAGTGCCCGAAAAAAATGTATCCTTCGCAATCCTGATTTTTTCTTTTAATTCTAGCTGCATGTTGGAAATATCTGGACTTTCCTGAGGGTGGTTCCGCCTTTTCCGCTGAAGCCTACGTTTTACTTGTATTATCTCCCTCGTTATCCATGGATTATTTCGTCGTGATTTTTTTATTTTATCTGGGATGAACCTGTTGATGCAGTGATTACAAATATTTTTGAATATGGTCCACAAGGTGTCAACCTCGCATTCTTGGCTAAAATAATCAAAATGAGTTTCCAAATAGTCCAATATACTAACATCATCGGCGGCGTTGTAATTTTTAACCACACATTTTTGTGTTGCGTTCTCATGACTGGTTTTTACAAAGCTTGACGTGAAATGCAGTAACTTATGGTCCGACAGACCGTCTTGCACATCCACAGTGTAATCCGATATCAGGCGCCCAACAAAAATTAAATCCAACATAGTCTCTGTTGTGGAACCCACTCTGGTCGGTGATGAGACTATCTGATTTAGATCGCACGAAAATGCACAGTCCAGTAACAGTTCGGAATCCCGAGTTTGCAAACCTGTTGGTCTCATGTTTGGCCAATCAATGTGCGGCAAGTTAAAATCGCCGGCTAAAATTAGCCGCACACGATCATTACGAAAACGAACCAAGTAATCACAGAGATCTTCTATAATTTTTATACTGGCATTAGGGGGTCTGTAAACAACACCCAGGACTACACTGTTCCCATAAAAGTCTATTTTGCACCATAAACTCTCGTGGTTGGGTATGCCTGGCAGCAAAAATGCTTTTATATCAGCTTTTAAGACAATAGCAACACCACCCCCTCGAGACGGCCTGTCGTTCCGATATATTTTATGAGTTGGCGGAATTATTTCACTATCATCTATTCCTGAATGCAACCAAGTTTCAGTTATCAGCGTTACGTGAGGGTCCAAGTCAAGTAGCATGGTTTCAAAATCTGTTAGTTTATTCATAATACTACGTGCGTTAAAAGACACAAGGCGAAACACTTCTCTTGACTGGCGTCATGGCTGGTCGGGCACAGGCGCGCTTTTTGTAGAAAGTAGAACGCGTGTCTGTTTGACATCATCCCAAGAGTAAATATCCCCATTTATATGGAGCCTGTCACGTACTAAAAAAACCTTACCGCCATTTCTTTTGTTAGGCATTGCGCTCTCCCATAGCAACTTCCTTGTCCTGAGCGTTTCTTTTGAAAAGTCCTGCTGGACAGAAATCTTGCTTCCTTTCAATCGATTACAGTTTTTTAGCACCGTCATCTTTTCTTCGTAGTCCCCGAAGTGCAAAATTACCGGCCTTATCTTTAATCCTTCTTTCCGACCAAGCCGATGCATCCGGTCAACAGTTTGAACTGTCACTCCCAACGTAGACTGGAAGATTTCAGTAAGGACGTGGTTTCTAAGCGATGCCGCGGTTTCTCCAGATGTTTCATTCAGCCCAAAAATAACAAGATTATTCCTTCTGGACCGGTCTTCTAAGTCAACAAGCCTATTTTCTTGTAATTTGATTGAACGCTTCAGTTCACCGATTGCCTGCGGAAGGGGAGCGGTTTGGGCGTCTGTTTGTGCAACGAAAGCACATCCTTTTCAACCTTATCCAGTCTAGTCAATACGTCCTTTATGAAGATATCCAAACTCCCTTGTTTCTCCCTGATTTCCTTAATGTTATTTCGTATCTCCGCTTGACCAGCAAGGAGCTGGTTAAGTATTTCTTCAGTAGTGGGACCAGGGTTCGACTCTACATCCCCCGACAAAAGCAAGAGCGATAAAAACAAATCTTTACAAAATCCGGCAACTTTTCTAGCAAGGTGTCGTGGACTTGGTGACAGGAGCAAACAACGATCATCACTACGATAACATTTTGCAGGGTACTGGTGACTAACCTGAAGTATGAAGAAAAGACGCGTGTTTAGCGTCCCTGCCATGGCGAAGTCACCAAGTCCACTGGAGTGCACAAGTTCGTTACGCCAATTTATAGGGGAGGTAGTTGAAGGGACACTCCGACGATTGGTGGCGTCCTCAAAGCTGTACTCTGGGGGGCGTTGTCCGTGACTTGCCGCATCATCGCTGACAGTATCTTGTATCAGCACCGGGTTGTTGTAGTCGTTCGCGGTGTCGCTTGCCACACGCCACAGAAAAACCTGAAGTATGAAGAAAAGACGCGTGTTTAGTGTCCCTGCCATGGCGAAGTTACCAAGTCCACTCTTTGACTTCTGTCATGATGGTGTGCCCCACGTGCTTGTATACGGGGTGTCCCCCCAGAAAATAGTTTTTTTGTTTTACTGCAAAAATTAACTATGTGTTGCCAAACGCTCATTCTCCACCCAAATATAGCGCTATTGCTCCGAACCAGGTGCCAAAGTTTCAAAACTAACCGTTTTCTTATACCAAAGTTGTAAGTCATTTTTTTTAAATCTTAAATGGGAAAATATAAAAGTGTTAAAAGCCGACTGGCACCATTTGCTGAAAATGGGAAAAAACGGGCCCGATTATCCCCATTAAATTTTTAGAAAATCACTTATAACTTTTGATTGGAATTAGCCTTCAAACTTTGGCATCTGGTTCAGTCAGTGACAGGCTGATAATGGCAGGGAGAAGCTTTAGTTGTCCCGCCCTAGGCGAGAGTATGGTGCCCGAAATCCACCTCCGATTGGTGTGTTTATTTTTCTATTCTACCCACGCATCGAAAATGGTCCCGAAGTGGTTACAAATCACCGTAGAGTTAATATAATAGTCTAAAGGGAAAGGTTCCACGCGTTAGGGCTACCCGGTACCGACGGGACGTGGAGGCGGCCGTCGGCGGTTCTGAAGGGCCGACGACGCCTTAATATGCACGGAGAAGTAGCGAAACATCACCTGCAAGGTTTGTACTTCGTTGTTTCCCAGCTTACTTGGCTGGAAAACACAGGAATCGCGCATCGTGTGAAACTGATTGAAGTCGACAAGCGACTTCAATCACGTCGCTCGTCGTCGTGATTGACGTCGCCAAAGTGCCAAAGTCGCTCGAGCAACGAGGCAAAGTCGCTCGAGCGACTTTGCCTCGTCGCGGCAAAACAAACATGCCTGACTTTTCGTCCCCTTTCTTTCTTCGGTCTTCTGCCGCTCTCTTTCTCCATCCATCTCTTGGGACTGTCGATGCGAGCGACCGGGATTGGCTGCATTCTGCTCCCATCTTTACCCCCCCTGCTAATGACGTCGCAATCCCGTCGGTTCAGCGTAAAAATTGCGGAAAAAATTGCGGAAAAAAATTAAGTGACGTCACACACATCACATGACTCCATTTTTGCCACTAAATTGAGTGGAAAATTTATGGATGAATGGGTGGACGGAAATACTTTTGAGATTCGGGGTAGCATTAAAAAGCATTTCATGCTTTATAAGCGCAAGAGATTGTGAGCGTCGCCGTCGTCGCGTCGTCCCGACTCCCGACTGCCAAAGGTTCCACGGACCGTCGAGCCGGAGAGCGACCCGCAGCGGAACGAACGTCTGCCACATCCGCCACCGCCAATAATGCGACACTTCTGCGTCGTCGTCGGGCGGAAATCGAGGGACCACTTTTTTGGACGCGGCAAATGCACCGGTCGAAGACGCGTTCAGACACCGTTGCTTCAGCTTCCTGTCTTCGACAATGCTTTGGCTTCCCGTGCACCTTGAGTGTGCACGGCCGAAGCACGGTGGAAGGAATGGAGCCCGCACCGGAGGCCGGGCACTCCAAATACACATCGTGCTGTTCTTAGTTCGTCGGCAACTACAGCGTACCGACGCTTGACGCAGGTGCAAACGGATCCCCCACTCTAGGTTTTTGTACGTCTCAGTTAAACTCCTTTGCTGGAAACAGGAGCAAAGCGGTCTTATTTCTCCTTTGTGTCTCAACACGGATTGCGTCCACGGGCCGATCACCGAGGAAAATGCGACAGAACGCCACGAAATGGCGTTACAAAATGTGCGACAGAGAATTCGTGGGAAACAAAAGAATAGGTAATTGACAGGAGTGGGACAGCTGCGCCCGTTGCACCGTTTCGATGCATTTCTAATTTTCTGCACCTGGCGGTGCCAGAAGCGTGGAATTGACCAAAATTGTGCCACGCTGCTCGAAAGATAATTGGCGACGCTGTATTTAGCGGAAAGTGAAAGCTCGATTGATTGGCCTGTATCTCTCCATTCGATGGAATCGAGGTGTACATTTGTACATCCTAGCCATCGTACCGTCACGTCATACATCTTGCATCCTACGTATGGTGTGATGTAGCATGTTGCCTTATTTTTCTAGGTCGTGCCCCTTTTTTTTAACAAAATTTGTTTCTGAAGCAAGCTATTTTTTTGCGTGCAATTTCAGATATTTTACAGAAAACTTCTATTCAGTTTTTTCCAACACTTGTAGTACAAACCTAATTTTCTTGAATTGTAACTCGTGGTACAACTGGCTAAGGTGATCTTGTGAAATTATGTCACACTTACCCTTAAGGCTCAACAAAATGGTTTTACAGCAATGGCTGTTATGGGCTCTTCCCACCACTGGGAATAATGTCCATTGTAGTAGTAGTAATAGTCGTAATAATTGTAGTTGTTATCATTGTTGATGCTGTAATTGGCAATGTAGGGCATCCATCACCGACGTTGCCAAATCCTTGCAAAAAAATCGCCCACTGCCCGCTGGAATTGAACCCAGGTCTGCTGTGTGTGAAGCAGGTGATGTTTTTCTAGTATCCAATAACCGCTTAACATGCTCCCTGAAAAAAAAAAAAAAGTAGCCTTTAAAAAATTGTAGCACTATCTGTGCGAAGAGCTCGTGCCGGAAGACGCACTTTCATGCAGTCCTGATCGAAGAAGAGACAGAAACTTTTGGAACAAAAGAGAACTACACAAAAGCGTTCGGAAAAAAAGTTACAAATGTCTATTATCTTCCGAACGCTTCTGTTCATGCATCCCACTGCTCCACGATGCATGAACACGACGCCGATGCCCAGCGACTTCGCCGTGACGTGTTGCAGCTATTGCTGGTATTGTTCTGTGGATTAACACAGGACTCCTCAATTTCTTTTTATTTTTAGTGCCCCAAGAGGCAGTTTTTCTGCTTTCGAGTTGCTCAAAAACGCAGATTTTCCTGCTCCTAAGCTGTTTCAAAATGCAGATTTGTCTTCTCCAAAAGTTGCTCTAAAACCAGTTTGGTTTGTCCCAACCCTGAATCGAGAAAGAAATTAGCGATAAATTAAGAAAGAAGGAGTAAAATTCGGGCGTCCCCAAAATGAGCATAGGTCTGGCGACATCGAGGTTTCGAGTCCGACGCTCTATCAATGTGCCAAGGGGGAAGCTCGTGAAGCAGGAGTTTACTTTGCTCTGCCCATGGCAGGAACCGTGCGGGTAACCACACGACCACATCGTACGACCATGTCATGCGTTTTGGCTTTACGGAAAATTTTAAAGATCTGCTGGAGGGTGAAGGAAGCGAAAACTATCACGTTCCGTGTTTGTTAAACTTTCTAACTGAAGATACAGCCTTCACCGAAACGAAAGACCCATTTGAAGCGCTTGGCCAAGACAGCGAAGGGGGGGAGTGCGCTTGTGCTTTTGAAAAATCCACGTTGCTCTGAGGGAAGGGAAGGCGCTTCGTCCGATTCAGTTTGGTTTGATAACGTGGTCAAACTGATTTTCTTTGGCTACGTCTCAAGCTTTGCTCCCCCCACAGCGATACAAAACTGTCCCCGGCGCATGCCGCACCCCCACCAGCCACCGTCTCGGTGGGTCTTTTATATTGGTGGAGACTGAATGTTGTCTCTGGGTTCTGCTGCTCTCTTTCAGACCTCATCAGGATCCCGCAGCTGTACGTCAGCTTTGTCGAGGAGCAGTACCGCAAGATCTTTGCCATTGCTCTGCCATACACCAACCCCGTCAAGTGAGTGTGCACAAACATTGAGCACCGTTGTGCCAAACGTTCCAACTGAGAACAGCAGGTGTATTCACTGGTGCGTCGGTGCACAAAATAAGTGTGAAAAATGTCTCTCCATCATTTGAACTAGCCATACATATTGTCTAACGTAGTAATGTATGCTTGCCATTATGGGAAGAAGCATCAGTTTTGTGCAAAGAAAGTGATCCATTTAAAAGAATCTTAAAGGGACACTGACAGGGTATTTATGCTCTCGGAGGTTTTTAGTTGTACGTGACATATGAGAGTCTAACTTCCCAAAACAGAATTTGCGGCTCGGAATTCAGTTTCTTTACGCCCGAAAACAATTGATCGAGAACTGGCCGGTTTGAGTCGCGCTCCCTCTCTTCTCCGTGGTCACGGGCCGTTTTCTAAGGTTTAGACAGAACCACCAAATTTAATCAAAGTCGTGGGCCATTGAAAGCACACACTCAATATTAAAAATATAAAAAAAATATGAACCATTTTTTGTGGCTAAAAAGCATAAATACAGCCTCAGTGTCCCTTTAAAGGACACATGCAAAGGAAAAAAACATTTTTTTTTTAGACAGCTTAGATGGAAAAAGGATGTCATAAAACGATTTTACAACAAAGAAAAAAAATTTTTAGAGATATATTTACGGCGCTATACGAATTTGTAGTTGGCGCTCGCGGGAGCTGCCGCTGGTCACGTGGTAGGCCCGCGCGCCGCCGCGCTGCGTCGCTGCCGCACGCTGAGCGTTGTGCGAACGCCGCTTCAACGCGTTTCTCCACGCCGCCGTCGCCGCCGCCGCCACACAAGTCCGTCTGCTTCGGGGCGCCGCCGCCGTCGTCTGACCGGCGCACAGGTCTATCACGTCTGCTTGCGCTTTTTCAGGAGTTTCCTTTGGGCTCTAAAAGTTACTTATTCATCTTAGTTTTTTGTTATACATCAAACAAAGATGAATAAGTTACTTTTAGAGGCCATAGGAAGCTTCCGAAAGAACGCAAGCACCACGTGATAAATAAAGACCAGTCACGTGATAAATACGGACCACTTTTCCGCGGTGCCCGCGGGCGCCAACTACAAATTCGTTTTGCGCCGTAAATATAGCTCTAAAATTTTTTTTTCTTCGTTGTAAAATCGTTTTATGGCGTCCTTTTTCCATCTAAGCCGTTTAAAAAAAATGTTTTTTTCCTTTGCATGTGTCCTTTAAAGAAAACCTTAAGTATTATGGGCCATAGAAACTGTGTAAGTCAACCGTCTATAGTTCTGAAGGTATGCATGAAAACGTTTTTCTCTTGTGAGTTTTTGCTGTTCTTTTGAGGGGTGGGTGGTCTAAAAGGGGTGGAGTGCTGTTTTTTGCTCTGTTCACATCGCCTTGACGGGGATTATCATGTGGGGTGGCTTGGCGGCAGGTGTCTGCCATTGGTACGGTGTCTAAGTCGGAGGTCAGTCTGTCTGGCTGAGTTTCATCAAAACTTTGTGGCGGCGTGTCTTTTGTTTTTCTTCTTTTCTGCCCGTGTGGACGGCTATGTATTGCTGTTCGCCACAAAGACAAAACGTACCAGCTTCCTCACTTGTGGTTCCAGAGTTTGGATGCAGCTCGCTTGGACGCAACTGGTCTAGAATGCTGAGCATCAAGATGAGTGGCATTCACCAGATGAGAGGAGGCTCAGACATAATGCAGTTCCCACGGGATTTTGAGTCAGTCTTTTTCGAAGACATCTCGTGCCATGCTGGAGCACTCGTACACCTGGAGTTGACAGGGAACGCAAAGTTCAACTTCCTTGTGGCACGACCTGTTTTGTTTGCCCTCCATCCTAAAGCTGAAGCAGAGTTTGACCGACTTCAGGAGCAAAGGATCGTGGAGCCTACACAACACTTTGGCTCCGTCGGTATTGGTGCGTCAGTATTGGTGCAAAAAAAGGACGGACACCTCGGATGCTTTTCCCCCACACAACACGCCGGTGTGCGAAGCTTGCAGCGCACGACGACCACCTTGAGTACCGGGCTGGGATGTTGCGCCAGAACACCGACCGAAGAACCCTATGTTCCGGCGACATCCCAATGTCGGGCGCCTCGTCGCAACCACCCCTAACAGCAGAAGTTATAGCGAAAATTACACTGGAGGATGTCATACTCTCAAAGCTCTACACAGCAATATAAGAAGATGCGGTGCAGTAGCTGAAAGGTGAGGACTTCAAACCATGCCGCAGAAGAGCCACGGAACTGGCCATTCATCGGGGTTGCATCACGCGGGAAACAAGGGTCGTCATACCTACAGCTGCATGGAAGCATGCCGCTGGACATCAAGGAGTTGTAGCTACGAAGAGTTGCGCTCGAAGCTACTTGCGGTGGCCAGGCTCAGATGAAGACATTCAGACAACTGTTTCATCTTGCGATCCATGCCAGCGTACACGGAGGAACCCGGCAATAGCCCTGATTCCGTCGTGGCCCCGACCGTTAACGCCGTGGCACACTCTGCACGCGGATTTGGGGGTCCCATGGAAGGACATACTTTCTTACTGGTGGTAGATGCCTTTAACTAATGGATGGAGGCACGTCGAGTAGCTGCCCTTAGTCGGCGATTCACGATTCCTTTTTGAGATGTTTGGTATTCCATACAAAATGGTGTTAGATAACGGAACAGCTTTCGTCTCTGCCGAGATTGGAGCATTGTACGAGAACAATGTAATTCGGCATTTGGCACGTAATGTCTGCCCCGCACCGTCCTGTACTGACAAGCAGGCGGAACGATACGTGGGCGAACTCGAGAAGGTGCCGGCATGAGAGCCATCTGGATCGGCGAATCTCCGACTGTCGCGATTCTTATTCCGTCAGCACCGCACAGTTCACCGGACGACTAACATCACCCCGGCGAAAGCAATGTTTGGAAGAGAATTACTGTCTCTTCTGGATCGTATTATACCCACAAAAGCAGCACCAGTAGCAACGGAGAAGTTACGGAGAAACCGCCAGTTGCAGGTGGTTGAACAAGCCACGATCCGACCGAATGGATTCTGGGCGCTTTAGTAACGAAGTTCAACCAACGCTCATGGCTGGTAGAGTGTGGTGAAGGGACAGTTCGCCGGCACTCAATCCAGATTCGAAAGTGGAACTATGAACAAGAGAGTAACGACCCGTCATCTGAAAAACCTGCGTTGCGTAAATCGACATGAACGAGATGCCCACTTGTAAGGTACAGCAACTCCTCATAGGGGGAAGATGTGTCATGTCCGCTCGAGGGTCCACCATTAGCACCCCCCAGCCCTCTGGACCGAACGAGAAAAAAGGAGACGAAACTCACTCTTGCGCACGATCGTGGGTTCGATCGGACACCATCTTCTGCGAATGATTTGAATACTGTGTACCTTGGCGTGACATAATCTAAGTAGACATTTAAATATTAAACCCACTAATAAGCACCTCGCAAATAAACCCAGCTGTGTTTCAGATTTTGTGTCGTCTTGGCCCTATTATTTTTGTTCGGTTTAGGTTTTAATGCTAAAATTGGTCGTGTTTTCGCAACTTTCAGTCTTTAAAATTACAAGTTTTTCGGATAATTCCAAACCCACATTATTCTTGCCGGTGAGCAGTTTTCAGATTTTGTCCGATTTATCCGAAAGCTTGGAACCCTAGCTATTGCACGTGCTACTTGAACTTGTGTACCATGTGCGTAAGAAAAACATTTTGATTTCCAATGTTCAGATGTAATGCAAGGAGGGTGTGGCAAACATATCGTCGACTCCTGTCGACTTTGCTATAACCGGGTTCGACCGTAATACTACGGTGCCTGAAAGGTATATACGACCGGTGTGGTTACCACGTCAGAAAAAGTGGTTCCTCGATTTTCGTCCAACAACGTCGTAAAAGCATCGTATTTGTCGCCGACCGCAATCTTGGGGGCATTACAGTGGTGGCGGTGCATGTGGCAGGTATGTGTTATGTTGCAGGTTGCTTTCTAGCCTGACAGTCCTCGAAAACTTAGGCAGTAAGGATTAGGGACGCCGCGACATTGGCAACACTTGCATTCTCTTGCAGTTTTTTTTAAGAACTTTTACGCCCAACCGTTGAAACCGCGACACCGGGCATCGTTGCACTCCGTCTTTTGCGACGTCATTCGTCACCACTCCAGGACCTCTTTTGATGCACGGGCGGGATAGGACACCAAACGCAAATGTCGAAAGCTGAGATAATTAGGGTTTGCATCTCGCGTGCCGCATCGTGCTTGACTTTTCTGTGCGCAAGACCGACATCTCTATTTCGTTTTCTTTGCAAACGTGCGTGTTGTTTGCAGGTTCAACCGCTTTGTGGTGGCGCTGGCTCATCACGTGATTGCCATGTGGTTCCTCAAGTGCAGAATTACCTTTCGGAAGGACCTCGTGCCTTACGTCATCAAGGTAAACATGCATCGACTTGGGTGTCCACTCCGACGAGCAGTCAGACTCTGAAGACTGCACTGGAGCTTGGAACTGTTACATTTTTTGGTTTTATTTAATTAGGCTCGGGAAGGTTGGGAGAAGAGCCGATAGATCAAAAGCCCATATGGGAAGGGCTTCGAACACCGGGACTAAAGTCCCATTCGCGCACCTGCATTTCCTTACGAGCGAGTTCTTGCGATCTCTCGTGTTCCTAGGAAACTTATGAACATGGAACGAGCGTAAGTACCTTGCTTAGTGGCTTTAGTCGAGCGTGTCGATTAATTCTCTGTGCACCGTGTGGAAAAGCAGCTTCTCTGTACTTTTCCCCACAAAGATTGCTTCGTAGTCGATCTACCGCGTTGCCTCGCTAAGTGTGGCTCGTCGTCTGTGCTTAGAACCTCAAGAACAACTTGGAACTCCATGTGGAAGACGGCGGCATGGAAGACACAACGCAGCGGAAGAGAAGCAGTAGCCTCAACGAACCCATGGCGGTGGCGGCCGCGTCGCGCAGGTAACGCTGGGTTCCGTCCGGCGCATTACGAGCCGTTGCTCTGTCGCACAAATTCCATGTTTGTTTTTCTCGCATTGCTTTCTGTAAAACTGGTAGGGGGGCATACGGTGGAACTTCACAGATCGAACATCCTTGTTATTAGTTCTCGGGTATAAAAACGGCTTCACGTATGCCCTCAAGTGGCGCATCAGTTCATTTTTGGTAGGTACACAAAATGGTGCACGCTAGTAAGCAAGTTGTAGCGATACAATTCTAAATGTGGATGAGTGATGCCTCTACTTTTATGTTGAGCCTGATAGCTCCTTTCGTTTGCGAAAATATGTATGTTGTTGAAAACTTTGTTTTCAAGCAGCACAGGATAGATTGAATGATAGCTGGGGAAACCGATCCCCCTCTCAACATTCCTGCAGTGAAATAATTGGGAGGATTACAAACTGTGCTAACCATAATAGATGCTGTTACATAGCACTGCATCACTGGATGGCTCAGCTGTGCTGAAATAGCATTGATATGGAAAACATTGTATAGGTGTTCAGAAGTTTGAATGACCTAGGGATTTTAGGGACTCTGCAAAACTCTGAAAAGATGCTGGAGAACCCCTGGGGAGCTCATAGGGATAGTCTAGGGAATCTCTTGGGGTTCCAAAGCCCATTTTGGTGAAAACTCGTTTACTTCGGCTCAGGTGGCACCCTAACTGGTTTTGAAATTGAGCTAGAAAACTTTTGTGCAGACTTTATCGATGTGTTGTGTTTTGTTGCGAGTCTTCGGCGCCTCTTTTATTCACACGCACGTCCCAAACCTTGCTAACTCCCCTTTTATTTGGTGTGTGTGACGAATTCTTTTGAGCATTGCTATGACTTTTTTTCTTTTCAAACTCACCTTGCGTGTTCAAGTGCACGTTTTAATAATGGCATGTCACTGGAGCTTTTAAGCTCTGAAAAAAAGAAATTTTAACTTGCCTCGTGTGAAAAAATGTGTGTTTTAACACAGTGGCATGTTACTTGAACTCTACTCAAAGCAAAATTCTAATTTACTGCAGTTGCTGGACGTATAATGTGGGAATGTGATAACTGCATTTTGAACATTCAGTTCCTTTTTACTCAAATGCGCTAACAAATTGCATATACTTCTTTCTTTTTTTCTTTTTCGGGGCAAGCTTGGTGCAGCACAGTTCCGACGTTTATCAAACTTACCGAAATGCCTCCTATGTCCACCACTTTACAATGGTGAATTAATAGCAGTTCCCTAACAAGCCTTAGATGTAAAAAGGAAACATTTTAGTAGGGGTGCACGAATATTCTAAATTCCGAATATCAGTAGAATACTTTAAATATTTGATTCGTATTCGATTCGAGATTTCACTATGGGGCACTTCGCAAATATTCAGCCGCAGTTGAATACTCGACAGAATGATGAACATTAGGGCAAAGCACGAATACGTGCTCTGCGGCAATTGCCACGGTATTTAATACACTATCGTCATCTATCCAGCAACTTTGAGCCAAAAACTTGTCAGCGACACGAAACTGTAGGTGCCCGCAACAAAGAAAACACCGTGCCCATGCAGATTCACTTGCCCGTCTGTACCGACTGTGTCAAAAAAGAAAAAAAGGAAAATACAAGTAACAAATATACAAAAGAAATATACAGTCGCTGACCGATTTTTTGGACGCTGATTTATTGGACACATCCGATTATTCGGACGTTTCTGCCAAACCGTCACTTACCCTATAAAGTGGGTGTATAACATTGACAGAATTTTTGAGATGCCACACAGCTTATTACTCTATATTTCAAACATAATTTGCTTGATTCCCTCAATTTACAACCACAAAACAGCCGCCGTGATAGCGCCGCGAGCTTAGTCGCCGCAATTTTGGTTGTTTTGATTTTGCCCTGTAGCCTCGATATTACGTCCTACGCAATAAGCAACCTGAATTGAGGCTATAGTCGGGTTTTCCGGTTCCGCTATAGCCAACAGAGCCACCATCTTATGGTTCTTCCAGTTCTTCTCGTGGTCCGTGTTTTTCAAGCGCAACCGCGAGAAGAGTGGCCGTCTGCCGTTTTTGTGGTCTTTGTGAACAAAGGTTTTTTTTTTTATAGGCTTAGTACTGAAGCGAGTTTGGTGGAGTAAACGTTGGCTCCAAATAGTGCCAAATGGTGCCAACTTCAACTTTGCTGTTTGTGCCAATCAAGGCACCAACAAAGCACAGCACCGTGATTGAACAGATCAACAAACAAGGAAAAGTGAACCATATAAAGCGGAATTTGCACAAGGACTTAAAATTTACATCAAACAAGTGGAAAGTGGCCAATACACAGCGAAATATGCGAAGAAATTTGATATTTTGGGGGCTGAGATAGATTTTTCGGACCGCTTGATTATTTGGACAATTTCGGGGTCCCCTCCGAGTCCGAAAGATCGGTCGGCGACTGTATTAAGATTCCCAGACGACATGAAGGCGGCGCGTCGGAGTACGCTGGTAGCTGCACCAAGGCCCGACTAACGCAGGGCAGTCAATGCGTGGCTGTCTCTCCGTGGCCTGTGTGTCTGCCTGTGTGTCTGCCTCTTCCCTCCTTGGTTCTGAGTGGTAGGTGCCTGCGTTTTTTTCTCCCTTTTTTCTCTTCCCTCTTCCCTTCCACCGAAACCCTCACCTGCCCGCACCTTTCCTCAAACGTCCTTCCACCCCAAAATATTGTCCTTTGTTCTGCTACTCCCTTCCTGAAATAACCTTCTGCACTAACATCCTCCTCTCTGAAAATTCCACTTTGCATGGAAAACTTTTGTTGTAAAAATATTTTTTGCTCAAAATCTCCTTCTTCGAAACCTTTGATACACCTTCAACACCCTGTTTCTCCAAATAATTTATTTACTGAATACCCGCTTTGCCCAAAATATTTTTACTATAATCTCTCCTTCTTTGCATTTATTTATCCCCAAAATCCTCTTTGGTAAAAATATTTATTTTTCAAACGATTTATTACGCAAATCCACCTTACCCTTAATTTTTTCCCCAATACCCTCATGAAAATACTGTGCCAAATACTTCTTCCCAAAACCTTCACCTTCCTGTAACCAAAAACTTCCTTTCCTCTGTGCCTGTTTCTGCCAAAAACTCTTTCCAAATGTTTCGTTTTCCTAAAATCCCCATTCTCACCACATTTGCTTCCAAAACACATCCTCCAAAATTCTCCCCTTCCCCTTTGTCTCCCTTTTGCAAAGCTCGCATTCTTTCCCATCATTCTATCTCCAACACTTCTTTCCTTCGCCATCCTCTCTTCCTGAAAACGATATGTTCCCCATATCTGAAACCTATCCCCATTGGTTTCCTTTTTCAAAACCTTCACATCTTTCTCCATCGTTATATCCCCGAAACTTCTCCCCCGTGCCATCAACCTATCCCCAAAACTTCTCCCCTTCCTTGTTGTCTCCCTTCCCCAAAATCTTTGCCTTCTTTCCCATCATTCTATCCCCATAATGTATTTCCTTCACCATACCCTTATCCCCAAAACTTCTTCCTTTCCCCAAAACACACCTTCCCCGTATCCGAAACGTCTCCCCCTCTCCGAATCCACCTCTCTTTTCATTCGGTTGGCTTGCGCCCCTGCATGGCCTGCTTCGTGGTTCCCCCCCTCCCTCTCCCTTCTCCCCCTCCCCCCGACGCAGCCGAAGCGAGGTGCGCCACTCTGTGGCGAGCGTCTCTTACGCCAGCGGCTCTGGCTCTTCTAGCGACATGGTGAAGCTACAGGAGGAGCTGCTCGAGACCTTCGTCGACCTCATGTCTCAGTACTGCTTCGGCACCTGCTCCTCGCAGCCGCACAGGTGAGTGGCTCGGCTCCGTGTCTAACTGCTTTGCTTGGAATGGGTCCCTAAAAGTGGTCCCTCGATGAAACAGTTTTCTGCCCTGCACCACGCCAACATCGCGAAGGCAGCTGGGAAGTCCCTACAACAGCCACAGCCGTAGAACAGAAAATAAAACTCGCTTCCCCTTTCTTTTAGGGGTCCCACCCTCTTCGTGCTCCATTATTTCGTCATTCATTCTTTTGCGGTTCCTAAAACACTTAAGGGGGGGCACTACCCAGAAAAAAAAATTTCTGCAAAAAACGTTGATTTTGAAAAATTACATATTTACATTCAATAACATCTAGAGAGTATTCCCAGAAATTTTCACTAGTTTACGCTGCATAGTTAATTTTTTCTTTAAATTTTTTTTTCTGTCCACCGAAGCTGAAGAAAAGGTAGGGTTTGGAGCACTTTGAACGCAATTTTCTCCGTTCCACTTTTTTGTATAAATTCCATTTTAGTCAATCTATCGTTTGGTAATGGAAATACAGGGAAAGCTTGTTCTTCACTCTTCCTGACTGAAATTTAATAAGGAGTGCGGCGATGGAATTTTTTTGTCACTTTACGGATGTCTTTTATAAAAAATGTTGGCATTTTGTCGAAGACACAGAAGAACAAAAAGTTGACCAATTTTGCAGAAGAGAAAATTGGTAGAAATAAAGGACTTCTTACAAAAAGCTTTCCATAGCCACACCTCTGAGGCATTCTGCTACACATCTAGCAAATAAGAATCTTGAATATTGTGATAGTTTTTCGACGATAGATTAACTAAACAATGTAGGCATGTTCCTGATAAAAGCTGCCCCAATTTCCTTCCCACTTAACCGACAGACCTAGCATTTTGTTATGCACCCTCTAGCATGACCACCAGCATACCCTGTAAATTTCATTCATTTTAAGCCAAGGGTTCAAAAATTGACCCTCCTAGGGGTTGTGTCCCCTTAACAAAAGACAGTAAAGAAAGGGAATGCCCTCGTTGTTTCAGGACCGTTCCAGCGTGCTGTCCGTATTCGCGCAATGTTTTTTTTCTAAATTATGATTTTACTATTTTTTCTCTTTTTTTTTTCCTTCAGCTTCTTTAGTAGTTTCATTTTTGTTACCTGGCCAGGTTCTAGAAAAGGGATCATGAAAAAAAAGTGGCTTCAATGGATATTCAATTTGGGGCTTGCAAATTGTCTAGATAATCAACTTAGGTTGACAGACAATGGCTGTAAGGCTGCTGTTGATTTTTTTGCTATTTTTAAACAAACACGCATGTGAAGCATTTTTTGGTGCTCTAAGGAATTAGCTAAAGTAAGATGCACATTTCTTGGCTTTTGAAGACCTGTATCTTAAAGCGATCATGAAATGCTTATCCTACTTTGGCCAAAAATTAAGGGCTCCCAATTTAATTTAATTAATGTTTGTGGTCGGTTTGCCTTGCTGCGTACCCGACCCGGAGGAATAGCATGGAGCCAACGGTTTCAACAACAAGAAACAACCGTATTTACTCGCATAATGAACGCACCCCCCACAACGGGCAACAATATTTGGACTTTCTTTTTCCCTCACGTAACCAACGCATTTTCAATTTTCGGCTCCGCAAGTCTCGAATTGAGTCCAATTTAGCTAGCTGCCAAGCCAATTTTCTTTTGCCGCCAAGCAGTCAGGCTAAGTAAAGCCAAGCCAAGCCGCTCTCATAATGAGTGAAGGGATACTAGAAAGAGGAAATCAATGCGTAGGTTTTCTTTCTTTTTTAATTATCAGGGTGTCACCGACCGGGAAAACCGGGAATTGTCAGGGAAATTTTAATTAACGGTAAAAATCTAGGAATTGTGAGGGATATTGTCAAAAAGTGAGCCCAGTCAGAGAAAATTAGCCGGAAATGCCATCGAGTGCCCTGAGCAAAGACTTGAGGACTTGGGGGCAGAAAAATAGGCAATAAATTCTGCCTAGAGTGGAGCACGGGCTCTGTTCACCGGATGGAAAGTGTGCGACCCGATGCAAAGAGAAGAGCCGACAAATCCAGCCCAAGCCTTGGATTGGATTAGATTGAGAGCACGGCACTAGGCTAGATCCAGTTAGAGCTGCTAGGTTGACTAACAAATGGGAAAAGCCGCACACCCCAACCCAAGCTTTACAACGAAAGTATCCGAAAGTGTGCATCTGGTGGCCATGCTGCCATTCGGTTATTGACGTGTGTAGTGGAGCGTTGTGCTCTCAACGTGTCTCCGAAAGTGGCCTCTTTACTGACGATGCTGGCAGCAAGAAAGTTCTCATTTCATCCGTACTGGACGGACCCCGAATATTTCGGAATATGCAAGTTGGATTAAGCCCGTGCAAAATGATTCTCACAGTGCTCAGTGCTCAATGCCTTGTGTTGTAATGGCCTTATATATTTAACCACCTCTACAATGGTCAGGGAATTTCACCTGAAATTGTCAGGGAAGACCTGGAAAAGTCAGGGAATTTCAAAATATTTAATTTGCTAGACACCGTGAATTATCTAGCTGGAGCACATGGAGTGCTTGCAAGCTGTTCAGGTTTAAAATTACAAGTATGGAATTAAAAAAATTTAAGGCAAATTGCTAGGTGCTTGTGTTGCACATGCGAAATGTTCTAGCATCACAAACGTTTAGCGATACTTTGAGTCTCCAGACGCCTAGGTTCCCAGTTCTCTTCATCAGAAAGTTTAATGCGTACCAAGTGTACGCTTGATAGTTGTTCCTAGAATGAAGCGGTACAACCGTTAATCGGACTGATAAACCTGGCAACTTCCCAGAGCCTTCCCTTCTACATTCTCATGCTCCTCTCCCTCGGTGCGCACAGGTGGTCGAGCTCCTCCTTGCCTACCCCTTCGGTCACATGACCTCCCTCTTAATCAATCAGTGTCGAGCACCTCACCCCTCCTCTCCCATCCATCAACCAATCAGTGTCAACCTGCACGGCCACGCTTTTTTCCGGGCTTGACTTTTATGTGGGCTTCACGAAATGCTGAACAGCTAGCCAAAGAATGCTTCATGTTATTATTGAAGGTGGAAAGGTGTCATATCTTTTCCTTTCACTTTTATTTTGGTGCATCTGCTTTTGCCATATTCTGGCGGTTTCAGATTCCAAACAGTGGGTACCTGGCAGAGCTTCTTCATCGGGTGATAAGCACTCATCCTCTAAATTCGGTTGAGAAGCGTTAAGTTCGAATCGCAAAAACCGGCGCTTCGATTGCCACTACCGCCAGAGCAGCCCACACGCAAAGTGACATTCTTGCACGTATCACATGTGTGGAGTGTCTAATTTCAAAACCATAAATAGCCCCAGCAAAGCGAAACACTGTGCAAATATAATGTTTGTGGTTTGCCAAAGACATAAATAGTAACACCTCTTGCAGTGCACACTGTTTCGTGTTTAGGCGGGTACTTTTAAATGTGTAATCGTCACCGTACAAGTACGGCGACGACCGTCAATGCTTTAAAGGGACAGGGTACGAAGGTATGCTTTCCAATGTTTTGATTTGAACATGACCTATGAGATTGCAACCTGAAATTCATATTCTTTCCGGCCGAACATCGCCGGTCGTGAATTGGCCGGTTTCAAGCGCACTGACTTTTTCCACGGTCACGTGCTGTTCAAACCGATGCATACTAAATTTATTCAAAGTTGTGGGTCATCTAAGGCACACATTCAATATTAAAAATAGAAAAGAATGTGAACCCCATTTTTTTGCGGCTTCCAAAAGGTTGCAAATATGGTGATTAAAAAAAAATTGTTGCACAGATCGCAGAAAGTAGAGGTACATGTCATTCTCAATATGGCGACGGATGGACGGCGCGATGCCAGCGCTCGGCGGTCTAACGTTACAACAGACGTGGAAGTGCTACTTCGGAACTGGTTCGTGGTACCGAGCAATCAATCTTCAAACACAGAACGGCAAGGGGGGGGATACATGTACGAAACAATCACACTACAAAGGGTTCAAGCAACGTTCTTATTGTCGTTGTCCGCTTCACACGCCCGACAAGCGGAGGAATGGAAAAAAAACTGGGTAGAGAGCGATAGCCACGTGACTTCCGGCAACTCTCTCCTCCGAGTCTCTCCGTACACATGTTTTGGTTTCGAGCAGTTGCGCTTTTGTCTTTATTAAAATGATACGTGACTCTGTGGCAAAATACTGATTGGGTAGTCTTCTGACACTTTTACTGAATCGCCTAACAAGAAATTTAAAAAGTATTTTTTGAAGGGGTGTCAGGGCCCCTTTTAAAGAAAACGCTGCTGCTTGAAACCGGAACAGAAAGTGGACTGAGGAGGAACAAGAGATATAGAGGAGGATAAAGATACTGGAAGTCACGTGGATGTGCAACTTTTGTTGTTTTCAATCAACATATTTGCACATTTTTAGAAGCCACAAAAAATGGGTATCACTTTTTTTCTTTTTAGTATTGAGTGCGTGCCTTCGATGACCCATGACTTCGATTATCTTTGGTGGTGGTGTCTAAACCATAGAAAACGGCACGTGACCACGGAGGAGAGAGTGAGCGTAACTCAAACCAGCCAGTTTTTAATCGGCGGCTTCCGGGTCGAAAGAAAACTAACTTCGAGCCACCAATTGTGTCCTGGGTAGTTGCGCTCTCATACGTCATGTGCAAATAAAAACCTTGGCAAGTATAAATACTCTGTCTGTGTCCCTTGAAAGGAACTAGCAAAAGCGGGATAAGCATTTCATGGTCTGGGAAATAATTTTTTGCTTTGAGCAGATTATTCAATGTAGGCAAATAGTTTTATGGTCTCGTTAAGCCTCCTCTGAGGCACCATGAAACACACTTCTATTCAGTCTTGTACACATTGCTCAAAACAGTAATTCATTACAATTACTCTAGGTTAAAAAAGCATTCAATTAGATTTCTTTAAAAAAAAGTAATTGACCATTACTTGAAAAAGTAACTGTTACTTTTCTGATTACTTAGATTTTTAAAATGACTGATTTTCTTTTTTTCTGATCTGAAAAAGGGCCTTTTGTGCTCTCCATTATTGGATTAGAATCGCCAAACTAGAAACTGCTTATCTCGTCAATCTGCCTGTCGGAGACTCGGTTCGAGGATTCATTGACAGGAAACTTGTAAAAACAAAAGGCACAATGAAGAAGGGGTTGAAAAGATAGTAATGGCTACAAGTAATTTTAGTACAGTGGAATCTCGTTAATTTGAACCCGAGGGGGTGTCTGTCTGTCCCTTTTTGCCTCCTAGCTCCAGGGCTACCTCTATGTCTGACTAATACTAGGTATGTTTGAATAATGCAAAGTTTTAATTACTGGGAGTTTTTTCTCCTAGAAACACATAGTAGGACGGGACCTGCGTGTTAGTTTGAATTATCTGTGAGTTTGAATTAAGAGGGCTTGAATTAACGGGATTCCACTGTACTTGTAAAACTAATCAGAAAACTCTCGCATCTACATCCTAGAAAATGCAATCAAATTATTACAAAATTACCCCCAAAAATATTTGATTACAAGTAATTTGATTAGTAGTTGTAATGGATACCGTTCTGCTTCCACTTCAGCGAGGCTCTTTACAAGGAAACAAAAAAATTACACCATCTTCCCGAGGGGAACCATGGGGTGATGCGGAGCATCGTTCCATCACACTTCATCGGAAGAACGGAGTGGAGTCAACAGCGGTGAACTGAACGCGCGCAGAAATTAGTTTGCTCTTTATGTTTATACAGCCTTGATGGAGATGCGCCTCAACGTGTAATCGGTCTCTTAGCTGTAGATGAGAAATTTAGCCAGTGCAGTACAACCACTTACCTGGGATTTTTAACGTGCATCACGCAGTAGTGATCACACGAACGCGTACCAGTACGATACTCATCCATATCGAAACGGGCGGGGGCGGCGGGGACTCGAACCCAGGAGGTTCCCAGCGCAAGCTTTCGCTCCACGCTCCGAGCTGAGATGTGTTACCCCACTCGGACACTCCCTCCCCTTAAACGCGCGCAGCGCGCAACCGCTGCTTATATTCAAACTTGAAGGAGAAGAAACTAGAGGAGGAGTTGAGCAAGCGGGCGCGGTGTGAGTAAAAGCGAACGCACGCGAAGTGCACGCAGCTGGTAGAGAGAGAGAGCGGAGAGAGTAACGCACAGCTGTTGGAGAGAGGGAAGGAGGAGAGTTACGCATACGTAGTGTGAGTGCGGACTACGACGCCGCGAGACATAGACCCGAGCAAGAGACGCTCCGCATCTAAAATGTTTTATTATCCCTTTAAGACCTGACTATAGAATGATTGCCTGCTTAAGAAGTCCAATCAAAGTAAAAACTTTATAATATCGAGGTCCTTTCAGAGGGATCACGATAGTTTTCGACTTTGTGCAGCTTAGTCAAAGTAGAAAAATATCCATTATGGGTTCTTTAAGGCTGTTTTAAAGGAAGCTTTGGCAGCTTTATGAGCTACTCAAACTACCCAAGCACATTTTTGGTATGCCCAGGTTTTGCTTCTTCCGGCATGCTCTTTATTTATTTCTAAATTCAAAATAGCCACTGAGGAAATGGCTAAATATAACTTAATAAAAAAAGTTATTGTGACTTGTAATATGGTTTACTGGCTCGGATGTGCCTATTAAAGGTGCACGCAAGTGGATTGTGAGATTGTCCATAGTGATAACTCAATCTATGTGCCCTAAGCATTCTAAAAAATTCGAAGTTACGCCGAAGGGTGGCTGATTTCCTTTTTAAAAATCTAATCAAAGGTCGTGACACTCCCCTCTTTCTGCACCTTGGAGCAGACACCAGGGGGCACCGTAAGATGGCGTTCTCAAACAATCATTACTGTATTACATATCCTACAGCGATAGATTCAACGTTTTAGTCAAAATATAACCCAGAATGTGCCTTAAAAGAAAAATAATAGTGGTAACATTTTGAATCTCCGCGCCGTTAACTATTTTCATGGATAAAATTTTATGGAGGTGGTGGTGACCCGAGTATGTTGCCCCCGAAAGAAATTATGCGCGTGTATTCCTATTGCCGTGAAATTGCTAGCATGTCTCGCCATCTATAACCGGTCATTTTTATCGACCGAAGCCCAGTGAGCAATACGCCATCAAAAACAAGCTTCTACAAAAAGTATGAGTATTTTAATGCATAAAACCAATTTCGTTGCAAGTCATCTACTATCGGAATTCGGCCCGAGCTCCCCGGAGACCACGCTACGACGCGCCGGCGGCCCAGGTTGGAAAATCGTATCGTGGCTCCTTTAAAATCGAGAAAGTTGGGGGGAGAGGAGTGGCGAGTCGCTCCTTGAAAAGCCGCGGCAGACGTCGGCCAACGCCTTCACGCACACGCAGGTCGGCGACGTCCGAGTTCATGCTGAAGCAGGGTCGCTCCATGACCTGGCTGTTGGGCCACAAGATGGTGACCATCACAACGAGTGGCTGCGGGGGCCGCGCTTACCGGCTGGGCATGTGCGAGCGCTGCTACTGCTTCTGCAGGGACGCCCAAGACCAACCGGACCCCTGCCAAGGTGCGCCCCTTCCGCGCGTGCGATGGGCGGATCGGCGGCCGAGCTTGTCGTACTATGTGATGCTTAAAACAAAACTCTCTGACCGGTTTCTTTACTGTGGCCGAGAATGCCGTCTCTCGGTTTCCGCCCAGTGACGTCGTGGGAGCTTCGTGCTGTCGCCAGCGCCAATCCTGGTGGCGTCACGGCAACGCCGAAGCGTAAAACTAGGGCTTCAGCCCTCGAAACGAAAAGGAGGCGAACTCGCTAAGACAGCTGGCACGGATGAGCCTAGGGCCAGCCACACAGCTACTCGCATTGTGACGATCCCACCAAAATTCAACCTTTTTGTAACCTCCACCTCAACCTTGCGGACGAGCAAGGTAGAAGAATGACGTACACGATGACCTTTCGAGCAAACTCGAAAAGCTACCACCTTCCTCCTTGAACAAATATAAAGCCTGCGCGAGGGTCACTTGACATCGAGTGAACCCCACGACAGCGGCCAGGATTACAATAATTCACAAAATCCCCCAAACTACCTATTGTTGACGGACCTCCATGAGTTGTGGACGTAAACACATCAATGTGAACAAACCAAAAAGCCAAATTCGAGACGCGCTCGAGTGACCCTGCGCAAAAAGCAAATTCGCCATAGTGGTCACCACAAAAGAAAAAAGCCACTTACAACTATTTTGACTTATCCCTAACTTGCATCAACGAATAAGGCAAAAGACCAGGTGTGCTTCTTAAAGGGCAACTCCGCTTCATTTTTGATATTTAGAAAACTATGTAGCCCTCTTCAGTATCATATAGGAAGACCCCATGCCAAATATTACGATCTAATTCCGTTTATATATTTAATAAACTGGCCAGCAAACCTTCAAGCATGCCAAGTCGCTGAAATCTGCAAACTCTAGCGTGCGGCGCGAGCCGCAATCACCAGCGCAGTCAATGCCACGGAGTTAGAGCAGCCGACATTGAGCCACTACGTCAGAGGCATGTGTACGTCATCCTCACGTTTTGTTTGTTTTTACTTCTCAGAGCGAAATTGAACGATGACGTCATGAGTTTCTCCTCCCGATGTTGATCACCGTAACACTGATGCGATAGTTTGCGCTGCCCTGCGCGCTTATCGGTCTGTGTCTCCGCTCCCCTTCTCCTCTTTCGTCTTCTCCCCTTCCCCCTCTCCCCCGGGCCATCACCGTCCACGCCATGCGAAGCGACCTGCCCGCGTCCAATAAAAAAAACGAAAAAAAAAAGACCTGCCCGAGCGTCGCGTGTCCTGTTTCTCGCTCCCTCCCGAACGTCACAAGACCACGTGGTTCGGCGTGACGTGCCATGACTCTGACGACCCGAGACCAATGTTGTCTGACGCAACCGAAATTTCGGTTTCGGTATCAGCTGATGTTTAAATTGGGATTACACAAATAATATTCCACATTTCGCGAGTCCGAAGACGTAGCGTTGTTTAGTAGCGCTTTGTGAATTTGAATCACATGTAAGCCTAAATTTTTCGGAATTGAGCGGAGTTGCCCTTTAAGGGGGGGGGGGCGCTACCCAGAAAAATCAATTTCTGTAAAAACAGTTGAGTTCGAAAAATGTTATATTTACATCCACCAACATCTAGAGTATTTCTAGAATGTTTCATTAGTTTACACTGCGTAGTTAATTTGTTTATAAATTATTTTCGGTCCCCCGAAGTTAAAGAAAAGGTAGGGGTTGGAGCTGTTTGAACGCATTTTTCTCCATTTTACTTTTTGCCATAAATTTCACTTTAGCAAAACTATCGTTTGTTAATGAAACAAGAGAAAAGACTCGCTCATTGTTTTTCCTAACTGGAATATTATGGGCAATGCTACTGTGAAATTGTTTTTTTTTATCTTGTGGATGTCTTTTATGAAAGGATGTTAAGGTTTTGTTGACGACATAAAAGGCAAAAAAAAATTATTTGATTTTCCACTGCGATGTTAGCATAAAATAAATTACTTTTTGGAAATTTTGTTTCCACAGTTGCGCTCTCCAGGCATTCTGCCGCGGATCTAGAGTAGAAAAATGCTGAGTATTACATTAGTTTCCTAACGATAGTTTTCCTAAACAAAGTCTGTATGTTTCTGATAAAAACGACTATAACTTATTTTACAATTCATGTTCACAGATGAAACTTCGCACTGCATTCTGCCTTGTAACTGCCAGTACATACTGTAAATTTCATTCATATGAAGCCATAAGCTCAAAAGTTGACCCTCTGGGGTAGTGTCCCCCCTTAAAACACGAAAAAATAAAAAAATACTGAAATTCCCGACACATTGTTAGTAATTAGTAAGCATGAGTAGTGGCCCAACACGACTAGCATCTTGTCAGGCAAGAACTGGGTCCCAAAGACAAACGGCGATTGAGCATATAGCGTGTCTGGCACTGCAGAACAAATACTGTAACATCCCAAGATAGCCCACCAGCAATCGAGAGAGAATTGGGTGAATATAAGGAGTGGGCTAACTTTCGATGTGCAATCAAAAAAAGTTGAAACAGAAATTGCTATTTTTAGATTGCGTGTCTCTGTCAAACTTGTGATCATGGCGAGGGGTAATGAAGCAAAGATGACTGTACTTCCCAGTCAGCAATGTTCCCTTATATCCCGCCATAGCTAACTAGGGGCATTTACGCCAAGATCATCAATGATCCGAGCACTAAGATTACTAGGAGTGGGCTATGTTTCGGCGGTTAAAAGAAAATAGCAAATCAAGCCAAAAATAGGGGTGGGTTACCTTTGTGGGGCATCTCTCGGGATTTTATGGTAAATGAAAAAGCTAAAAAAAAATTCAGGAGGGGGGAGGGGAGGTACTGTAACACCCCCCTTAATGGGGACGCCCTGTTCGAACGCCTAGCTTGCCCACTCTTGAGGCCGGGTCCATATCACAAGAGCGAATGACATTTTAGCGAACGGCGACATTTGAGCGAATGGTCGTTTTAGCGAATAACGGGGGCACGCGTTAACCCATCCGTCGCGCTGCGCTTTACGCCGCTTCGCGGCGACAGTCTACGGCAACTCATTACAAAAATATGAACTCACTTGGCCCACCTGAAAACGCCGCTTCGCGGCGTCCGACTATTCGCTAAAGTGTCGTTCGATGAAACGTCGGCGTTCGCTAAAACGTCATTCGATCAAGTGAGTGCCTCCCCTTGAGGCCGGTACTGCGCCACACCTCAAAGGCAGTCCGACCTTGCGCCGTCTAAACACGAATGTCAAGTTTGTACTTTTTTTCTCCCTTTGTTTCCGAGCCTGTTCTTTCTTTGCTCCTCTCTACAAAGCAACGCGAGTTTTTCGGTATGGTGTATCATTGTCTCAGATATCCATTACGAGCTTACCACACCTTTGTAAATGCGTAGCATTTATAAGGGCCAGCTTTGAGCGCAGGCTTTCCTCCTTCACTGATGCTTGGAAATCTCGTGAGCCTCCAGCGCAGCCTAAGCACGGCAAAAGGCAATGAGCATGTGCCAGAGGTGAGAACGCCTCGTCGTTCTCACTCGGCGGCTATATGGTGGAAAATGTTTAATGAGACTGCAGTACATTTAGAATGTCATTGGGCATGCCATAGAAGCTGCCTCGGTGGCTCCGAGGCGGGAGTGCCAGCCTACGGACCCCCAGGTGGCGGGTTCGAGTCCCGGCCAAGGCGCCCGCGATCTTGATGGAAACTTATTGCGGAGAAGGCGCCGTGTAACCGCGCTTTCGGTTGCACGTCAAAGGATCCCCAGGTGGTCGAAATTGATCCTCAGTCCTCCGCTAGGGCGTGCCGGATGCCCGTCGTTGGTTTGGCACATAAATCCCCAAGTTTGAATTTTGAATTTGGGCATGCCAAAGAGAGCCAGTTTTTTTTGTATGAGGAAGTCCTGTTCGGTAATTCAGGTACGGGCACTAGGGGTCACGATGTATCGTTGCATCAACATCGAAAAACCTTGTGAGTAGGGTTACATGTTTTTGGCGTTTAGTCTGTCTTCGAATTCAGGGGCGTTTTTTTAAGCGTTTATCTTTTCCCGCAGATTCTTCATTTTTCAATGTCAATCGTCGCCGTTGAAAAAACAATTGCCACTTATCCGGACTCGCGTCATAGGAAATGTTGTCACGAGTGACAAGTGATGAGGCGGCTAATAACTGAATAAACTGAACGTTTAAGGGGGCGAATTACTGCCCAAAACAAAAGAGAAGGAGGTTAGCGTCGTAGGCGTCCATGTCGACGAAACAGCGAGATTGAGCGCTAGGGCGAAACTGACTCCGGCTTGCCACGGGGAGCACCTTTTGTAACCGCGTGGGTTTCTGGAACATTCGGCCTAGAACGTTCAACGCGTAGAACATCCATAACTCTATCAGACAAGAAAGTTCTCAAATTTGCAAGAACACCAAGTAGAAAGAATAAATAAAAGAATATTCTGCTCGCTGGAATCGAACCCAGATCCTCCACGCGACAGCCAAGCAGGGTAACCATTCGGCCACGTACGCCCTCGCTCAGCGACGCGCGTGGCAATGTGACTTACACACGCAATTCCCCAACCACCAAAGAATGTGCATGCTACCCAAATACCACATGGAAAGTGTCCCAATAGTGATAACGCAAGAAATCGAGATAAGGTATGCGGTTGCGAAGAAAAATGCAGTCTTGCAGACAGTTGTGTGTGGGCTTTATTCCCAGTCAGCACAAAACAGAGCCATAGATAAAAGTTCTCTTCCCGCGAGGCTTTTTATTTTTTTTGTTCAAGGACTTTTTCCGTTTTTTCTCTCAGGGGTCAGTTTCCGAGGTTTATCGGTATTTACCAAAAACACAGAACCTTACTCGTAAGGTCAGAGTGGACGCCCCATGCTTAGGTGCCGTCTCTGCCCCCTCTCAGTCTCTTTTTCTCTCTCTCCCTCTTTAACTTTATGCAGAAGGACTCCGGCCGGCGTCGGAAGTGCCACTGGCCGGTTTCCCGTCGGAAGAGCAGCAGGGCCAGAACCGGCGGCGCCACCAGTCGGAGGCGGACGGACGGAGCTCCCTCTCGGGGGCCGGAGCGTTTGCGTCGCGCATGCTCTCCGGCACCAAGGATGACCTCAGCCTTCGGCAGGTGTTCCCGGACAAGCGGGCCGGCATGGGGGGGTGAGTCTCACTACGGTGCCTGAACCTCATAAACAGACCAGGGGCCCTAATCTACATGGTGGGACCAAGAGACCGGGACATCACCGCTTGCTGCAATTGGCCAGTTCCACACAGCCGACCAATCGCAGCAGGCATCGCCCCGCCGTGTGGATTAGGGCCCCAGTTGGAGACGCGCGTTTCAGGCACCATGGTCTCGCTTCTGCACTTGGAATGCATCTTTGACTGGTGTATCTATTTGGCGTCCCATGCGTCAACCGTCGGAAGAGCAGCCGCAGACTCATAAACGAGCCTGCGGCTGCCTGCACCAGGTACGCAGGCACCGTACGTGCGCAGAAACCAGTCGCGCAAAGTACCGCATCCCTGCGTGCGTCGTGGCGACCGCAGCACCGCCGAAGCGGCCTGGTTTCGGAGCTGCTGGTTGGTCTCGAAGGCGGCCTTGCACAACGTCCTTCTGGCTCGAAATCTTACTGGACCCCGCGTTGATAATCTTTTGCCCTGTGCCTTTTACAGCGGAGCTGTTAAAGGGGCACTCCGGTGATTTTTCGAGCTACCTCAACTAGCTATTTTTTCTGACTCCCTGGCCTGTACCCTTTTCAGTATGATATTTAGTATCACGAAATTCATAATAGTTAACATTCAAATATACCTACACTTTTCAGTGCTGTGACGTTAGTGGTGGGCAGGCTTGCCAGTCAAGCAAACAGTCAAAAAATTAGATTATGTCAATCATTTGTTCAGTGCTGGAGTGCGGGTACCGGAGCGAGCTTCCAAAACATTCATTTGACACCATGAAACTGCTCCGAATCAGTTGAAAACGAATTCTACAGTCCAAAGAGTGAACCCCTGCCCTCTACTGACGTCACTTTTTCGTTGTTGCCAATAGAGACTTTCATTTTGAAAAACACGGTGAGTACCGAAATTGTAAATTCAATAACTTCACGAAAAAAAAAAATTTAACCTAATATCCGGGATACTATTTTAGCGATGTTTGATGCCGAGTTTAGCAAAATTTCAAGCAAATCGGGGACCACGAAGAAATCACCGGAGTACCCCTTTAAGGGCTAGTTTCCCCAATTTGATGTCCGGGGAGAAATAAATCTCGACACAAAACTCTGGACAACTACCAACCAGACAACCAGCTTGCCAGTTGTCTGATTGCCGCCGTCGCTCATGGATGGCCTTTCCACTCTGGTTTTCACCAGAGTGGAAAGGCTGAATTTCTTCGGTCGTCGTTCTAGAAGTCATTCTCGAGGACGATGCCTAGATGACAACGTCCTCTAGGTACCGTCCGTGAGGTCGTCCTAGAAGTCGTCCTTGAGATTGTCCTAGATGTCCTTCAGGTAGTCCTAGACGTCTTCCTGGAGGTTGTCCTTGAGGTCGTCCTAGAAGTCATCCTTGAGGTTATCCGAGACGTCATCCTAAAAGTTGTCCTTTAGGTCATCCTAGAAGTTGTCCTCAAGGTCGTCCTAGAAGCAGTCCTTGAGGTTGTTCTAGACGTTGCCCTTGAGGTCCTCCTAGGCGTCGTCCTCGAGGTCGTCCTAGAGGTCGTCCTTGAGGTCGTCCTTGAGGTCGTCCTAGATGTCGTTTTTTAGGTCGTCTTAGACGTCGTCCTCTAAGCATCGTCCTTGAGGTTGTTTAAGAAGTCGTCCTTGAAGTCGTCCCACCACAGTACAGCTCTGCTGGTCTCCCTTCTTCACCAGAGTGGAAAGGCTGAAAGTTTTTTTGCGTGGAGTTGTTGTTTTCCAGCTCGCTCGAGTTTTTCCATGTCGTGATCGACTGTGCCTGCAGGAGTGGTCGGCGATACCGGGGAGCGTCGTCCGACGCTCAATTTGTGTACCTGCCAGTCTTTGTTTGGAGTGCAAGCGACCTGGTGCTCCAAAGGGCGACCTGTCGGTGGCCAAAATGACCCCCGGTGGATGCCTCTAGGACGACTCCGAAAGGGAAAAGCATACCGTGGGTGCGGGCTTCTGTGACCCAAATGCGTTCCCGACTGTGCTTATCGTGTCCCGTTGTCGACAAAGTCATTTGCTTTGCATTGCATTCCATTGACGCCAAAAAACGTTTGTCTGCATCCAGATGGCTTGGGAAAGTGGTGGATTCTGTTCACCTGCACAACGGAATGCAGGTTATAGGAAGCAAAAAGGTGTTTCGTGAAACTGCCTTACACTTGCCGACGCCTTGTAACGTAAGGAGGCCAAAGGGCTGAATTTTCTCATGCACAGGAGAGAATAAACAGAACACAACAAAGGATGTTGTGTTCTGCACTCTGTCCTGTCTGTTTATCCTTTTGTGTGTATATGAAGCTTACCAGCAGACTCGATTTCTAATGCTTATGGCTGAATTTTCAACATCACCCAACGCGGCAAACACGGGGCACGGATTGAATACGAGTGCTGCGTTGGCGCTCGGGACAAAGTCGCATCTTTGACGACGAAACACGAGTCTCGGCCGAATGTTCATCGTGTCCAGTCCGTGTAAGCGTTCTTGCTCATGTCTGCCCAGAAAACGTCTGTTGTACCCATTACACACCACATCGAATCGATTGTTCATGAACTTGCATTTGAACTGTCGGTTACACCGTGTAACATCAACTGGCTTTGTGTCGCTGCCGTGTCCGCAGCTCTCGCGTTTTGCTGCTGCGTTCCTTGCTCTTGCCTTTTCATCTTGCTGCTTTCGCCGTCGTCGCTCCTATGCCGCTTTGGTGGTACATGAATCCCACGAGCAAGAGCCTTCGTAGTATGTGTAGCTCAATTTGGTACCGCTGAAGGTCCCTGCTCCAAGAGGAGTCGCCAACTGCACATGGAGCGAGCAACTAGCAACTGCACACTTCATGCTTTCTTGAGGCTATATCCCTGGCTCGTACAGGAAAGTGCCTTAAAGGTGACCCTATAAACGTAATTCATTTTAATTAACCCTTGAAGAAACGCCCCTAAATTTGAGGGAAAATAAATCCCGAAAAAATGGGACCCTGATTATGTTCCGTTTGTGGTGCGTCGTGCAGCGACAGCGAGCCGGGTGACGGCAGGGGCGGTGGCGTCCGGTTGGGCGGAGCGCATGGGTCTAGTCACGTGTCCGGAAGCACTTCTGGAGAAGTGCTAAGTCACGTGTGCAGCTGCTGGTGCTGCGGCTGGGCCGAGGTGTACGTCCGGCGCCCCACGGGTAACACGTCCTGGGTCATGCGGCTCCAAAATGACATGTTCTCCAAGACCTGCACACCCGTAAGTTTGGTTTCTCTTGTGTTGGTGATGTTACGTGATATCACGTGATGTTACATGATGCAGTGTGATGTCGCATGGTGTCACCTTTTCTCACGTGATGGTATGTAATGTGTGGTGACGTTACATGATATTACGCAATCACGTAATCGCAATATATGCATCAAATCTGGGCTGGGCGACCGCAAGAGGCGCAAACTTCACGTTCCACTCCCGCTATAGCACTAACTTTAACGGGACTTTCTTTCAAAGATGCTACGCACCCCCAGTGTTTGTGCCGTCGAGGCACGAAATATTTACCGAGGAGTTAATTTGTGCAACATCACTGTGGTAATCATTCTATCCTTCCACTGCCTTCGTCTGTCCAGGACTTCCCCCTGCCTGATGTGTCGGCCATCTTTCGCCAGCCCCAGATGATGGCCCAGGACTGGGCGGGACCCCCGGAAGAGCCTGTCGTCTGCAAACGGGACCGACGTCCGAGCGAAGGAGGGCGAGTGAGAAGCGCCGGCAGCTCGGAGGACATCTCTCCGAGTGAGTGTTGATGACGGACGTTGCGGCTAAATAATTGAATTAAGGTTGGTTCGCACGTTTGTGTTTGACCGGGATTGACCGTATTACCATCGCTTGGGATTGCTTAGGACGAGATAACTCATTAATGCCCTTGATTGGATCACCCGGGAACACTTGCGTGATGTGTATACAGTATAGACCACTTACAACGTAACTGCTTATAGTGCAGGACCGGGTATAACGCGGCTTTTTTAAACCACCGGTTCGCCTCCCATAGAACTCCATGTAATTACATACTGCTTAAAATGCAGGCGCGCGAAGGGAAATACCGGTTATAGTGCGGTTTCTGGAGCAGCGCTGACAGCGCCGACCAACTCGCGCAGCGAGCACGCTTCCCTGTCCGACACTAGATAACGGCGCTAGCCGCAAGCGGCACTCGTGGGGGCAAGGATGGCAAGGAGGTTGCTCGAAGAAGCGGGGAGAAGCGAAGAGATAGGCTTCAGTTGCCATAGCGACGGAGGGACGCACGCAGGTGTCGTTCACGGCGCGGGGCGTTGGAGCGAGTCCAACTTAAGCCCAACCAGCCGTTCGCACGCGTTGCATGCCGGTCGCGGGCCAGCTTCTTCTATCCGCAAACATGGCATCGGTGGTAATCGTCGACGTCGACGGCGTAGTGGAAGCTCATCGTTCTGCGTAAAAGCGCTATCCTTGACTGTGAATTTTCGTTGTGTGTCACTATGATAACCCAGCACGTACTAGAAGGGAAGATCCACCTACTTGTGCGGCGATGTCGTGGCGGCACTTGCAAGACAGCAGACCCGTGTCGTCATGTTTGTTTACTTCGATTACAGTGGTGCTTTCTAAGCATTTGTGTTTTCGAACATCACCCGGATTTCTTATTTGGAGCATTTCATGCCTTTTTTGGAGCATTTCATACGCATACCGTATAAAGGATGCGAATTTTCACGCGTTTTCATCACCAGAGAAAAGTGATTAGGGTTAGGAATCCTGAATGCTCGCAACGTCCGTCCGCAACCCGCGACGCCGTTAAAAGGCTGCGCCAGGCAAAAGTCGATCATTTCTTTCAAAATGTGTGACACACTTGAGAGAGAAGTGTACTAGTCTGGTGAAATAAAGACTTTCCTCAAACTAAGCTTTATTCTTCATCTAATATAAAATAAATTGTTTTACAAAGGTAAGTTGTCTCATGGCATGTATTTTGGCCTGAAAAATTTATGTTTTGGTTATAGCGCGGTACCGCTTATAGTGCGGATTTTCGCGACTCCCGTGACATACGTTATATGCGGTCTACACTGTATTTCCATTTTTTTACCTTAGTTCAAATAATTCGAAAAGTATTACGAGCAACCATTTCTCGTAGGTAGTGTGTATGTTTGATCTCGCAACACAGATCCTCCAGTCTAGTTTTACATAGATTGGAAAGGTTCCTAAGCTACCTCATAGATGGCAACAGTATGTCCTTTCATCGTGAGCGGCCATGACGCGGTTGGTCAAGGTCAAACACAAATGTGTGAACCAGCCTCAACAAGCTCTCATGTTACGTGGAATCTGCTTGTTGTACTCAAGCAACAAAATTCGCAAGCATTTGGTGCTGTTGATTCGAACATCCGCGTATTCTATTTTACCCGGGGATCAATCGGCAATGTTGTATAAGCATCGCGAAGTTACATTCCCCCAGTTATAGTCGGAAAGTAGACGAGAAGGAACCCTTTTCAGAAGTGTGCGTCATCTACGGTATAGACCACTTACAATGTAACCCCTTATAGTGCAGGACCGGGTATAACGCGGTTTTTTTGAACCACCGGTTCACCTCCCATAGAACTTTATGTAATTACATACCGCTTAAAATGCAGGCGCGCGAAGGGAAATACCGGTTATAGTGCGGCTTTTGGAACAGCCTGCCGACCGCGCCGACGACCGGAGCAGCGAGCACGCTTCCCTGTGCGCCACTAGATAACGGTGCGAGCGCGCGAGCCGCAACAACACCCTCACGGGGCAAGGAGGTTGCTCGAGGAAGCGGGGAGAAGCGAAGAGAGAGGCTTCAGTTGCCATAGCAACGGAGGGACGCACGCACGTGTCGTTCACATGCGTGCGTCCCTCCGCTGCGTTGGAAAACAACCGCAACGACAGATCAATCGCAGGTCGAGGAGAGCTGTTCGCGCGCATTGCATGCCGGTCACGGGCCGGCTTCTTCTAGCCGCAAACGTGGCATTGGTTGTGATCGTCGTGGTAGACGGCGTGGTGGAAGCTCATCGTTCCGCGTAAAAGCGCTGTCCTTGACTGTGAATTTTCGTTGTGTGTCGCTATGATAACCCAGCACGTACTAGAAGGGAAGATCCACCTACTCGTGCGGCGATGTCGTGGCGGCACTCGCAAGACAGCAGAAACGCCCGTGTCGTCGTGTTTGTTTACTTCGACTACAGTGGTGCTTTCTAAGCATTTATGTCCTCGAACATCGTCCGGATTTCTTATTTGGCGCATTTCATGCGTGTGCTCAAGTTGAAGGTATTACTGGCGCGTACCGTATGAAGGATGCGAATTTTCACGCGTTTTCATCACCTGAGAAAAGTGATTAGGGTTAGCAATCCTGAACGCTCGCAACGTCTGTCCGCAACCCGCGACGCCGTTAAAAGGCTGCGCCAGGCAAAAGCCGCTCATTTCTTTCAAAATATGGGACACACTTGAGACAGAACTGTACTAGTCTGGTGAAATAAAGACTTTCCTCAAACTAAGCTTTATTTTTCATCCAACATAATTTACATTCTTTTACAAAGGTAAGTTGTCTCATGGCATGTATTTTGGCCTTAAAGAATGATGTTTTGGTTATAGCGCGGTAGCGCCTATAGCAGGGACGGCGCCAGGCTTTTCATAGTGAGGGGGCAGTGGGGAGGCGCACGGCATTTTTGGGGAGGCATGGGCTTTCGATCCGACTAAAAGAGCAAATATTCAGGGACGATGACTTGGCACTTCGAGAGTTTTTAATAGATATCAGCTCAGTTTATTTTATTATTTTAATGTAGCATTTCACGTGCAAAATATTCAGGCATGTTTACATTCCGCAATACTAAATAAGCACGCTCACGCTTGTCGTGACTCATCATCTGCTCTTTAGGCAGTCCCCTGCACCGCGGAAAACTGGAGCACGTCAGCGATCATGTAGATGTAGTGACGATTCTCCCGTCTTTGTTGAATACGCCTGGCAGAGGTACACCGCGACTGATTTAGCCGCGCCACTTTTCTTTATCTGCTTGAAGGAAGCCGATGATGTTTGGGACATCCTGCGTGCCGCACTGTTGGAGTGGCGTCGTAGTCCGCCTTCCTTTTGAAGTGCTTTCTTCCAGTTTCGATAGCCCTCTGTCAAAATACAGCACTTCCACTTTTTTACTCCCCCAGGGTAACTAATGATGGGAGCATGGCAGTTCTCGAACCGCCAAGCTCCGACTGTACCTTTTCCCGAGCACACACAGTCGCCGTCACTAAAGTTGCTTCGAGGACCCCATAGAGACTCGAAATAAGCAGGATGACCCATACACATCAAGGCCGCCCATTGGGAACTCGCCAGTCGGCCCGAGCGCCTCAGGACCTTGTGAGATTTCTTCGGTCAGAACATGAACAGTGCCCTTGAGTTCCTTTGTCTGGCAGGTACGAAGCGACGGCGCAGAGCAGATGGGATTCCAGAACTCTCCGAGTATTCACTTGGGTGAAGCTACTTTCAGGAAGTCTTTTATGGTTGGCCACAGAGGAATTGAGTGGTAGACGAAGCTCCTTAGCTTCGGCAAGCCATACCGATATTCATGCATCGTTCTTCATGGGGTACGTAAAGAAAATAAAGCGGACGGCAGGAAAAAGTTGAAAACGACCGGTATGAGGCCTCTTTAGGCTGGCTAGGCTCTGGGCTGGCTACCCTTCAAGCCAATGCCTTTTCGATGGGACGAGGAAATTAGGAAAATGATGAGCCATGTAGCGTCTGCGGGTCTGCGCGCGAAAATCAGGGTGAGGAGGGGGGGGGGGGGTGTAAAGGCTGGCATATTTTTGGGGTGGCAGGACAAATTTTAGGGGAGGCGCCCGCCACCCCTCGCCTCCCTTTGGCGCCGTCCCTGGCCTATAGACCTTTTCCGCAGGTGCGCCGCCATCTTGAATTGACGTCACTTCCAGTATGGGCGAAAACATTGTTTTGCCTTTGCCACGCCGATAGAAGGCATTTAGGATATAAGCGTAACCGTCACACTTCGTCATTTTGCCTCCCCTTTGTTTTTTTACTATTTGCAGGTTGAAACGTTGGATTATTTTTTCGTCGCCCATACCGGATACGCCTATTAGGTGGCTGGAGACGAGAGTACACAGAAAAGGTCTATAGTGCCGATTTTCGCGACTCCTGCGACATACGTTATATGCGGTCTACACTGTAGTAACTGCAGTGCCGATTATCCGAGTCGGCCATTGTTTGGGCACGTGTTCCAAGTATGTATTACTCACGAAGGCTGCATCAGCATTCGGCGTGAACTCAGCTTGGCATGTATCGAAGACGAGCTGCATCAGCGTTCGGCGAGGATTCAGATCTACTTGCACGCTTCGTGCCCGAATAATGGCGACTGCCAATCTTGCTCGATGGCTTCTTGAAAAGGGCCTATTGTATTCGTTGATCACGCCGGAAGCGGAGGAAGATTCACCAAAAAAGGTTAAAGTGCAGGCGAGCTGGTGGATATTTACCATGATGGAAGTTAACCCGAGACTGGGGTAGAAACAGAAACTTAAAAATAGAAGGGACAGGGACAAGTGAAGAAGAGACATTCTCTTCTTCACTTGTCTCTGTCCCTTCTACTTTTAGGTTTGTTTCCGCCCCAGTCACGGGTTAAGTTCCAACATGGTAAGATTCATAGAGATTAAGGAAAAATGTCTCTCGTTTCGTTTTCTTTTTCCAGGTGCCCCTTTGGAGCGCAGCGGATCTCCCCTGCGCCGCACAAACTCTAGTCCCGAGGTTCCCGCCCAGAGGCCCCCCGGAGACGGCTGCAAAACGGCCAGCCCCGGGTCGGCTCCGCAGAGTCCGTCGGCCATCTTCGATCGGCTGGACGAAGAGGGCGCCAGGCTGGCATTGCGGAAGTCGCCGCGCAAGGACGACAGGCGAGCCCCTCAATCAGTCAATCCTTTCTTCCGTTTTACGGCAATAGCTGTTACGGGCTCTTACCACCGCTGGAAGTGACGTCCGGTGTTGATGTTGTAGCTGTTGTTGTAGTCATAGTAGTTGCAGTTGTTGTCATTGTTGATGTTGTTGATATAGGGCGTCCATCATGGATGTTGCCAAATCCTCAAAAAGAATGACCGCCGCCCCTCGGGAATCGAACCTGGGTCCACTGCGTGCAAAACGGAGGCGTTGCCACTGAGCCACATCACGGCATTGTTAACCCGCTCTAAACTCTGGGCTTTTGTAGTAGCCAATGCTTACTGAACGGGCTCTCTGGAAAAAAAAATGGCCTATAACAAAATGCTGTCCTAGCCCTCTTAATGCAAAGAGCTTGTGCCAACAGACACGTTTTCACGCACTGCATAACAGAAAAAAAGAAACAAAAGCATTTGGAACAAATCAGAACAAAATAAAAGCGCTTCAAACAGGATACATGTCAATATTGTTCCGAACGCTTTTGTTTATGCACCCCACTGCCCCACAGTGCGTGAACATGACGCCGACGCCCAATGACTTCGCCGTGATGTGGCGCAGCCATCGTTGTAACCTTTGTGTGGATTAACGCAGGATCCTGCTTCATTTGTTTTTAAGCCGAGAAGGAATTCTTGATGATAAAGCTAGTAAGCAGGCGAGCTGGTTTAGGTTGTACATCGCTAAGACCGGAGACAACAGAAAGAATGGGGACAGGACACACGTCTCAAACTTAGCTAACAGCTTTTATTGAAAACATCACTTACTGTATTTACTCGCATAATGAACACACTTTTTTCCCCGAAAAATTGACCCATAAGGGGGGGGGGGAGCGTTCATTACATGGGGTAAAATTTTTGCATTTACCGTATTTACTCGAGCAATAGTCGCACTGTTTATGAAAAAAACCTGAGGGTTCGCTTCTCCGCGGAGCACGCAAATTGCCAGTCCCCGGGATCGACAGCATGATTCTAGCGGTTTATAGGACAGGGATAACGTCTTCGCGCAGATACTATCTGTGAGAATAGCATTTGTATGGAGACTCGCTTTCTCGGTATTCGCTATGTTATTTATGCGCAATGCGATGGCAGGCTGTATATCCGCTTTGTGGGAAATTAAACGCAAGGGCCTTGTTCATAAATAGCGCGGCTATTACTCGAGTAAATACGGTACAGACTTCGTGCAGATGTCATATTGGGCTCCAATATGACACGGCAAGGTACCGTGGCACGTCTTCAATTTACTCACTGGGAAAACAATCAACGTCTGCGGCTCGTTGCTTAATTAGCCAGCAACATAAGTTGGTTCTGCCTGAATGCTTTATGTGCACACCCCCATCAGATTTTGAAACACATTTTCCTCTTTTTCATTTAGGATCAGCCGACCACTCTTAACGAGATCGGACGTGACTTTCCTAATGCAGGTACGACTGCATTCCCGAAGAATCGCACTGGGGTCTGCGGGCCCCTCCATTCTCAAAGGCAAGGCTCAAATTGGACCTGTCCCCGTCGGCCATGAGCGAGCCCCCAGTGGGGCCGGCCACGTCGCTGCACAGTCCCCCGCCACTATCGCGTCTGCAAAGCCTGCAGGGTGAGCGGCGCCTAAGCATCCCCCTCAATGGGGAAAGCAGGGAGAGTCCTGGAATCGTTAAGGGAATTGGGACTTCCAATATCGCCTTGTTTTTCTCTAAGTAAGGAAGCGAGGAAATCCGTTCTTAGTTCCAGAGTTGGAGAAAAAAACACAAGGACAGACGGGGTAATTCCATGTTGTATGAAAAATGTGATGTCCTCTCTGGCTGTCCCTGTCTATATTTTTTTCAGTTGAAGCTAATTCCCAGGATTTGTTGTGAGGAGACAGGATAAGGAGTGCAACAGAAGGAAAGAAAATGCCTTTCTTATTGTGTGTGTGTCTATGCCTTGAAAGCTTCTGAACCATTTTGTTACAAAATGCTGAAAGAAAAAAAGAGATTACTAAAACTGCTTTTTTTTTTTTTCAGCACGACTGAAAATTTGTGTTTTCGCTCTTAATTGCTCCTCTTACTCTTCCCTCCTTCCTACCCTATTAGCAGTGGTCTGGAATCTAATTGTACAATGATAACGCTTCCTTTTAATTTTCCCTAGAACATCCAATTTGTCTTACTGTGCTGGCACATATCAAAGAAAACATAAACAGGCTCTAGAATAACGTCTACTAAATAAAACTTTGCACAGAGCAAGAACCAGCGAGATAAATCAAGCTCGTGCAAACAATCAAGACGTCAGCAGGGGATGACCAGTCAGTCAAACAAGTCTGTATTCTTACGAATGATGACACAATGTCACTGAAATAGAGGGGTAGAATGTATCGGAACCTCAAAAATCATGGGGAGGCAGTTTAGGGCTGAAACCAAATCACCATCTCTAGGGAGTGTTTCCCATAGGTAGGCTTCTTCGTTTTCGGGTTTTTTGCATTTTTTAAGTTCAAGGGGTAAAAATTGGGTTCCATTTTTCAAGTTGGTAATCGGGGAGAAACGGGGTTTTTGGTGGAACCATTCTGACATTCATTATATTTTTTGGTTAGTTAAATTTACAAATATAATAATTCATACTTTTTTTTTTCTTTTAAAAATTCGAGGGTAAAAGCTAGGGCCCTGTTTCAAGTTGGCAATTGATGAAAAATCAGGGTTTTCTAGCAAATAGTGAGAAATTCGGCCTTTGTTTGGAAATGATTAACATAACTAATAATGACAGTACAAGCATTGATCACTTCTAGGACATAAAACATTTCATTCACAAAAACTGGTCATAGATTTTTTACACATCCTTGCTAACATACATCATCATCTGCGTGCGCAGCATATCTCGGTCTCCATCTGAGACCTGCCCGGCCTTTGAACATACCTCACCTGAGAGAAAGTTCTCTTGACATCACAGCTGCTATTAGATAGGCCCAACAATGTTAGCGCTGCATTTGCTAGCCCGGGGTAGCGCACGGTGGAGTCATGCCGATATCCAATGAGTTCGACAGCTGCTTTAGTGGGGCTTGCTTCCAGCAAGTACAGTCAGATCCCGCTACAACGAAATTGACGGTGCACAAGAAAAAATTTGTTGTAGCGAAAATTTCGTTGTTGTGAAATTCACAGAAGAATGGCATACCTGAACTGATAGAGTACAGAAATCTTTCTTTCCAGAGTGTATAGAGCGTCGCCTGTTTTCTTTTCCTCGTTACGAGCTCCGTGACGAGGTTTTCGCATTCGGCAAGTAGTAGGCTTATGGCGAGGTTGTCATCATGCGCAGGCATGTAGCTTCTGAGAATGTCGAACGCATCCAGTATGCCCGCCATGGAAGGCGGAGGCTGCAGGTCCGGCACGTCGTCTTCATCTGACTGTGCCTTGTCGCGGACACTTCTTATAATATCTTCGTCACTCACTTCTTCATGAGCGATAACATCTATGTCAGCGTCGATGAAATCTTCCAGCGCGACACCAGACGGCGCAGTTCCGGCATCCTGAAGGCCAAGAAGTAACGGCCTCTCCCGGCGGATGCACTGTCTCGTTATCCTCAGCAAAGTCGGCATCTGGGTTTCCGAGCTTGAAGCCCGCGTGCGTGAAACAGTTGGCGATGACTGAACAAGAGTCTTTTTGATTGCATCTTTCGACTTTAGGATCGTCGACAACGAACTCGGAGGGATTGCGAACTTTTCGGCGATGACAGCTTTCTTCTGTCCACTTGCAATTTCGGCCAGGATGCAAACTGTATCTTGTAAGGATAAAAACTTCCGCGTTTTGCTTGGCGGTGCCATCGTGCCATTCGGAAAAAGCCCACGTACCGTCGTTGTCGTCGTACCGTACTGATAAAATGACAACCGACAAGAAAGAAGAAAAAAAACAACAAAAAGAATGAGCTTCGGCTTTTGATGGTCTGCAGCAGAGCGTTATCAAGCCAAGAGCTAGAGCAACTTCGGTGAAACAGCGTAGGAAGGCCAGCCTCATCGCCGTCGCCACCAAGTAATGGCGGCCTGCACGCCCAGTAACGTTGACGCCCGGTCAACGTTGCGCTCGGGTGCCGGTTATTAGTGGCAGTGTCTGGTAGTTCAACACGCGATTTAAACTTTGTAGTAGACATATTTTATGTGCCGAAATGCACCAGTGCTCGAAAGTTTGTTTTCCGTACGAAAAATTAAACTTTCGAACTTCGAATTGCTCTGTAAAATTTCGTTCAAGCGGAACAGCACAAGAAACAGTGTTCGCTGTGGTGAGAATGCTTATGCATTGACTCCTATGGACCGTTGACGGGGAACCGAAAAATATTCGTTGAACCGGAAATTTCGTTGAAGCGGCGTTCGTTGAAGCGGGGTTCGACTGTACTGGTTAAACTTGTCGTGAACCAAATCTATGTCGTCGGTCATGGAAACTAAGTCAGGTCGGCAGTCATCAAATGGCCGACTCAGCAGACCCTTCTGGAATGGATCCAGTACGGCTCCCAATTTCCATAACGTCAGCTGGTTTTCTTCTTTGTTCGAGACGTTCCGTTGAGCAATGCGGTAGCATTTTGTTGCAATTTTCGCGCAAAACTCTTCACTACATGTTTTCACAAATGTGGCACTGCTCTTGGGCGAGATGACACAACAGCCCTTGCCTGATCGCTTTTACCAATCCTCGTGGAAAGCTTGCCGACAGTCTGCTGCAGCTTGACGCTTACGACACGGTGAAAGCTGGGCACTGGAAGTTCTCCGCTTTCAAACAATTTCTGGGCACGTGAAAGTGGTCCGAGTGTTTCTCTCGTCAAGATTGCCTTTGCATATAGAAATTCTTGTTCAGAGAGTATCACTGGAATTGCTTCTGCTTTGTCGCTATCATGCGAGCATTCAGCAAGTTCCCTTAATGAACTCCACATTTCTATGACAACAACAAGCGCTTTGTGGAAGCTTTGCCATCTATTCGGGACAGTGGAAGGCGGCTTCTTTACATCAGGTCCAAAGGGGCCGTTAGAAGCACCAATTTCGGTGTACTTTTGGTACTGTCTGTTACCGATCGAACGTTAGACAGGCATGGTGAAGAAATGGCATGGTCAACACTCACGTGAATCAGACAGGCTAGATCTTTCATACGCAAAATGTGGATGGCTTCAGCTTGACAGATTTCTCTTGCCATATTTTGCGCGTACTCTGCGGAGCCAGTGGTTAGAGCCACAACATACTTCCTAGTCTTGCCTACAGTCAAGAGGGCCTTGCTGGCTACCCTGGCCACAGTGTAGCTGTTTGAAGCATTTACTCTGTTGACCCTCTTCTTCATGGTTTTTTGGCTATAGTAGCGCAGGAGAGTGTTGATGGTGTACACTCCTGTGATGTCTTGGGATTCACCGACGATTACACTCACTTTCACAGCTCGCATATCATCGCAGATTTTCACCAAGTCCTTGTCAAAACCTTCTTTCAGGTATTTCAACCAAAGTCTTTGTCCTGTCGGCATGGTCCTCGCGGCCTTGCAATATTTGCGTACAAAGTCCCTTAGAGGTTTGTCCGCCTGGTGCATGCCGATTGCACTGTATGCCAGGGCACGATAGAAGTCGTGGATCACGCCGTCCCCTTATTTTCTTTTGCACATTGCCTACAATACATCAGAGCCTCAGCCGAGATGTTCCCGCCTTCTCGGCTTCCTGGGTCCACATCTTGAACTTCTCATGATGGGACGCCACTAGGTGCTCGCGAATTCGGTCATAGGGCTTCTTTGCTAGACCGGTCACCATCTTGGTGTCGCAATGCTTGCACACTAACACACGGCTGCCTTCACAATCTTTCGTTGCGATGTGGAAATCTTCATTTTTTTTACACCGGTCGTCGGTGTCTTTTGTTTTCTTCCCATCTCCAGCACGGAATTTCTTTTTCGTGCTGCACTACTGGCCTTCTTGTCAGCAGTGCTTCGAATCCACCCTTTTCCGGACTCTCGGTTCGAGGGTTCCTTGGGTGGAAGATGTGCGGGTGTGGCACGAGCGTGCGCTAATATACCTTTGGATGAAGACGAGATCCTGTTGAGTCCACTAAGCGACGGTGACCTAGTTTCAGCGCCGTAGACTTTGGTGTCCATGGCAGTTTATCTTTTGCCCCCAAGTAAGGACAAAGAAGCTTGTCTTCTCTCCTTCCTTCTGCCGTTTTTTTCATTCCACCCACAATGATCTTCTGCAAGGGGTGCAGCTTCTGCAGAAAGCCACGAATTTGTCGAAAAAAGCTGTGGGAAAAAACCTACCAAGAGACCAACTTCTTATCGCATCCTGATCACACTCTCTCAGTCTTCTTTCTTCCTCCCCCTTAATTTGTCTCCCTTCTTTAGGTTCTTCAAATTGGAACAATGCCACCATTCTCAGAGTATGTTGTTCATGTCAAAACACAATTTTTAGTCCAGTCAACATCTTTCCCTAGGAGAAAAAAGACCACCTACAAGGACCTCACAGCAAAAGTTTTCCATAAAAGCAACATTTGGGGGTTGATCTACGTCGCTGGAGTTGTCTGAAGCCTACAAAATCTAACTTTGTGGTCCCAAAGTCGGGTAGCTAGCGCGTGTGCACCGCAAACTCCTGGGCACAAAGAAAAAAAAAAAAAAGGTTGGTCAGGTGGTTTTTGGATTTGAAATTATGTTCCGGTTTAAAAAATTGGGTAAAATAGGGTTTTACCTGAAAACGAAGAACCCTATACCTATAGGTGGTGAGTGATAACTATTGCATGCATTGCTGTTTAACAGACAAAGTTGTCACTAGATTCATTTTGTGCAGTTAAAGAGACGCTGACAGGTTATTTATGCTCGCCAAGCTTTTTATTTGTACATGACACACGAGTGCCCAACTACCCAGAACACAATTTGGGGCTCGAAATTCGTTTTCGTTCCGCCCGAAAGATAGCCGATCGAGAGCTGGCCTGTTTGAGTCGCGCGCACTCTCTTCTTCGTGGTCACGTGCCGTTTTCTATAGTTTAGACACCACTACCAAAGGTAATCAAAGTCGCAGGTCATCGAAGGCACACACTCAATAATAAAAGTGGACAAAAAAATCATACCCAATTTTCGTGGCTTCTAAAAAAACTGCAAATATGTTGATTGAAAAAAAAAAAAAGTAGCACAGCCACCATGACTTCAGGCAACTTTCTCCTCTACATTTCTTCTTCCTCCCCGGTTCAGTTTTGGTTTTGAGCAGTTATGTTTTTTAACATTATTCAAAATATGCTTGACAATGTAGCAGAATATTGATTGGGTATACGTCTTCTAACACCGTAATGAATCGCCTGGGAAAACATAAACAAAATTTTCGGGGGGCTGTCAGTGTCCCTTTAAGGGTGTTCCTTTTGACAGACTGGGCTGTTTTACCATTGGCTGGTGTTATGAGACTGTCCCGTATAATACCGTGAACTACCTCGCATAAGGATGAAATGTTGTGAGCAAGTGCATTTTGACGTGTGTTGATGACACAGCATGACTCAACCGAGACTGTGCTTCCACCTCAATCTGTGCATTCTCGGTGTTATTCGCAAGAAAGAAAAGTGAAGTGGTGCTTCGAAAAGATGAGTCTCCTGAGTTTCTCGTGAAATGCCCACTTAGAGTTCATATCTACAAGCTTGCTTGGGAGAAGAGTGTGTTGGTTCATTTTTGAAAGAGTTAAAGATGTGGTCGTGTTGTCTCCATTTTAATTGTTTTATTCTTTCTTCATCCATCATATCTACAAGGTGTCGGCGAGGATAAAGTTCTTGTACACATTACTGGACGGTGACTTAGTCAACAATTGATTCTTCAAGATATTTAACGCGAGGACCGGTTCGATCCAAAGTTTGCACGACAAAGTAATGCTCCCTCTATATACCGCATCTTTGTCGCACTGACTCTTTTATATTTAATTTTTTTCCACTAACGATGGAAGGGTGGAACAGCCTTTCTAAGGAGCATGTGAATTCGTCTTTCAGTCAAATTACTATTCTTGAAAACATTAGAAGCCCATTTGTGGAAAAAGTTGGCTGCATTTTTATTGTTTTTTGCCATTCTTGCATTTCTCTATTACTGTTGCGTTTTTACTGCATTTCGTTATACTTTTATATAACTTCTGGTGCTGTAAAATGTACCAACGCCTCCTGCCACGACCTCCAAAAGGAGGTTGGCAGTATTTAAATATACATAAACGAAATGGCGGTTCGATCCACAGATTGAAACACCTTAATTAAAAAAGTGCAAAGGACAAGGACAGAACAAATATATGAATAGGACAAGCGCTCATTAACAACTGAATGTTTAATGCATGATAAGAGAAAGACAAAAATGAGGGGGGAATTACTAAATTAAAATGCCAATAGCATTTGCACGAAAAATGTTCAAAAATTATTTGATAAAAAATTAACACCATTAGATTAAAAAAAGAGACGGATAGAAAAATAAAAGCAGCCAGATTAAGAAAAAAGGTTGAGGTACCCTATCTCTTTCTCGGACAGTGAAATTGATGGTGTGCTGATGTACATGTCTCCTTTTTCTATTATAGTTTTTGCCTCAAAAATTTCTCTGACTCTATTGCTCCGAAAGCGATTGAGTACTTTCGTTTGAATGAATAGGGGAGTGCATTTACTGTCTTTGACATGTATGGCCAAGTGTCCTAACGGTGAAGCATGTAGGGAAAGATCATGCTCTCGTAGTCATACATTTTCGCAGCACCCAGATTGATAGACGTACACTCTCTCACATGTGTATGGAATTTCGTATATGATGTTGACGTTGCAGTTGATATATATGACGTTGCAGTTGACCACATGTATCAACTGACGTTGCAGTTGATACATGCTTCACCGTCAGGACACTTGGCCATACATGTCAGAGACAGTAAATGCACTCCTCTTTTCAATCAAACGAAAGTGCTCAATCGCTTTCGAAGAAAGAAAGCCAGAGAATTTTTTTAGGCAAAAACTATATAATAGAAAAAGGAGACATGTACATCAGCACACCATCAATTTCACTGTCCGAGGAAGAGATAGGGTACCTCAACTTTTTTTCTTAATCTGGCTGCTTTTATTTTTATTTTTCTATCCGTCTCGTTTTTCATTTTAATTTTGTTAAATTTTATCAAATAATTTTTAAACATTTTTCCTGCAAATGCCAATGGCATTTTAATTTAGTAATTCTCGTCTCATTTTCGTCTTTCCCTTATCATGCATTAAACATTCAGTTGTTAGTAAGCGCTTGTCCTGTTCATATATTTGTTCTGTCCTTGTCCTTTGCGCTTTTGTAATTAAGGTGTTTAACCAGCTAGCCTAACAGTTAATTTTAATTCAGATCGAAACACAGCCGCAGATTTTGAGAAGTAATATACGTGCGACGACACTGGGTTCCAGTCGCTCACTTTCGTTCCGGAATCCTCCCGCTTACGCCGGCACACCCCACTTCGGCAACAGGTCGGCCCAACGACGGGAGCAGCCCCACCCCGGCGAGCTCGTACCGGGACCGGGGACACACGGTGTCCGGCATCAGCCCCGTGACGCACCAGGCCACCACACCCACGGTGTCCTACATCGACATGTACCGGTGCGGCATGAACCCACGGTGAGCGGGGCACGGGGGCTTGCGGAAAAAAATCCACGGGGCAATGCTGACTCTAGTTTTGATGCACGGTGCCTGGAGGATGCGTAGGATGCGGTTAGCAACCGACGTGCTAACCGCATCCTACGAAGCGGTCTCTTGATTTCGACCGGACGACGTAGTAGATGTGCTGCGTCATTTTCGACCGCGTCCCTGCGGCGTCGTGGCCGCAGGGCGACACGTACGTTATCCCGAAAAATCGGCCATAATCTGAATCGTCCATGATGGGAAAAGTCTAATAGTAAATCTGGGTCAAGGTCGCAAATAACGAACGAGAAGCATGGCCACACAAGACGCGATTTATTTAGGAAAAAAATGCCGACACTTGTTTGCTCGGTCACTTTGGTGTTAGCTGTTAGAAATGCAATCCGTGATGGATTCAAGAAAGTGAACTTGTTGCTTTTATTTTTATTGCTGCTTTTGTCCCACCTTGGTTGGTGAACTAATTTCGACTATGTACCGCGTGCCATTTCCATTTGTTTCTTTGTTTCTTAGTCTGATTTAGGGAGGAACACTGGTCCTCAAGCTTTCTTCCTTATTTTTTGCCAATGAAACAACACACGCTTGTTTAGACTTCTCTGCTGATTTCAAATATGTTTTTTTTTAATTAGTACGTTGCTTTGCACAATAATTATAATTAGCCAGACTTTGTATCCAGAAACAATTGTGAAAAACTATTTTTAAAAAAGAATGTTTTAACATATGGTCAGGTACCACAAATTATGAAGAATAGAGTGTTGGAAGCACTTTTTATATTCAACCATTATTAGTGACTTTACAACACATTGAAGTTCAGTGCTCCATGTGTGGCTACCAAGCAATAAAACAATAGTTTAGATAAAGCTTTTCTTACACCCATATTGAAAAATCTGCTTCCAACATTGTATGCTTGGCAAATTTAGCTGCATTTTGCTAAAAAAAAGTTATATTTCTGTCTGCCCTAAGTGCTGAGATATTCGTCATGAAACTTTGTATGGAGTCCAAAATTTGTGTTTTGAGAAACTGTCGTTTTAGCTTAGCCTTCAGTGCAATTTCACCCAAGTGATATTATGGCCCAGATATTTTTCATCTTCAAAATAAGAATCTTGGCAAATCAAAAGAAAAATAGCTGTAAATTTCAAAATCATCATTTGAAAAAAAAAAAAAGTTTTTCTAGGGATTTTTGGGCTTTAAAGACCAGCCTGTCCTCCTTCAAAAAACTTGGAAAAAATATGAAGTTGCTGAATAGCCCTATTCGATTCTAACTTTGAACTGTATATGGCATTATTCGTTCCAGTAGTATTTGAAAGTTTTGAATATTCCCTCAACCCTACGAGTCACCGTAGAAAACTGACCATCCCACTCTGAGGTGACCATGCCTTTAGATTTTAGACATTTTTATCCACAACTGAACACACAGTTGACGATGGACTGGCCGGATGATATGAACGAGAAAAATAGAATTACTCAAAATGTAAGAAGTGGTAGAGTGGAATCATGGGCGAATAGTACAGTTTGAGCTGGAAGGCGAAGGGCGGTTTTTGGCCGAATATTCTCGAATTAAATATCGGCAAGTTTTTCCGAGCCTTTCGCTACCATGCACCGTGCTTAAAAACTAAAATTGAGCCAAACTCGTGAATGTTGAACCTTCCACTCGTCCACTTCCAAGTGCGGTTCAATTTTAACGTAGCTATATTTATGAACTGTGGCATGTAAGCGATAAAATTGTTGTAGCTATCCTAGTTGAGTTGATTTATAACTCTTCTTGCTACATACAAATATTTAGAGCCCTGCACAGATAACAGTTCGATCATCCACATCCGATCCGCGCCTGCAGACCGTGTGTTTGCACCCAAACTGCATTTGAAATGTTTTTAAGTTATTGTATCTGCATCCGATCTGGATCCGCATACTTTGTATCCGCATCCAAACCGCTTCCGCTAAATTCGGAAGCACATCCGACCCGCAGTCCTCACATTTATTTTACATCATAAATTTAAGCATGAATGAAAGAAGACATTTGGATGGTACCTTATAAGCCATTTGCTTATCTTTGTACAAAGAACTACTTTTTGGGTCAGAATACAACAGTGGGAAAAAGTCACAATTTTTTTTTTAAATTAAGTAAATCAGATTTGTTTGGTTTAAATCAAACTTACATGATTTAAATCACTTTAGCTAGAAAAGAGTGCCTTTTTTTCACTACTAGTTGTGTTTTTTAACGGCTGCCTGATAAAAATCTTTCCTGCTTGATCATTCTTTACTTCCATCACAAAACAAATGCCCATGGGAAGCAAAGACCAATAGACAAACGGTAAAGTAAAAACATTTTTAGTATTATTTGGGGGAAAAGTGTTTGACTTAAATCATTATAGCCAAGTCGGTGCAATTTAAATCACGACTCAAATCATCTAGATTTTTATTCTCCACCCTGGAATTTATGGTAAAGGCATTTTATATATTCTGTTTAATTGCATTTATGTTATAAGCAATCGTCGTTCTAGAGACACTTCACGTCACTCGAAAGATGACAGCAGTTATGAGATGGCCATGGGAGTCTGTGATGATCTGCCTAAAAGATGCGCCCAAAAAGATGGAAATTTTAAAAAAATTTTGCTTTGTTATACTTTAAGGGGGGACACAACCTGGAATTGTCAACTTCTGATTTGCTCACTCAATCGGTGTGATATTAGCAGGTGGTGTTTGTAGCCATAAAGGAGGAGGGCATGCAAAGTTTCAGCCCTGTGAACCAATTTTATGAGGTACTGCATCCCCAGAACGAAGTAAAGCATAGCTTTGCACGGAATCTGCTCAATGAATCTATCGCTGAGAAATGGTGTTCACAACCGCATGTTCTTCTGGTGGAATGCATACTGGAGTACTTGTTGCCAGTTACTATGAAAAGAAATTTCAGAAAATATTCATTTTTCAGATTAAAAAAAATGTATGAAAAGAACTTTTTTTTTAAATTTACCAAGTTTTGCAAATTGCACTTTTCTTAATAAAGGAATATGAAAACGCAAAATCTAAGTTCATAGCAACCGGCTCCAAAAAATTTCGCCATATAAGCCGGAAATATTAAGTCTCCATATTTTATACTGAAATAATAGTTTTATAAGGTGGAAATTATGCCAAAAAGTTGATTGGGGAAAATGCATTCAAAGTGTTAGGACCTCAACCTTTTCTTTAGCATTGGTGGACTGAAAATAATTTTTAAAAAATATTTAGGCTCTGTAAACAAATGAAACTTTTTGGGAATACTCTCTAGATGTTGTGGAATGTTAATAGGACATTTTTCAACATCTTTTTTTGCAGAAATATTTTTTTCTGTGTAGTGTCCTCTCTTAAGCACACACTTTTTCTAGATTTGAAAATTAACAAAGAACTTACTAATAACCTTGTGTTATTTTATTTAAAGCAAAAAAAAAAAAAAAACTTACATTTTTTTTGCTCACAGTGTACAAAAGAGACAAAAGCTGTAGCTGTAGCACAGTCACAGAATGCGAGGGAATGGTTCCGTCACATACCCGAGGACGGAGGTGCGCCGTGTTTAATTCTCATAGCCTTCATGGTTGGCGTTGTGGATGCCACTGACAACTGCCACCAGTAATTCGTGAAATAAGTGGGTAAGCACTGTGGGAGTTTCTAAAACCATCCAACGTTAGGTGTAGCAACTGGATGCTGCCAAAGTGGGATTTCACATAACACGAGGAATGTTTAAATTAACTCTTTTGAAGCAGACGACATGGACATTCTCCCTGAGACACGCCATTATTTGCGGAACGCCTGGGCTGGCCTCTTTGCTTTCCTCGCGAGGCACGGGTGACGGGACGTCCCGACTTCCCTCTCCTCGCGGCAAAAGAGAATAGAAGGGCTTTTCCCTTCTCCGGGCGCACGGCGACGATGGGAAGCGATGCCGAAATCTCTGCAAAGTGTTGCCCGTGAAGGGCTATCACTGTAAAATTAAACAAGCATGAATGATGAGTGCTGGTCGTCAATACATCGCTGCCTAACACCTACTTAGCATAATCGCATCGTGTCAGCCCCCTTTAAGTCTGCTTCTCACCGAGCACCTATGCGTCGCGGAGAAGCAATATCCACGAGGCCTGCGAGCTCCGTGGGTATTCCTTCCCTGCAGTGCACAAGTGCGCAGTGAGAAGTGCAGTCAACGTGGCTAACTCGTCGTGATCAACACTTTGAAAAGTGTGAATATCTCAGTTCATCTAAAAGCGACTATCGAATAGCACATTATTCGAAACTACTATTAGAAAATTTGAGTATTTGCGCAACAGTGACATGGACAACGCATAAAATATTTTCTTTGGGAGTCTATAATTTGAGATTGTGTTATGTGCCCTCTGTCTGAAGTGAAAAAAACATCATTGGCAGTTTTTTACATGCCTTTGTCAGAGCATAATTTATAAAGGCTGGTTTGCATGATTTTCATATGGGTGTGCTCTAGCACGTCACGTTCCCTTGAACCACTTTACTGTGGGCTTGGAATAATTCTGAAAATGTTATAACCGACTATTTCTCATGAAAGTGTGTATATTTGATCTCGCAATTATTGAAAAAACCTTTCATCAAAGTATGCACAGTTTCAGGACAACTCGATAGATGGTGCCGTTGTCCCAGTATGTTTTCTTGTCATGGGCAGTTATGAGGGGATGCCCCGCATTCGAGCGCGCTCAAACAAAAATGCGCGAACCGCAGGGCATGTCAACATGTAGACATGTCAGATGGACGCATTCGCTCGTCTTCACACCTCATGTTGGCATCGCAGGTTCGTGTTCCTGCACCTGTACCACAACTCGTTCTTTGGGAAGCCAGGCACTGACGAACCGATCCCTGTGCCGGAGTCAAAGTGGGTAAGTGCCGAGTTATTCTCCCGGTCAAAGATTGCTCTACCCAAGGAAATCTGTGCCTCATTTCAACCGTGTCGGGCTTTTGGCGTGACGTTAACATGTTGTGCAAACTTTTGAATCTTTGGGTAACAGTTCCATATAACAGACTGTTTTATATTTGTTTCGAGGCAAACCATAATGTTCATAGTTTTCAAAGTATCAATAGGTTAGCGTCGCATGTATGTTCAGCTAAATCGGGAAGTTGAAATTTTGGTTTAAAAATTGGGTTTGTACGTCGAGCAAGAATATTAAGCTTAACGGAGTGTGGCATCGGTCCAAATTGTGATGTGTAAGTTGGCCCAAGTCCTAAGGTTGAATCTAAAATCGACTAGAAAATTCAGTGCTTGCACGTAACAGCCTCGAATTCGCTTCAAAGGCGACATGGTCACACAAAGTCGTCATTGATGCGAGACTGCTGGGTCGTGCGGTAAGCTGCAGCCTAAGTCACAAGGTCAACCGAACCATTACCACCTAACATAATCAAGGCCTACGATCATCCACCTCTTTCTTTATAGAATGCCATCACGGTCTGATGTGCCGACTCGGCAATTAGGACCGATCCCGATGCTGAGCGTCCTTAAGCACGTTGATTGGACACGAGGCCCAATCAATAGCCGATGCGGCACTCGTGCCCAATTTGTGTCTTCGCTCGATCTCGACGTTATGTCGTCAAATGTCTGGCGCACGCACTTTGATCATTCTAGGTGGTGTAGACTAAGTGCAGCCTTCCAATATCACCACTGACGCACCCTACAAAGCTGCAGACGACATACATTGATTGAACAGCTTCTTGTAGAGTTGAAGCCCGAGGCAGCTCGTTGTATTCATCACCCTGAGCTGTTCCGCTTTCGGTTAGTTTAAACTTTTAGTGTACTAAAAGTATCGCAAGTTTGATTATTTTTCTCGATGTTCGAGTTGTCGGAGAAGGTTGTTCCAACGGACTCGCTATCGCCGTCATTGATTTGCATGCGGTTTGCTACAGATGGTGGGCCTGTTTCGTAGCAAGCCCACGTACGAGATTAAGCAATTCACAAGCAAAACTGCGCTGTTTTGAACGCAGCAGTCACACAGCACGAAAAAGACAGATCAAAAGCTCGAGGTGAACAGATGCCCTAGACCGTGTGTCAGAAGAGTGTTCAAAACCAAGGAAACAAAGGGACTGCTAATCGCTCAAACGAGCAAACAAAACACGAAATCACGAAGGCACATGCCACGTTTGTTTCTGTCGTTGAATCGGTGTGCCAAATTCCGCCACCTAGGAAATACGAAGTGAACTCGGAAGACCTCACCTGCAAATAAACCGGGTAGATGAGCACTTTTGTCATCCAATCATTATTTTGTGAAAAATTACGGGACCCCGAAGGTTTTTCATATTATCCAGGATTTCGAATAAACGGATACTGAATTATCGAGGTTATCCGCATTGCTCTAGATAGTTTTTGCATGCAGCAGCTGTATTGTACCACGCTAATTTGCGACCATTCCAAATTGGTCCACGAGCGAGTTTTGACTTGCCATAGCATACATAAGAGTTGTAACTTTGGTATTGCATTTTGGTGGCTCGAGGGGGGACATGGCCTGGGAGGGTCAACTTTTGAACCAATGTCTCAAATTGATTCAAACTTTCAGGGTGAATTGAACCCCATTAGGAATGATGACATCTAAAGTTTCAGTCATATCGGCCAACTCGACTACGTACTATGCTTAACAAGCTCCAGAAAAAAAGTTACTTTATTAGGAAATGTATTTAAGAAAAATAATAATTGCAATCCACAAAATGTTTGGTTTAATGTGAAGTAGAATACCCATAGTGCAAGTTAAGGCAAAAATTAATTGTGGAAAATGCAATTCTAGAGAAAAACAATAACAGTCAAAAAAAACCAACGATTTTAACAAATTTCTGAGTTTTAAAATATTCATTTTTGGTCATGAAGAATTTAGCTTTTTCAGATTATGAGTACCTTAACTTGTTCCTCAGGAAATTTCAGTCCAGGACAGCACTGAATGAAATCTTTACACTGTCAAAACGTCCAATGATACATTTCCTCACACCACATTTTCTGCCAAAAAGTGAAACTGAGAAAAATGCATTTAAAGTTTCAACTTTAGGTTTCTTTCTTTTCTGTGGGTCCGAGGTAGGAGAAATTCTCCAGGCGCATTGTTAGAACCTTCCTCTTTGAGACTTCCCTGTTCCCCTGGCAATAGCTACCAGTTTGTGTTGTTTGTAGGCTCGCTAACTTTTGTAGCAGGCATTCCCTGACAGATAAACTGGCAAGAACTAAGAGGCAAATCACACTGAGAAAGAGCAGCAAAGCAGGAATAGGATTTGAAGTGGAAGATACTGTAAAGGGGCGTTACTGAAGACGACACAATATCACGTCACTGGGAAGGACCAATCGGAAACCCTGTTTCAGGTCTCAACCAATAAAATTGCTCATACCAAATTTTCAGAATTTTTTCTGTTTTGTGATATTGGGTCCTCCTGGCCATTGATACTTGTAAACTTTGAAAGCTTCTACGGGCTTAATCTAGCATAAGTGGCACTTCCAGTGGGGGTGAAATGTTCTGGCTAGGTCAAACAAGTATGAAGCAGCGCTAAATAAAAAACACAAAACACTTGCTCCCTGCTGACTCGGAGGGCTGCCGACATGTTGAAAATAATTTATTCTGAGATAAATCCTGCATGTTTATAAATGAAAGTTTCTGAAACCATTCTTTGGAAATTAATAAGCGTAAACGTACCATTTTTTAAAAATTTCTGAAAATTTTGAATTCCGAGGCCAATGCGGACAGTCGAACCGTTTGACAAGAGCGCAAAAGTTTGATGGCATTTGGCATGCACAACTGCCTACACATGATATGTCATTTGCCACATAATAATATACCATATTTACTCAATTCTAAGCAGCCCCTTTTTTTCACACCCGCAATGTTCAAAGAGGGAGGGAGGTGCTTAGATTCGGAACATGCCCCAAAAATACGAAATTTGCACAAGAAATATGAATTTATTATAATCAAAGTGAAAGAATAAATGTTCTAAAGGAAATAAATAATGACTGGAAGAGTAGCCCGCTTGTCATCAGTTTGCACCATGGTCAACTAGTTGCTCCCACGGCTAGTCTTTTGAGGATGATGTAGGGCGCAAGTTTCCGACCGTCGGCCATGATGCACGGCATAACGGTCATCCTTTGCTTCTCATAGCCAGTCGTACGCACTTTTACTTCTCGGGCGCCTACTTTGTTCACGGCACACGTCCTTGGCATGTAGATGTACACAGGGGTCTCATCGGCATTGCCGATCTGCCCGAGTCCGTAGCGAGATTCGCGACGCAGCTTCATCACATAACGTTGGAAGTTGACAAGCTTGTCCTCGAAGCCCACTGGTAGCTTCTGGCAGATAGTGGTGCGGCGTCTCAAAGAGAAACCGTTCCTCTTCATCATCCGCTCCACCCAGCCTCGGCTTGCGTGGAATGCCGCACTCCGAACTGCTCAGCAGCGCCGTGATTTACGTTATCTTCCGCGTAAGAAATAGCCGTTCTCTTGAGCTTCATCGTGTACGAAGTTCCCTTCGCACTCATGATGGACGACTTCCGCAAACCACGTGCACACAGTGAGCGGAATACGATTGCGAGGCCAATGCGGACGAATAGGCTTAACAGACTAAACAACCGACTGCAACAAGCGCAAGCAGACCAAACAGACAAAACATCTTCGATAGGGGGTACGGCAACGCACCCTCTTTCACAACCTGCATGGATGCGAAAGTGGAAAATGGTGGTATGTGCTGCCATCTATTAACGGACGTTGAAACCAAGCGCCAGCGGCCTTTCGCGACTCCGGTGCTTGGCGATACCGGCGTCTCCGATGTCAAATTTCTTGTTGGGAGGGGGGTGCTTACATTCGCATGCAAAGTTTTTTTCATGTGTTTATGTTTGAAAGTGGAGGGGGGGTGCTTAGAATTGCGAAAATACGGTAATACTGAAAATTATTTATTAATACTACAGTCTAAGCTCATTACAACAGACCTGGTTACAACAGACATATGGATATAACATACCGATTTGTGAAGTTTGGTTGGTTTTCCTCTATGCACCATTGACTCAACTGTATATCTACATACAACATACTCCTTTTACAGCAGACCGAAATCTTGGTCAAAATCGAGGTCTATTGTAACGAGCTTAGACAGTAATAGCAAATACCGTGGAAGCCAATACTGGCAACTCCCGCGGAAAACGGGCGAAAAGTGATTGCAGCGCCTTTGGCGAGCTCGGAGTCTCCGCTGGCAGACAAATTCTCCGAAATGCATTGGTTTTGCCTATCTCCGTGCGAGGTGAGCAACGAAAAAAAATTGTCACGGACATTCGCTGCTTTGAAAGTTAAAAAATGGGTGCCAGCTCATGAGTGAAAGACATTCTCTTCGCGTGGGAAAGACGTTACAGCTTTCTGGGTGCAATTTAGGTGTTCTCCCGAAGAAAACGTTCTGTCACAACTTATGTAAGCCAAGCAAAACACGAATGTATGCCTTCGCCCTGTTTCGTGAAAAAGGGAAATGTACAAACATTTCAGAACATAGCTTCGTTTCAACTTTATTGTTCTTATCAGTCAATTCGTTTTGTCGTTGCAATTCCCATTTCTCATGGGTGTCTTGCTTATAACCGTTTCGTCGAACAGGCGAGCTGGCTAATCCCGTTAAGATCGTCTTCGGATGAAGAAGCAGAAGTCAATTTCGAACCACGTACGTTACGGCGATGTCAGTATGCTCCGAAAGAAGGCGTTGTGCATATGCAAATCTGACGCGATTATAGATTAACAAAAGCGGAGTTACGAAAAAAGCAGACTTCTCGCGCTTGCAAAAAAAGAAGGGGAGAGCATCGTAGCCCCGCGAAAAAAGATGATTTCAGTCACGTTATTTACAGTGCACAAATTCCGATTGTTAGCGCGGGGACGACCAACATCATCTGCTTTGCTGCTTCTTTACTTCTACGATAAAGGCCGACACCCGTTGAACCGTTTCCACTCTTTCCATTTTTGAGTCTTCTTTCTTTTATATTTTTGAGGCGACGCCACTCTGCCGCGTTACTTCTTCTGTATATATTTTTTGTTTGCTTTTTGCTTTTTTTTTTTTTTTTTTTGCCCGACGTGTAAACAATCGCGTATCCTTGCTTTGTTTGGCTTAGTTTTTACTCCCTTTCCTTCGCTTCGGCGCTTACTACCCCCGGTTCGTCTGCGCTAGGCCCGGGCATTTTGAGGGCCGTCTGCAACTTTGCTGTTGTTGTTGTTGTTTTCTTCCACTGTCATCTGCGATAACCTCCTATTTTCGCCTTCGATTGAGTTTCTAATCCAAAATCGTCATACGTGCTTTTTGATATTTATTAAATATATTAAGAAGTGTAAGCTCGTTACCCATTTTTATTCGAATTTTATTTGTGTACTCCGGCCGGCACGTCTGCTACGGGTCATCGTTTGTTGATCAACCGGCCGCATTCAAGAACAAGTTTGTGCGATGTGGTGCCTACCATTGCAAGAACAAGTTTGTGCGATGTGGTGGAAAATCTTTCTTCTGCTTCCTACGTCAACAAGTACTTGAATGCACTTTTAAACTGCTTCGTCAAGCAAGCGAACGAACAACCCGCCAAAGTCACTGGAAAAAGAAATTCGAAAGCAAAAAAAGGTTACTCACTGCTAGCACATATAGAAGATTGCTGCCTGCGACCAAAACATTTCTGCGACTCTTTTTTAGCGGGCAGTGTGAGCTGCACTACGTTATTTATTTCCCTTGTTTTGTTTTTAGTTCGTACCTACGCCGCGAAAGCAAATAAAGAAATGTACAACAAGCAGCTGAAAAAAAAAAAGGGTCGCTTTCTTCTTTTTTCATTAGTTTCGTCTGTTGCTTCCGCTTTGTTTGTCGTGAACTCAGCACCGGTGGCGACCACCAGCTGTTCATTTGCTGCTTTCCATTTTTCTTTCTTTTTTTCTATAAGAGCCGCAACGATCGTCGTCGTTGAAATAGTTTTTGCTAGCTTTTTTCTGTGATTCGCCGTTGTTCGCTTCTCTTTCCCGTTTCTTCTTATTTTCGTCGGGAATGGCGACACCATTTTTTCTGCAAAGTTCGGTAAGTGTTTGCACGTTCATTTTTATCCTTACTTTTTGTTTTGTTTTTATGCTCCAGCAGCTCGTGCGCTTGCTCTGGTAATATTAACACGTCGTTTTTGCATGTTTTAACGATTACGACGTAGTTCGAGAAGCTAAACGCCTTTTTTCCGCTTCCCAGACGCGTTTCAAACGCGGGGGATCCCCTGAGAGGCGTTTGAGACCGCTAAATAAACTGCTCTATCTTTGCTTATGCGCGTGTTGTTATTCGATTGTCGTTGCAGTTGCGATCAGTGGATTCCGCTTTGAAAGCGAACTGACCGCAATAAATTGTTTCTGCTGTTAGGGTGACGATACGGGGCTTGTAAAGCTCGAGGACGTCACGGAGCCTATACTTTTCCATTGCGACGACTGCTTCCGTAGACTCCGAGTCCGCTAGAGGCGCCACTGTCACGTTCGCCGCCACTCCTGTGTGTTTTCGGAGGAGTTTCCAGTATTGGCGAAGCTATATCGTATTTGGTAATAGGCTTCCTTCTCCGTCCACACAAACCCTCTTGCTCTACGATGTGCACATTACATAAATAGGAGACTTCCATAAGCGATCCGACACGTCTAGAAACTCACCGTGCAAACTTAAGAAACACTAAACTCCTAAAATCTTTTTTTTTTTTCAAGTGCACTTGTATGTCACAAAATAAACTTTCCCAGAAAAAGATTTTAATTTCTCTTTGCCGTACTGGTGTGGCAAGGGCAGCAGTAAGTCCGACTGTGATGTGTTAATGTGGAGAAATTGTGTACAGATGTGAAGAATGAATGGCACTAAGCTGCCTCGTGTCACGCAAATAAGCGCATGACCACTCCGTGGCTGTCTTCCCCCGGGGGTGCCATCTTCCACTGTTGCGTCGTAAATGCGACTTTCTCGGAGCCCGTTGGAGCGTGAGATGCACTAGACAGAGCGTGCGGAAAACACAACTGTTGAAACACGGCAGCGCCGAACAGAGCCTTGGCGCCAGCTCGCAACAAGAGAGAACCAAACATTCAAAGTATACCTCAACCCGTTGCGGCAAAGGGTTCCTCTTCTCTGCTGCTTTCCCTCGCGCTCTTTCTCTGGAGACGCCCGGAGTGGAGCGGCACCGTGTGCCCAAACACACGTTTTTCCTTCGCCGGGGGTTGGACAGAGGCACTCGAGTGTCGGCGTTCGGCTGGCAGTTGGTCTGTCAACTTTGATCGCTGGCACCTAATCGGAGGTGGTTAGGTGCGAGCCATATAACGCAATCTGTGTTCGAAATACGAATTGGTGTAATATTTATGTTGCAGGATTAATTTCGAGCTAGGGGTGATTCCGAAGTGAACCTCTCGAAATACATAGAAGCACGCTCCAAAGTTCCTCCCGACTCGAAATGTATCTCGCAATGTAATTATCAATCAGGCCGCAATATTTCTTTGGGGTATATTCAATTTTTTTTTTTTTGGGGGGGGGGGGGCAGAGTTTTATACCCCGTAAGTGTTCGACAATTTATATTCAGATCCACGATTATCTCCGTTCCTTCTTTCTTGGGGCTGATCGTAGCACCGAAAAGTTTTCTAAATTTGCTCTCACTTTTTTTTTTGTTCCTTTTGCAACATTTGCAGGATCGCAGCTCCAATTCCGGGAACGCGCTGGATTTCGTGCCGACCTACGAAACTCACAAGATTGGCGTGGTGTACGTCGGCCCAGGACAGGTAACCAAGACAGGTTCCCAAATGATCCGAGCACAGCGCAACTGATTTCATCCTGATGCCACGCGATGTTGCAGTCGCGTGACATAATGACATCACGCAACACTGTGGCATGGCGCCATGTCACGTGGCATTACTATGTCACGTGACACAGTGACGTAACACAGTCACGTGATGTCATGCGACATCATGCAATGTGAGGGCGTCACATGACTGTGTGATGTCATATGACATCATGACATCGTAGTACTCGGTTTTGTGACACCGTGATAACGCAGGGTAATGTCACACGTTGAAATAGTATGAAAAAAGCGCGAAAACATTGTGGTGTCACGTGACCAAGCTCCGAGACGTCATGCTGCCACGTGACACTGTGACGTCATAGTGTTGAGCGGGGTCACAAGACGGTTCCTTGTGACTGTGTCTCGTGGCGGTTCTTTGTGACAGTTCTTCGTGGCTGTGTTCTCAGAGAATTTGGCCGACGAAACATTGTACTAAAAACAAAACCTTGTTCCTTGCGCACATCCAAACAGAAGTTGTGTGGCCACCTAGCATGGACTCGGGTGGTCTACAAGGTCACAATGGGAGCTGTCACTTTACAAAACTGAGTTTCGGAGGCCGTTTGAACCCATTCTAAACTGCTTCTGACACCCTTAAAAAGGTTTCTTTTTTTTCCTATAGAGAGTATGTAATTGATTCTCTACTGCAGGTGAAATCCAATACCGAAATACTTCTTCGACAAAAGTTGAAGCTCTTGACTTGCACGCAGGCGCCATGTTTTTTTGCCCAGCCTAGATTGTTCTTCGTGAGATAAAAGAATCTCCAAAAGATGCATATGCAAAGTTTACACTCGTAGTAGGAACGCAGCTTGACTTAAGTCAAGGGCAACTGCACTAAAAAATTGACCGCATCTCCACATGGTGAATGATGTTGATTGGGGCGAAGCTCTGGTGGTACTTCTCTGCGTAGACGCTTAGCCGCAGCATGCCGAGCTTTTTGTTCGTTTTCATCCATGTCAGAAAGAGAATGTGTGGTATGGAACGTGGTTATATACGCATTTGACCGCAGCGCCCTCTCGTCTATAAATGTTGGGCCAATGCATGTAAAGTCTAACGTGATGATATACGCGTTTGACCGCAGCGCCCTCTCCTGTATAGACGTTAAGCGGCTACATGCAACGTTCCATCCATGACATCCCCAGCTCTTGAGTTACTACCACATCTCAAAGCCCCCTACTCGTCCCGCAGTCGTGGCCGAGTGGTTAAGGCGATGGACTAGAAATTCATTGGGGTCTCCCTGCACAGGATCGAATCCTGTCGACTGTGCAAACAATTTTTTTTTTCCATCATTTTTTATCCTAAATTTTTTTGCCCTACATGAGCACGTGCTCACGTGCTTGTGAGCACGTGAGTTCATTAGCACAATCACGAGCACGAGCACCAGCAAGATCGATGTGAGCACGGACGCCGGACGGACAAGGCTAGAGCCTAAGGAGCTTCCCCCTAAAAGGCGACCCTATAGAAATGGCTGAGATCGCTTTAAAGGGATACTTCAGCGAAATTTGAAATATTCCCGTCGTGTTCAAAAATAGGTTGAATATGATCCACAATATCCGTAAATGACAATCGCACGTTTGTATTTTGAGCCTGGTGGCAGTATTTTTCGTTATAAACGGCCCACTCTGGCAAGCGCTCGGAGAAGGCCCAGCTTAGAGCACGTGACATCCAACGCAATCGTGACGTAGATCGTCTCAAGGCGAGCAAAGCTACGGCGAGGCTGACGTCGGGAGGATGGCCTAGTCGTTCCAGCCACCGAAGCGGCTGCTTTTGTACGAATTTTGAGTGACGGGTTAATCTTCTATAATCTTCTAGGGGGACAATAGCGACTTTTAGCGACACACAAAAGGGATTCTCGGGAAAAGGGGAGTTCCTCCTTCCCCCCTTCTCTCGTCGTGGCCGGAGACGAGACAACCTCCGTCACTAGCTGTCAAGGTTCCTAGACGAGCATTACAAACGAGGCGTTAGCGACATCCACCAGGTGCTCTTTGCTAATCGTTTAATTCGTTTTAAAATTCCTTTTCGAGACTTTTTTAACAAGATATTGGTATTTTCCATGTGATACTGCTCTTTTGAACACATATAGACCAAAAAATGAGCGCCGAAATTTCGTTGTAGTATCCCTTTAAGGGGTTCAAAATACGGTAACACCCAAATTATGGTGTCAAACCAACGCCGCATTACTGATTAAAAACCAATATTAAAAATTTTCTAGCGGCTCAGTTGGCTGCCCGAAAGCGGGCGAGCAACACTAGCACCGAGTGAGCTAGTGAAGCAACACTGGGCAATGACGTAGGTTTCGTCCTATGCTCTCGTACGAACGCCGCGGGCGTTTTGTTTCTTGTGGAATTCTGCGATTCTGGTGACGGCAAGAGGTGCTTACCGCATTATTTTGTGTTCTCCTATTTTTATTTGCATCCTGGCAGTTCATTTTTCTCCAGAATAGCTTCCGCGACCTTGGGGAAGAGAGCAAAGCGGTGCTGCTCGCCTGTGCGTCGCGGAGCCGGAGAGACTTGCCAGACTCACGTTGGGCAATGTCGAGCACAACATTGTAGTGCTGTGGGTTGCATTAACAATCCTGTGCACAACCCAGAGCTGCAGTTCCACCAGTTCCCAAGAGACCGGAAGAGGCACAAGGTGTGGGTTGGTGCCAATTGCGGGATAGACTTCGGAAGACCGTATACTCTGGGCTCCAACGCAAAACTCTGCTCCCAGCACTTTACGTCAGACACCTACACACAGGATCTGCGGCTGTTCACTGCTGCGGGTTTCTCCACGAAACACGCGTCTTTGAAGAATGTGTGCCGTCGCTGTTTGCGTACTGTCCGTCGGCTGCTCCAGCACGAGCGGCCGATCTAACTAGCGCGCACATAAAGGCACTTGGCTTTAACAACTTAGAGCGCTTGTGGATACAATTCTGTCCATCTCTTTTCCATTTCTTCTTTTTCTCTCTGTCCGTGAGCAAAAGCAAATACAGTCACGCTGCACCGGCACTGGCCGCATCATATTTATAGCAGTCAGATTCGCTATTCGGCCGCCTAATTTATAAATACACACTAAAACTTACTACATTTGGTGCATATTAACAAAGTGCAGCGGTAAAAAAAAAAGTCTGAAGACGCCTAAGCACTTCTTATGAGTTATGAATGTGAAAGCATGATGTCCAATGGAACGCTGCGGAGTGATCCGCGGAGCTTTGTGGCGCGAGTAATGTTTTCGAGTTGTGGCAGAAGCACCAATGATGATGTGAATGATGGAGGCATGTTGGTCGGCGGCGAGACGAGCAGAAGCCTTCGAGCGCGCGCCGTGTCTGTTTTAATTGCTGCGAAGCCCGTAGTGGCATGGGGTTGCGGCGGTTAGTTTTATCGGCGCGCTGGTGGCACAGACATGCAGCACCATCTGGTGGCGGTCGTTGAAACTGACAGGCGCAGCGGCCAATGGGAGTCCGTCGCGGCATGTTGGTCGGCGGCGAGACGAGCAGAAGCCTTCGAGCGCGCCCCAGCGTGTCCGTATTAATTGCTGCGGGGCCCGTAGTGGCATGGGGTTGCGGCGGTTAGTTTTATCGGCGCACTGGCGGCACAGACATGCAGCACCATCTGGTGGCGGTCGTTGAAACTGACAGGCGCAGCGGCCAATGGGAGTTCGTCGCGGCATGTTGGTCGGCAGCGAGACGAGCAGAAGCCTTCGAGCGCGCGTTAACGTGTCCGTTTTAATTGCTGCGGAGCCCGTAGTGGCATGGGGTTGTGGCGGTTAGTTTTATCGGCGCGCTGGTGGCACAGACATTGTGGGAATTAAAAGGAGGGAGGATTACGCACCTTTACGTCCGGGGACCGGTCCGGTGCTCAAAGGGGAAATCCGATGCCCGTCCCACCGCGCGGCCGACGGCTACTACCAGCGAGGGTGGTCGCCGCGCCGGGTTCGGCCAACGCCATGCCAACAACGATGATCCCGGTATCCAAGAGCGTTTATTGAGTACCAGAGGTCCCCAACAAGACACTGCGGTCAAGCGAGCCGCCGCGGGCACAGTGTGCCCGCATCGCCCACCGACCTGAGAGCCAAAGGGGTAATTGCGAGCGGAGTTATCGCCGATCGGGCGAGCTCACGCCGCTACCCCTCTTCGCAGGAGTTTGGGGCTGGGGCTCTGGTCAGACGGACGTCCACAGGTAGTGGGGACGCCGACTGTCAGAGCCAAGGGAATCACTAGCGTGGAGTCATCGCCGGTCGGACGAGCTCGCGCTGCGACTCGACCCGTTGCCCGGAGTCCAATCCAGGACTCCCCGACCACACGGCCGTCCACTCGGAGGGCAGGCCCGACTCTCCCTCCCGCGATGTCGCTGTTCCCCCGAAATCGGGGAGACGCGCGGAGGAGTGCGAGAGAGCAGGTCAGCATGGTGACGTAGTCTCTCCGACACGATACGGAGCGACCGGGCTCGAAGTCAAACGGCTTCGCCCGGAGCGTCCTCGGCTTATGCCTTCTCGGGGGAGGGAAACCAGTGGCTCCCACAACATGCAGCACCATCTGGTGGCGGTCGTTGAAACTGACAGGCGCAGCGGCCAATGGGAGTCCGTCGCGGCATGTTGGTCGGCGGCGAGACGAGCAGAAGCCTTCGAGCGCGCGCCAACGTGTCCGTTTTAATTGCTGCGGGGCCCGTAGTGGCATGGGGTTGCGGCGGTTAGTTTTATTGGCGCACTGGCGGCACAGACATGCAGCACCATCTGGTGGCGGTCATTGAAACTGGCAGGCGCAGCGGCCAATGGGAGTCCGTCGCGGCATGTTGGTCGGCAGCGAGACGAGCAGAAGCCTTCGAGCGCGCGCCAACGTGTCCGTTTTAATTGCTGCGAAGCCCGTAGTGGCATGGGGTTGCGGCGGTTAGTTTTATCGGCGCGCTGGCGGCACAGACATGCAGCACCATCTGGTGGCGGTCGTTGAAACTGACAGGCGCAGCG